GTGTAATCCGACACCTTTGTAATCTGTTTCACTGTGTATTCCATCTGTAATTTTCATTCCCATTTTACTGTGTCATTTTTATACACCGTGCAATCCGAGATTCTGTCTATTCCGTACAAAACTTATCTCCTAATGCATGTCGGATTAGACAGGTTTCACTGTATTTACAAATTTGTTTCGAAACAACAGCAATGAAATTAAATTATGTAAAATATTACTTGCTTGATTTTAAGAATGTTGCCAACGACCATTAAAAGAATCCACTTTAACGATTCCCTTCTTTGGCTTTTCTGGATACCCTGTATCACGTTGTTTGCTACTGGATACGCTAAGAACTTAAACAAGACAACCGTATCCAGAAGAAACGACATGCTACCTTCTGCTTCTAGTGCCATTTGGGGAATTCAAAATATCCCAGTAGAGAAAAATGACGACACCAATAACACCGAAAATCATCAAAGCAATGACCTTGTAGAGGAAAATCATTATACTGATGAAATTTTAAAGGAAAATGTCGAAACCACAAGTACTTTAGAGGAATCTCAGTCCATGAGAAGCAGTTTAGAGGAACATCAAGATACCAACATTACTGTAGGGGAAAATCAAGTCATCAACACTACTCTACAGGAAAATCAAGAGATCAACAATATTGTAGATGAATATCAATTCATCAACACTACTGTAGAGGAAAATCAAGTCACCAACACTACTGTAGAGAAAAATAAAGTCATCAATACTACTGTAGAGGACAATCAAGTCATCAACACTACTGTAGAGGAAAATCAAGTCATCAACACTACTCTAGAGGAAAATCAAATTATCAACACTACTGTAGTGGTCAATCAAGACATCAACACTATTGTAGAGGAAAATCAAGACAACACTACTGTAGAGGAAAATCAAGACATCAACACTACTGTACAGGGCAATCAAGTCATCAAAACTACTGTAGAGGAAAATCAAGACAACACTACTGTAGAGGAAAATCAAGACAACACTACTGTAGAGGAAAGTCAATTCATTAATGCTACTGTAGAGGAAAATCAAGTCATCAACACTACTATAGAGGAAAATCAATTCATCAACACTACTGTAGAGGAAAATCAATTCATCAACACTACTGCAGAGGACAATCAAGTCATCAACACTACTGTAGAGGAAAATCAAATCATCAACACTACTGTAGTGGTCAATCAAGACATCAACACTACTGTACAGGACAATCAAGTCATCAACACTACTGTAGAGGAAAATCAAGACAACACTACTGTAGAGGACAATCAAGACATCAACACTACTGTAGAGGAAAATCAAAACATCAACACTACTGTAGAGGACAATCAAGTCATCAAAACTACTGTACAGGACAATCAAGTCATCAACACTACTGTAGAGGAAAATCAAGACACCAACACTACTGTAGAGGAAAATCAAGACATCAGTGACAATGTAGCCGACAATCAGAAATCTAGGCATTCTAGAGGTCTCAATTGTTCTATTGTAAATCAATTAAATATCATTTTTACACTTGGCAGGAAAATGCCTTTTTATATCGAGGTAAGTGCTATCGTAATCACTTCTGTTGGAATGGTTGGGAACGTGGCTACCATACTTATTATTATTGTTTATATAAATCTTAGAAAACCATATTTCCTGGCCATTCTCAGCCTTGCAATAGCAGATGTGTTTGCACTCATTCAACTTTGCGCTATACTCTTTTATGAATTTGAAATATTTATGTATTTACAGTGCATAAAACCAAGTTTTGTTATGATCATTGCGTTAATGATATCTATAGAGATGAATGCTATTCTTAACGTTCTTCTCATTGCCATCGTTAAGTTTCTTCTATTAGTCTATCCCATTAAAAGCATGTCATATCTGACCAATCAAAAAATCATAATATTTTGTCCAATCGCAATGCTTGTAAGTTTTAGCTATGGTCTGGTTGTTGCATATAGCATGATGTACATGTCCTTTGATTCTGATGGCGTATTAGGACAACTCCCAGGTCAAGTTTTCGTAACTATTCTACCCTCTCTCTTCATTATTGTAATGCACATTATCAAAGTTGTCAAAGTGAGACAATCTAGAGCTCTCAAAAAAGAAGTAAAAACAATGAATACTGTTGTGGTGTATATTCTTGCAATCTTTCTGATTTATAACCTTTTGAAGATTGTTAATCCTTTGGTAATGGCTTTCACAAGGAGTGTCTTGATTTCTAAGATTTTGGGCATGACAATTGGAATTGCTTCCATATTACACCATGCTGCAAATCCTTTCATTTATTTGGCCTATACTCCTCTTGTCCAACAACCCTGGCAACGATTTCTACAGAGATTTAAAAGCCATGAATAGTGTACCAATTTTTAAAAAAAATATCATAAGTGAATGTCTTCTTTCTACTGACCTTTACCCCTTAGATAATAGTTCAAGTGATAGAGAGAATTTGTACATTTTAGGTCACCTGAGTAAACTTAGGTGACATATTGTATGTATTTTCGTTCGTTGTCGTGCGAGGTCCGTGGAACGTTAATATTTGAACATTTTCAGCTACTTCTCTGCAATTGCTCAACTAATTTTGGCTCAAAGCATCTGTGGGTGAAAAGAAACAAAAAATGTATATTTTATGGTCCCTGCCCCGCTGGCGCCTGATCTACCTCAGAGTATTAAGTAACCAATAAGTATTAAGTAACCAAAGTAAGCATGCTTAGGGTATAATTATGATAAACAATGTTGCCTCTTTAAAAATTGTGAATTTTATGGCTTTTGGTTTAAAACACGAACCAAATTCATTTGCTGGAAAGTTGTTACATGTTACTCAGGTGACCTATAAGGCCGATGGGCCTCTTGTTATGTAAATAATTTATAAGTATGGTAATTGTACAATTTTGAAGAAAGAAATCTGTGGATTCAACATAAACTTTTAATTTGATAAATCGATGATGATAAATAGTTGTTTCTCTGACAGCAGGGTTGAACTACATAGCTTATCAATAGGTTGAATGAAGAAACGTTTTTAAAAGTTAAGACGGAATTTCAGATGAAATATAGTTGTAAGAAGAAGGAAAAATCATTTAGATGATCAAAGGTATTCAGTTAAGGTTTTGCATATTAATTTTCTAATTTTATTACCAGAATTATTTAAAGAATTAAGATACATTTTTGTGGGTTTACAGAACATGAGGATCGGATCCGGAGTACCTTAAGCTTACATTATTTTCTCAATACATGTATACTGTATTTTCCCTTCAGATAGTGTTCTTGGCGTATCTTTTAATGTTGTTTTATATATTGTAAAAAGTATTTGTAAACGGATCATCTCATCTCATTTTGACTTATTCCGAATCTAATCACAGTTTTTCAATTTCTTTATTCATTTATATATAGATGTGACATAATATGAATATTTTTCAATGGATTCCTATGGAATGTATATTTTTCTTTGAATAATAATAAAACAAAGGGTTTATAGTGCATTTTTAATTAAGTAATATTGATAAGAGATGCACATTGCTGTAAATTAACATTTAATCATACATGAGAAATATTTGTGATTTTCGTGACCTTTTTTCCTCGAGAATATGTACTGGACTACTGGTGTTTAGAACGTTACTTGATAATTGTGTGCATTAAATGAGGTACACTTGTCCAATAAATTATTCCACTGTAATTCTTGAGTTTCTTTCTAAATCATGAGTCATATTTAGTGACTTAACTCAGGGACGTAGCAACGGGGGGGGGGGGGGGGGGGGGGGTCAGTTTATAGTAAAGTAAAGTAATATGAGGGAAATATAGTGTTGTAAGCTGAAAAATTGGATATTGAAATAGGATTTTCAACTTTGGGCAATTTTCCTTTTTTTTTAAATTTTTTATTTTTTATTTATTTTTTTTTTTTTTTGCTTGTCAACTTTTTTAGGTAAGTAAAAAAAAAATTTCCTGTGGCTGCCCCCCCCCTTTCAAAATCGATGCTACGTACCTGTAACTTACATGTCAATAGCTGTCCTATAAATTCGGATCCTTTCAACTTTTTTAATCAGTTAGCGACACTCCATGGGGGACCATCAGACTTGTGCTTATCCTTTTACTTTTTGCTATGAATAACTGATTCTCAAAGATTCAGAGAAATCTTTGCAGTTAGAAAGTTACCATCGATAAAATTTGGTCAATTAAATTAAGTTTTTGGACTCTTTTTTAAAACATAATAATTTTCATATATTTACTCGAACATCGCTAACCGAGTAACCCAGACAAGAAAGGCTACTGGAATCCTATTTAATCGAGGTAAAACGCTGAATGTGGCAATTTTTTACTTTCCCGGATATGTTATTCATATTATGTAAATATTTTTGTATGATAACCAACAATATGATTGCCCATGTATAACAATCATATATTTTTATCTATTTATTTTGCCAACAGTGGGCACGTCAAGATGCTCTTTCTGGCTGTGTCATTATCAGTCGCATAATCTCGGGTCTTTCCGTCATAGGTCGGAAAAACAACTCTAGTCAGAAAGGCCCGAGAATTTGGGATTGGTGTCATTATATGTGCCCCCTTCTCTATGTCACCTTAATATGGGTCACAGATATATATCAAATATTTATATATAATCATGGTACGTGTTATCATGGATAAGTTAACTTGATAATTCACGTTCTCGTTACTTTACTCCAATTCGTCGTGCGACAATTGAACTTCGAGCGAAATCGAACCACAATAGATCCAAAGGGTCAAGTTTGGGCTATACTAATATACAGTGTGTAGGTTGTACAGGTAGTTGACGAAAACTTTGAATTTTATAATAACGAAGTTCAAGGCCTTTTCTCAGATTATACACTTTTATGAAATTAAAATCTGGAATTTTACAACTTTCAATGAAAGAAAAATGAAGAAATCTAAGAAACATTTCAATTAATTAACCTGAACTCCCCTTCTCTGGCCTTTTGATGGAAGATAGAACATTCACAATGTAACCTTCAAATGTGAATACATGCAAACCACGTTTCTACACAAGTTTTAAGAAACCTATATTTGTTTATAATCTAGTAAAACACAATGATAAAGACGTGCATTATTCTTGGTATTCTATCATTTTCCCTCGCTGATAATGTGAAATTCAAGGACTGTGGTAGGTGCAATTTCTTTTATTCTAAACTGAAATCGTTTCTTTCAATTTTGGACTTTGCAATGCAATTTGCTTTCAATGTTTGAATTTTGTTCCTCAAATAATTAATTAATTAAAATTGAAAAAATATATTTATATTGAAGGGATATATCATTTATTTCCAAGTGAGGCACCCGAATTTCGATTTCCAGGAGTGGGGAAGTTGTGATTTTTTATGATTGCTAGAATCAAAAAATATATTTGCTTTATATGAACAAAATAAAGTTTAAATAAATCATGTTTCTAACAACTACTTACAGGTTCCGTCTCGGGGAAGATAGAAAGCGTTGACGTTAAGCCATGTCCGTCAGAACCTTGTCAACTGAAGAAAAACTCCAACGTCACAATATCCCTCGACTTTACGCCGAGTAAGTACCCAAGGCCGTCGGATAGAGGCAGGGTGCTCTGAGGAACAATTACAACTCCCTACCCACCCTTTCCAGAAACTTGGTTACGACCTTGGAATGTTTATGCATACACTTTTGATATAAAATCTAGAAAATAAAAACCAATTTAAACTAAAAACGGAAGATTTTTTATCTTCCATTTTTTATCTCCTTGAATATTATTATGTGGATATAAAGTTTTGAATAAAGTTTATTTCATTGTCAATTCAAAGTTATATTTGATGCGTGCGTTAGGAGAACTGGGCATAAATTTAATTTTTGAAATTACTTTTACTTTTTTCTTCAGGTGCCAATTCGGCCACTTTCAAGACAGTTGTCCATGGAATAATTGGAGGGGTACCTGTCCCATTTCCAACCTCTAATGGGGCAGTCAACCCCCCTGTCCCCGTCCAACCAAACCAAAAAGTTACCTACACAAACTCCATCTTTGTCGAACCAGCTTATCCTAAGGTAATCAATACTTTTTAATACAATTTTTTTTTTATAAAAAGCCGCCAATCACATACCAGATATTACATGATTCTAAAAATAGTAAGGAAGTATGAAGATAACGAACAGTCATCAACCCCAAACGTCCGTTCAGTTTGTGAGTAGAGCAAACACGGACCTCTAAAAAAAATCAGAGTATGGATCAGGTGTCATGGAGGAGTAAGCACCCTCTATCGATATTTAGAATAGAACAGAGAAAATAGAACCAGATTGAGAATTTTTAACGAAGGAATAAACATAACACTTAATTTAGCTTTTGTTTGTTTGTTTGTTTGTTTGTTAAACGTCCCTTTGGAGAATTTTTCACTCATATCAAGAAGCCATCTTTTGGTGATGGAGTGCTACAAATTTATTACTACTGTATATTCGACACTCCTTTCCATTGAGCTGTGAGGAAGCTTTTTTCTCGTGCCAGCGCGCACCTACTATGACACGGGGCCTTGGTTATACGGTCTCATCCGAAAGACAGGTCTCCACGTCCCGCGACGTAAGGATCAACTTCTTACTGTGCGACGCTAGAAAAACGCTCTTACTAGATAACCCCTATGCCTCGAGGACGAATAAACGAAATTTTATTTTAATAAGGAAAATAAAAATCAATGACTGTTCAAATATACTTCTTTTTAATGAGATACTTTTTTTAATAAACAGATATCACTCCTTGTAAAATGGGAAATTCAAGACGCTTCAGGAAAGGATTTTGTGTGCTTTGTCGTTCCTGCGATGATAGTCGGATAAACCAATATAAAGAATACAGATAAAAATGCGTTTTTGAGTATTGTGATTTATAACTTGATAATAAAATTATTATGTTTTTTTTTCTAAGAAGAATTGTGTTATTAATTTATATGGATACAAACTGGTAATCTTTAGCAAGGAAGAAAAACAGGGTTATTCCCCCTTTTGTTACTACTATATGTAGTTCATTACGCCAAAAGGAAACCAGAGGAGGAAGAAAGCAGACATTTATTTGCATTATACATAATTATTCAACTTGTTTCCATTACCTTAGGTGGAAAAGATGCCTTTTTCGTTGTTTTAGAAACAATCCGTTCTTTTTCTCCTCAGTTTGGAACATCTGAAACCTTGATATTCTTTACGATTAATGAATATTTAACTAGTATGTACTCTACAGAGCCTGTACTAACATTAGATCTCCAGGGTCATGAAATGCAAGTTTTGGAAAAAGTACTGTTGTTCGTCATAATCGTGCACACTTAGTTTGTTTGCTTTATAACCAGGAGCAGAGAAAGTGATTCTCAAAGAATTGATACATTTATACAATGTAATTAATAGAGCCCTACCCTAACACCTGAAACTCGGACTCAATGGCTCTGAATTTCGCAATTTTGGAAAGACCCCCTAGCAAGTTATCATAGCCATGCAATACGTTTGTATGTAGAATATGAATTAAGGTCAGAGAGGAAGATTATTTTAAGAATTTATGTATTTTTTCATTATGACCAATAAGAGTCCCATCAAGAAGCCCCCCCCCTCCGATTCGGAAACCATGACATTCACACAGTTTTTGGAAGAAGCGCCGTTGCGTATCGTTATAAATACTTCATTTGTTCATCCATGACCATAGGAAAACGCATTTTCAATAATAAGTAATAGAGCCTCCATAACAGCAGAATCCCTGATTCCAGGGACTGGGCCATACATTTCACAATTTTTAAGAGGCAACCTTGCACATCATAACCATGTGCTGAATTTATGAATTTTTACTATACATATATGTATTGTCAATAGAATCCCAAATTAAGAATTCAGAACCCATGACCCAGGGACCATAAATTTTACAACTTAGAGGGCTTTTATAAAATACTTATTACAATCATTTTACATATACACTGCTGGTAAAGTGCGAATCGAGAAAATCTTGGTTTCGGACACCAGCTACTATTGGCACCTGTGAATTATCTAGTTAAATGCATATTTTTTTATATAACACAATAAAAATCACTTTATAGAAAGCAAATTTATTAAATAGTTAAGCAGTTGGATTGCTTTTATACCCGAAGAGGGTTCAATATCGAAAAATTACATGTAAATGGCTGTTTACATAGTGTTTTTCACGTACTCGCATTCGAATCTACAGAACTAATTGGACAGCTAAGTGGATAAATTTAACTTTAATTCAACGTTATTTAATGCCCTGAACACTAAAAATGTGCTTTTAATGAATTATTTCCATGGAATTCGCTAATAACAAGCAAATTCATTATGTAGGTGCTACAACTGGTTTCTGTAAAATTTTGACACTGGCGACTTTTGATTTGTGTAAATGCGACGACTGGTTTACGTCTCTGAGACTATTGGCTTATGTTACTTAACTTGAATAATATGAAATTATTCAAACTTGCATGAAAAGAATGCTAGTTTTTGTAGTTTATAATCATTCTTGATCTTTTCTTGAAGCAATACAAAATGTTCCATCAATTCTTCTTACGGATATTGTGTTTTTGGTTATATTCTTTTGTTTAAAACTTTTTAAATAGAGTGATATGGTATAGATGAGCAAGACGATTACAGCACATAATTTAAAACTGCACCAGGTATACATATAAGAATGTCGTGATCAAGCGATCAAACTTTTTAAAGCAATAAACGAATGCATAATGGTAATATTTATCCTTGCAATTTATAATTATTCAAAGCACGAGGTTAGCATCCTTAGAATTGTGTTGCGTGTAGTCTACTTTTATCCTATTACATCTCAGGCACGTAGTAGGCCAGTTGTGGTGAACTTTATTTCCTGAAAATAGTCTTTTGCTTTAGTTTTGATTCATGTTTATATTTTTTATGTATACATGCCCCCCCCCCCCAAAAAAAATCTTTTTTGTAACCGTAAGGTACCTGCATTTCTGTAACTTACTGGTATAAGAAAAAAATAAGATAGACGACTGAAACTCTACAGTGCCACCCAAACAAAAATCTGTTAAAAAATGCGCACAAAAACTGCGATTGGTACTGAATTAATTCCTTCAAATTCACACATTTGCACAAAAACTAAAAAAAAAAATATCATGACCTCTAGACTTCTTCGCGAAGCGTGTTTCAATCGAAAGGATTTGTATCTTGTCATCTTAAAAATGACAGTAAAATGCGAAATTGGATGGTCTCATTTCATGGAGGGATATTTATAACAGTTATTTGTTGTTGAAATAGTAAGTGAAAATTGCAAAAGAATTCATTTGATACACCCATTTAGAAATATTTTGAGATTATGACAGTTTGAAACCGAGAAGCAGCGCACTTTATGCACAATAAAAATACTATTTTTTCGAGTTGGTCACACTGCAGCTCTCCCGTCTTCGGAGAGCTATAGTCCCGCAGCTCGCCGTAAGGTTGGCAAATCAAGCCGTTGTCATCTTCGCTGACCAAGGGTTTCTAATACGCTACTATTTGCAGTTTATGAGGAAAGTAACGTATCAGAAACCCTTTGCTAGCAAAGAAAGCGAAGAAATAGGACTGTTCTTCCTAGCTGCAGAACGGTAGCGTTATGGTTTTATATTTGTCTTTATAGTCAAAGATGAAAACATGAAACCATAAGTTAACACTACAGTTCTGCAGCTTTGATCTTCCGAGATTTAACATTTTCTTTGTTGGCTTGTCAATCGCTTGCGACTCTCATCCTTCCTATATATACGTTGTACATTGATAAAAAATGTGACGGGTCTGCATGTTTAAAAAAGTAGACAGGTGTCTTCATGTTATTCAAATATGAGAATATTTTGTTGAGATATTAAAAGTTAATTATAGGAGTTACAAGTTAATTATAGGAAATTCTTAGTACCTGTCCATGTCATCTTTCCAAGTCAAGGGTTGAAAAAAACTATTCAGGGAAGGGATAAAAAATTTAAACACACTCACATGCATCAACGTCTATTCCCTTCAAATACATGTAAATCTCATTAAAGAGAGGTCAATCTTTTTTCCTTCGGGGTGGGTTGGGGGGATGGGTCCAAGGTCTTTTTCGTTTCTTCTGCGAGCATAGAAAGTTTGTAATTCTTAAAGTTCTAGATAGTCAATTAAAGATGACTTACAACATGAATATGGAATTATTTAAAATGAACTTTGGGATAGAACCTTAATGAACATTTACTCTAGTGACACATTTTAGTGAATCAAGTCCACGATTTTTAAGAATGATATGTAATATAAACTAACCAGAGTGAATTTTGCATTTTTAAATCCTTTATTTTTTTTTTCACATTATGGAACAAATTATATGGGGGGGGGGGGGGGTTACATGTGTATATGCAATACATTTTTAATATTCGATAGAAGCAACCAATCCTCGACTTGGAGAAATATGTTTTTGGGGTTTATTCAAAGACGTTGCACTCTCTGATGATGTGTTAATATTAAAATCTAAATGTATTTCACGGAAAACAATACATTTATGATACAGCAGTAAAACGTCGCACCTCATGAAACAGAACAGAAGCCAGACGTAGCAATTACAGGTGCCAAGAGTCGCACATACAGCAGCCATACTCGCGCTGTTATCAGAAAACTTTGTATTGCATCAAAATTTTTAATCTTGTAAAGCATTTAAGACATGGGGAATCATAAATGATTCATGCAGTATATACTCATATCAACTTTAACACAAATAAATGTAGTGTAAATCTTCTTTAACACGTAAAAAGCAAATATGAATAGATCCAGTAAAATACATTAAGCGGATGTAATCTAAGGCAGTTACAGGATTGCTCCTTAAATGTATTCAACCAAAAAACAATTCTAATGCATAAAACCATACTCAACATTAATAATTGCGTCTTAATGAAACGTTATTTCATTTCTGATCGTTTAGTTGACATAAACTGCCTCACTGATGTAAACCAAAGTAGTAGCTAGTGTCCGAAACCAAGATTTTCTCGATTTGCACTTTACCAGCAGTGATATATAACAGTATAATTGCTTGGTGTCCAGGAGTAAAAAGATTTTTAGAGGTCGCATTTATATGGATACATGTAGTTTTAGTCATTTCCCTCGGGCACCAAAGGGGCCATGAATTCACAGGTTTTTGGTTGAGATCGGTTAAGTAGTTCAAGAGAAGAAGCTGAAAAAGTTCATATGTTAAGGCACAAATCAAAATGAACGATGACGGACAAAAACAGATATCAATAGGTCAACTAAGTAACACAGGTGACCTAATAAATTGGAGGGGAAAAAAGTTCCTTTAAAATGTCTAAAAATTCAAGCAATTGCAATTCTACAATTGAAGATCTTTAGAAATATCAATTACTTGCGATTTTAATAAATGTGCAAAGATTTTATATTAAATAAAACTGAATACACTTTTGTTATAAACAAGAACGTTTTATTATGTTTGTATGAAAGTGTATATATTTCTATATTCATTTAAACTTAACTGAAGCATATAGTTTAAGAAAATACGATTATGTTCAAGTATAAGAATGGCATTCTTTTGCTAGCAGTTTACGGATAAGTAAGGATGGCCAAATTCCCCGTGATCGATATATACATGTAATATATACGATCCAATTTTATTGTGTATAAAAATATTTAATATTTATATATTTTTTACTGAACTGAATGTTTGTATGAAAATAATAAAACCTCAAAAATTAATTGAAATTATAGTTTTCTACATTGTATCAGCGATATTTTAAGATGACATCTACATTTAGGATAATAAATAAACTTCAAAGCAGATGTACTGTTTACATTTACGAGTCACTTTGATTTTATTTAGTCCTTGTTATGCAGTACTTTGATGTGTCAAACTGACCAATAACTTGCAGAGTGTCGCGTGTTACTTTGACCTCTTCTCTCACCATATCGCCTGAATCGGGAGAAATCGAACGATCACTTGTGAGGTCAAAATCTAATACAATACACTTATATATAAAGTAAGTTTTCAATAAATATCAGTATGATCATTCACTGCTATAAAATACTGTGACGGTTAAAAATCAATATAGTTGTAAATCCCTATAAGAATGGACCAAGTTTCCAGATTAGTGATTTTAGTTGTTGCGGTGGCTTTTGCTACAGCTGACGTCATCACTTTCAAAGATTGTGGTGAGTTGACTTAAGTAGTGAATTTGAACAACACTTTGAACATAAAATATAAAGTTTTGTGTCAGCAAAAGTACACTTTTTACTCTTATTGTTCAATAACTAACTATATGTAAGATATTAAACTGATTTTCAAAAAAGTTATTACACTGTACGCGGTAACGTGCTCTAATAGTAACTTATTATTTCTGCTAACTGATTGAAAACATACTTAATCAGAATTTTGTGTTCAATATTGTAGGTTCTGTTACTGGAACAGTAAACCAAGTAGACATGACACCGTGTCCGTCAGAACCATGTCAACTGAAGAAGGGAGATAATGCTACAATGAAAGTAGAATTCACGCCTAGTAAGTGGCAATTTCACTTTTCTTTGGGTCACAATTCCTGGAATTATTGCAGACCGTTCAATCTCAATAATTTTTATTTATTAATTCAGAGGTAAATTCTACAAAATACTCATCTGTACTCCATGGAATTATCGGTGGGATTCCTGTGCCATTTCCTCTTCCAAATGGAATCACTTCCGGTCCAATAATTTCAAACAATAAAATCGTCTATTCAAACTTCCTAATGGTTCTTCCATCGTATCCTAAGGTAAGTTGCCCTTTCGCAAACCTTTTTTTCAGAAATGAGGAAAACTTACTATAAATTATTCTAAAAGGGCAATTTTGTATTGCAATTCGTTACCTCCTCGTGTAGATTGTCAGATGACTAAATAAAAAAAAGAGGCTACATTTTTGGCAGATAAATCTAGCAAAGATTCTTTTACTTTATTTTTTCACTGAATTGTTTTTGCTCAGGTCTCGCTGGTCGCCAAACTGGAAATCCAAGATGACAATGGCAAAGATCTTGTGTGTTTTGTGTGGCCAATCCAGATTGTGGATTAGAATTCTGGATCATCCAGTAAACACCAGCAATTCGACCATTCAGAGGGTCAAAGTTCGAGATAACGGACACTTTCTATTCCCGCATTGTAAATATATCATAAATAATTTATTTTCATCCCATCATTATACGTTTTTTGTGCTTAAAAATAAAAAAAAGCAACTGAAAAGTATTCTCTTGTAAATATATATAACACTGTAAGAAAGTCATGATTCTGAGTCCTGGGTTTGGTGAGGAATTGATTTACATTTATTGAGTAGTGTGTTCCTGATTTGTCAGGGATAGGGATAAATGCAAAACAATGCAAAACAATGCAAAACAAGAACACCGCAAAACGGAACAGGCATATCTAAAATCAAAGCAGCATGATGAAAATTACGTCATTTCCGTTACGCACAGAAGGACAATCTAGCCCATCCACACATAAACACGCACATACAAGCTTAATTTATCCCCTTTCACTCCATTATTAGGAGCGCGGTACTCAGGCAATGAAATTTTACCAAGGTCATTGTGTATTCTCGGAGGAATCAAGAAAAATACCGACAGGTGTATGAAGTGATGTGAAATGCTGTTAATTTTGAGCAAAGGGATTTGCTAGCAACTGATATTTAAAATGGTCCTTCGTCATAGTCAAAGACCTTTAAAAAATGAAAAAGAGGATACGAAGTTTAGGAAATTCTAACCTAGCTTACCCTTGTTTATTTCGATGGGAACAAAGATTATTGTTGCAATTTACAGCAAAAGTGTTCAGTCATATACCAAAATGGGACAAATTAAACCACAGAATAAATTATTTATGTCTCTGATTAAATCAACGAAATGATTCAGAAGTTCCACCTAAGATATTTAAGATATCGTAATACGGTAATAGGATAGGATGTTGACCATCTTATTTTGGGAAAGTCGATAAAGTTCCAAAAGAAGATACCATTGTTCCAAAATCATCCCACTTATCAATCAAATGATAAAATTGACTGATAACCCGAGCTCTCAAAGTGGGTCAATGCACCTTAAACATTTCGAGTCGAAATAAGGAACATGGTTGAGTAATTGTACTAAAATATTAACAACATAAATACTGTTTCATGATCTTATGTCGATCTATGATCTATCTCCTGTTGCGTAAAATTAAGGTGGCCCATGCATGTTGCAATAAATTGCGCAAAATTCCATATTTTGATAAAAACTGCTCCGGAAAACTCTTAAAATTTAAATGCCATTCATGCAACAGAGGTCGAATAAGGATTCTCTCACTATAATTCCACGTGATTCTACCCGAATATAAACAAACCCCTCTGAGAGTTCGTAACAATATTCACAGAAGAAGAGGACGTCGGAGACAAAAGAAACAATGTCCCTCTCGCTCGCCTGCGCTCTGGTAGTGGTGGGTGTTATTGCCACCTGTTTTTGTGAACCGATCAACTTCAAAAAATGTGGTAAGTAATGATATGCGTACTGGTATATACATGTATACCAGTCAGACAGGAATATGATTTCCCCTACGATATTGATTGTGTAAGCAACGAGAATGTAAGATTCAATAGAAGAACAAAGGTACGTAACATCACTTCAATATACTTGTATTGAGATTGTATAAAGAGAGTGAAGGAAGAAATGTGCGATTAAGAAGGAATTGGTTTGGGTATAAAAAGAGATCTTTAAAGCTGGATTAATTTGTGAGAGTGTTAAAATCAGTTGAACTTGTATATTAATTGAATGCACGTTTTTGAAATTTACATATAAGTTGATAACACAGGGGAAATCGAACAGAATATATATATTGATATACTATGGTATATCCAAATACCAGTTAATATTTCAATTTAAATTCAAAATAATTTACAGATGGATCACCAGACATAAAAACAGTTGATATCACACCTTGTAAGGAACAACCCTGTAAATTCTACCATGGAATGAACGTCACAGTGTCTGTAACATTTTTATCAGGTTTGTATGTATTATATAGTTAATTTTACAAATTTATATTAAGTCATTGAAAAAATGTAAGCAAGATTTTAGTATTCCAAGATCATAGATCTATTTTTTCTGTCAAAGACGAAAGAAATGGGTTTGATGAACCAGAATCGTGTCATCTTACAAAATGGTATATAATATAGTTTGATTGTTATTATATTATTCCAATGCAAAGGTAAACTATGGAATAAGAACGTTGTTTCATCCATCAAGTTTTTGGTAGACTTGTTGCTGTTGCTTGGTAATGTTTACTAATTTGCAATCTGTCTGCCAACATGAGTCTAACGTTAATTTTGCCCAAATTGTCTCTCACTTGATCTTATGAAACTTAGGCCATGCAGCCTTTGGATAGTCAACAGTGAATTCCACTAAATTCAGGAATTTAAAAAGAATTAACCAATTTAAATAAAAAATATGAATGGTACTAAAAACTTTTCGAAATATTTCTGGAGTTTCATACCTTTGTACATGTACATCTTCCATTTGTAGTCAAAAGCTCTGTTGGGCTTACAGCTGAAATCTATGGAATTCTTGCGGGAGTGCCAGTCAAATTTAACATGCCTAATTCAAACGGATGCAGATCCAGCAATATCACCTGTCCGATCAAAAACGGCGACCAATACACCTACAGTGGAGTGTTCAATGTTCTGAAAACCTACCCAAATGTGAGTACATTGCAGGGAGTATTTTAATAAAAAACCCATAATGAACTGTATAACTAGTATGTTGTAAATTTAAGATTTAGTAATGGGGCTTGTAAAGACAAAATTTGCATCGTGTTGTAAATTTTGCATTTACCTCCACCTAGTAAATTTAATGAAATCATTTGAACTTTTATTTTCTTGAAGGAAAAAAAAAACCTACAATTCAATCTTATCGGACCAAAGCAGGGAAAAAACCCAAACATTTATCATGGATGATTTATGTTGGAGCAAAACAAAATCGTATAAAGTGTAAATGTTTCATTAATCACAGATCCATGCACATTTAACTTAATTTACAGTTCAAATGATCTTTATTCAAGATGGGACTACAGATAAAGCTAAATACATTTATATGTATCCCTCATAATTATGGAACTACGTGTTTTCTCACTGTGTCTGGCATATTGCAGTAATGATATGCTGGGTGGGGCTTGTAGTCCTTGGTTTCTTATTATTGAATAAAAAAGTGAATATTTCCATTTCTATTTGTTTTCTCTTTGATAACTCTTTGAAAGTCAGTTGAGTTGATTTCTTGATAATTCTACCGGAATTTAAATTTCGCCAAACGATATATCAGGAGCTAAGGAGGCCGTGTAAATATGCAAGTTAATCTCGTGCAGCTGTCTTTATGTTTGACGTCAGTGGGCTGGGAATATTGAAATTGATATGGGAAGCCTCGTGAAATGGAAATGAAAAAAAATCACTATATAGTTAGTACTATATGCCAGAGACATCAACGATAGTTGGAAATGTGGGATAATTTATGAATAACGGATTTCTTTTATTTAAAATATCTTTTTATGATAATGATCAACCAGTTTGCTTTAATCTGCTTAATTCCACGTGTGACAGTGATCCTAAAGACTTATAAAGCAGAATACCTTTATATACTTCTACTCCGCAATTATAACTATATATACCAATGTATACACAAATATATGCATATGTTTGTATAAATACATACTCACGCACATGTATCTTTCGCATGTTAATAAAAAATATATCAAACGTTTAAAATTAATGAATATATTTTATTTTCAATTTAGATACGTCTTACAGTGCAGTGGGATTTAAAGGCAGACGACAACAGTTACTTATTTTGTTTCGTGTTTCCAATGGAAATTGATAAATGACTGTTCCTCATAAAAACTGAGATTGACTGAATCCATGTTTGCTCATTTTATCACATTCACAATAAATTCACTTCAGCATACTTAACTGTGCTTATGGTTTTTCTGAGAGCTACTTAGTATAGTATTTCTAGAAATTTTCAACATTTTTAAAGTCCAATAGTTCAAGTATTGCTAAGATACGTTAGATAAGACACGATAAAAAGTATAAACTAAATTATACAGTTATGGAATAGGTACGAGGGAAATAGCAAATTTATAGTTCCCCGAGGGAGGAAACTATTTCCCGAGGCGGCGAAGCCGCCGAGGGGAATAGTTTCCTGCCGAGGAGAACCATAAATTTGCTATTTCGTACGGAGACCCAACCACTTGCCGGTGAAGAGCTGCAAATTTCGTCCTGTTCTCGGCACTGAAGGCCATTGAGCAGGGAGGGATCTTTTTCATGCCAGCACTTACTGCGACACGGGACCTTGGTTTATATGGTCTCATCTGAAGGACCGGTTTCCACGTCCCACAGTGGGATTCGAACCCGCGAAGTAAGGATCAACTCCTTACTTCGCGACTCTCCAGCAGACGCTCTAACCACTGCGCCAGGCGGGTGACCATATTATAATGCATTCCTGGCAGATGCTGTCACTTATTTCTTAATTTATCTGTTTAAACAAAACATACAAATTCTGGAAATTTATTTCAGTACATTTTACACAGTTTTTGTCACAACATACGGTTTTTTCAAACACTAAACTGTCTTATCATTTTCAAAATTCAATAAATACATCAAAATATTAAATGAAATGTTAGAGCTTTGTGGATAATTTTTATTCAGAAAATAAAGATGAGATTGAATTCAAGTTACAATCACATCAACCAATCTCTCCTTCTCTTACATGATCATTGTAAAACAGCCATTTTCATTGGTTTAAAGCTTGTAACTATGATGAAAGCTTGTAAATATGATGAATGATGACTTAATAAAGTAATGAAAACAAATGGTTGACTATTTTCCACAAAGTTAAGTACACGTACATATACGAAGTACCTCTAATTAGCCACTTGTGAAAATGTTTTACAGGATAAACCTTGTTACAAAAAGAAAGCACTCATACAGTCATACATATATCTGCACCAAATAGCGAAATAATGTCATACCAATGCATGTCAGATCAAAAAACACTTTGAACAAGAAAAATTTCAAACATATTGATAGATCAAGGGCCCCTTACTGCTTTAAACACCCCCCCCCAACAAAAACCAAAATCAGATCTTAAACATGCATAAAAAAAATGCTTCCAAAGAGTGAGTAAACAATCAAAACAACAAAATGATTGACATTTACTGTACAATTTGACTTTTTAAATAACTTAAGTCTATTCAATATTTCAAAAGCAATACCCATACACCACATATTTTCAGACTTTTTCATTATGTATTACATTCAACTGTATAAAGCAAATATTTCTTAGCAAAACTCAAAACTAAAATGATGTACTCAGCAAAATTTTACTTATAAAAGCATTTCATATGAGTATCATAAATATACCAAATTCTTTTTACATTCATTTAGTAGTGTGAATCTTGAATATATTGTAAATTATTGAGCATAAGCATTAAAACATAGCATCAAAGTGTTCATTTTTATTTTTTTTTTTAAAATATACTTGTATAACAAGCAGCTGTGTTTAACAGAGATTCATCAACCTGATTTCCATAAAAAAAAAAGTTAATATGTATTATGCTTGCTCACGCATGCATCATCACAGATTTCTGTCTCTTACTGGATCTGAGCAGGAAGTTCAACACAAAACATTGACTGGCTCTTTTCGTTTACAAGTTCATACTTCACAACTAGCCTTATCTAAAAATAGAATACATAAGAAACTTAAGCGCAGGTCTGAAAAAGTTGACTTAATCATCCTTTAAAAGTTTTGATCCATGAAGTCAAGTACAACAGCATTTTATAGGTATAGTGAAGTTTTTTTACATTTACCCCCCCCCCCGCCAAAAAAAAGATTACTATAGAATATACCTTAGGATAGTTTGTCAGAACTGGAATTTTGTTAGAATACTTGTAGCTTTTTCCAGTGGCCACTGGACAATTGATTCCTGAATCCACGCACCCATTTGTATTAGGGGGAGTGAATGGAATGGGAATACCTCCAATGATCCCATGAACTACAGCTTTGAGTTGTGTGGCAGCAGTGTCTAAAAAATCCAATCACTTACAGCTTATAAACTGACCTACTAGTACTATACATTGTACATAGATGTCTAGTTTAGTAGTTATGTGTCTATAAATGAATGCTCAAAAATGTATGCATGCATATATGCATGAATCCAGGCAATGGAAATGTATCCAATATTTTTCTGACAAAAACTAAATGTATTATGGAAATACATTTAAATTTCATATGTTCTAATCTAATAAAGGATACTAACCTGCAACAAAGTCCACTTCAATTGTAGCATTTGTTCCCCTTTTTAATGTGCATGGTGCCACAGTGCATCCAAGAACTCCAACCCCCTTCACATGTGTTTTGCCATCTATTAAATCAAGATAAGAAATCTGACATGCCAAATTGTACAATTTGTTTGAAGCAAGAGAGTAATTGTTTTCAATTAATTTTAAGTGATAAAATTTTAAAGTATTGGTGCATGGTGGTGGGTGGGGTGGGGTTAGATGGAGGGTTATTCTCTTTTGAGTAAAATGAGCAATCAACTTCTCAACAGAGAAAAGGGTGGTGGGGCTTCAGTAGTCCACTCCTTTTTTAATTTCTTTCAAAGTCCCTTCCTCTTTTTTCCACCCTTAACTCTATACACAGATCATATGCAGCCTTTATCATGCATCATATCTACCACCATATAACCTAATAATTATTGTAGAATATTATTTTTTAAAATCAAAATGTTTAATTTCTAATACTATGGTCTAACGTCTGAATTCACACAAAGCAAAATTAAAAAAAAAAGTATTTTTAACTTCAGAAAAAATCTACACAATTTCACAATAATGACTGACCAAAACCATGTGTAGCCATAGGATTTATTTTTACCTATATCCGAATAACATTAATTGTAATTTTCTAACCGTGTGTTCCGAACATATTCTTTCGCTGTTTCCACAACCAAACATTCCTCATAATTGTTGTTAATGACCCTGATATTGTAATAATAGAACATTTCGCTTATTTATACTGCCATTTTGGTTTCAGTACCTACCACATTCTTTAAATGGAATGGCAGCAGACACAACAGATATAAGCAAAGTTACAACAGAGAGAACCAAAAGCTTCATTTTTCCGATCATCATCATGAACTGTGAAGTTTTTCCTCGTTTCTACGGATCATGTGAGCAAATCACGTGACTGTCGTACGATTGACTAATTACTTCCGCTTTCAAAATCAAGGCGTGGATCAAAATGCCCTTTTCGCAATGACTACACTAAGAATAATTTAATAGTTAGCTGAATTTATGATTGTTGAATAAAAAATATATAAAATAAATAAATAAAAAAAATTCTAATGCCCTGCATTGAGCTCTTTTTAGTAGGTAAAAAAAAAAATCCCGTTATAACGCGAAACTTTCGCGAAAAACGCGTGTACATACTATTATAAAAATGTTACTTAGAGACCTTTGACCTAGAATGACAGGCAGACGGGAATTTCTATGAATTTATCATATGACAGAGGGAATTTTTCTCAGAAAATGTAAAGGAGAAATGACGCGAGAATAAGATAAATTAGTCCGCTTCATATTTTTGCATTTTATTTAAAATCCCTACTAATTAATATCTATAAAATGAATACATTCCTTTAAAGATTTTCTTGTTTTCACTTGTTGAAATCAAGAAATTCTTAAGACTGATTTTTCGAGAGTTTGTACACTTTGAATTCATTGTCATTACTCAGTGTTTCGTAAGCAACACTGGTGGTATGACCATGTGGTGCAACCTCAAAATACGATGCTGTATATATATTTCTACAGTGAGTCTTTCGGAGACAAATGAACATTCACAGTACATGTACGTCCCCATGTAAAGGTACACAATTTAGAACATTACACTGTACTTCATTTTTTTTTCAATTTCATTGATTCTTAAGAACTGAGATCTTATTTTGCTATCAAATTCTACAGAGAGTGCAAAATAAAGACACCGACATTCATCCCTAAATTCAAAACTGTTAGCTCCACTTTTAGAAAACGCGCATAGATTTTGAATTGTTTGAACAGTATTGAGAAACACAAAATGTGACAGAAAAAAGATTTAGTAAGAGGAAATTGTAACAAATAAATTAGATCATAAAATCAAATGGAAATTAAAACTTGCGCAAATGTCTCGGTTAAACAGCGCTATAACGCAAAACTTACACGTTTGTTCGCGAAAGCTTCGCGTTATAACGCTAAAGAAAGGCGTTACTTCGCGATAGTTTCGCGTTTTTTCGCAAAAGTGTCGCGTTATATATCGAAAACTTTATTCATTTTAACCTACAAAAATGAGCTCAATGGGCTTTCGTAATAGATAAATAAATAAATAAATAGATCACAAATAAAACAATTCAGTATGAAATTATTAATTAAAAGTGCTCTCCTCCCATTTTTCTTATATTGATAGAATATACAGAGTGCAGATAACCAGAACTTCACCACTATAACATACAGAAAGTGCTTGAGCATTATAACTGATGTTACTATTTGGTTTTATATGTACATGTATGCCCGCCCCCTTAGACATATAAAACATATGAACAAAAGATGTCATCATATGACACTGTGTTTATAACTGACATTATATACAATGTCAATTCATAGATAAATAAGAAATAAAATATACCATGTATGCATATAGATTAGGCTATCATTAAAAAAATTGTTTGGTATTGTTGCCTGGAGAGTTTCAGACACAGAAGGGAGGGAACTTTTTTTCTTCAAAATTGAAGATGATTTTTTATTTTTTAAAATCAAATTGAAAAATTTCAATAAACAGTAAAACACATTTTCTGACTTTTTGAAAAAAAAAACAAAAAAAAAACAGTGTCAAGAATTGTTTTAAATAAAACAATATATTGTAATTCTCTCCAAATCAGGTAAAATGATGTCTTATATTTGAAACATGACTTTACTTGTAGCTAAAATCCAAATACGATCTTGAATTTTTAATTTCAACTTACTATGTAGTTTAATAAGGAAAAAACCATTGATCTTTAATAATTGGCACATGAGTGTTCATGACCCCCCGCCCCCACTTTGACTTCGACCTTACTCATGACCCTCACCCTCCCAATCTCATTTGACTTTGATCTACATCCCTCTTTATTATTAGTTATCAGATTGGGTAAATTGGATTTGGCTTGATCATCAGAATTCCTAGAATAATGTATGAACCACCAGTCTAATATTATCCTTGTAGTCACATTCTCTATTCTTTTCTATGTCTTTGTAAACACCTATTCCAGCTAGTGTCAACATAAACATGACTGCTACATGTATAGAAATCTAGAGAAAATTGATCATATTAGCAAAATCCCTTATCAAAAATTCAAAATTGGTCTAACAGTGCTCTTTTGGGGGACATATATTCTTAGCATAATGCAGACATCTCACAAAACAGGTGACATAAAAATGGATTATCTTTTCAAGGCTTAAACTTATATGATAAATTCTGTTGTTTAGTTTCAATATAGAGGGGATAACAAATAAGATAATCAATTTGTACATTCACAGTGTTTTCTTCTTTTTTATTCATTATCTTTTCAACAATTTACCATAAAAACAAAGTCAACCAACTAAAATGGTTCAGTTTTCACATAAAAACAAGTGACTTTTTAAAATCCTGGTCTGATACATTTGTGTTTCAGTTTTATGTCAATAACATGTACTGCCCTTTTTTTCAAACAAATGAATGTTGTATATAAAATCAGTTCATCTCTTAAATACTCCCAGCTTTAACAGATAAACATTATACATGTACACATACATGTTCATGTTTGCAATTTTTTCCAGTTGTAACACAATCAACTAGTACTTCATGGTGAAATCTTTTGGGCTAAAATTCCATATACATTAATTTACTTCATTGCAATTAAATATACTTCATTCAATATTCTTTACATGCTTTTCATATCTATCACAATAAAACATGTCCTTTTCATATGTAAAGAATTTTTATGTAATCTCTGAATCTCCCAAAGAAGTTAAAAATATATTACATCAATTATAATTTGAGATTATTGTGTGTAAAGCTTTTATAATAATAATAATAATAAAAAAAAAACAATAAGAAGGCAATTCTGAAGAGAAAATATACATGCATCACATTGCATTTCTCTGTAACACAATACAGTGTAATATAGGGATGTGATCTGAATTTTTGATATTGATATAATTCAAATTTTACTCTTTTTCAAGAAGCATTACAGAACTGTGATGTGTAATCTTATTTTCAATTTAGGCTTCAAATATCAAAACAATACTGAAGAGCAACTTTTAACCTCAAATAAGATTCAGAGGTTTTGACAAAGTTCATTACGGCTACAACATAAATAATTCAGTATATAAATGTGGAGCTGATATTGTCATAAAATAAAGTTTGATAAATTAAAACACAAATTTTACTGTTGCTAGAAATTTAAAACAATTTCTCCACCATAAATATATCTATGAAGACTTTTTTTTGTTTGAATCATTAAATTTGGGAACAAATATTGATACATGAAGTAAAATAACTTGGATGAGAATGTGGTTCATAAAATTCACAAAAATCTCAAGTATTTTTTCAAGTGTTTGCTCTGGTCCAGTTTTTCACTTATAAATGACCAATTATGTCAAATAACTTGAAGAGCAACCAACCATTCTTTCACAATTACAACACATGATGAATAAGAAAATTCAATCTTTGTCTCAATGTAAAATTTCATTTCCCTATACCAAAAAAGATGTAAGCAATGAAGCATGTAATAATAAAAAGGAGACATTGTTTTCTGATTTCATTGCACCAGCAAATTGATAATAATGGTATATATTTTTTATACCAATGGTAAAAATTACTTATGTTGAGTTCTGATTTGATTTTGATGACATGGATCATACTTGACTTGAGTTGGGGAAGGAGGGGGTGTTTATGCCATAAATACAACAAATATGATGAAGAATAATATAAGAACAGCAAATATCTTGATCATTAGCCATCGATTTGATGTCACTGACTGAAAGTACTTCAGAATTTCACTGTGAGCTGCTTCTACATTCATAACTGCATCATCTGTATTGGCATCAATTCTGAAAGATAAAGTGTGACACTACATACAAAATATAGATATTAAAACTGAAAATGAATCACTCCATACACAACATTACACTTTTCTAAAAGAATAGAGATTTTCAAAAGTCAACATTTATAATCTACATATTTGATTTTTGCTTTAAAAAATTCTAGTTGTGCTTACAAGAATTCAGAGCACATTTTACTACAAAGGTAAGTTCTACTGACCTGTGCACCATTTCTTCTTGTTCTTTGACCATATGTGCTAGCTGTGTGAATATTCCTCCTAATTCTACAATCGTACTCTCTATATTCTTCATGGTGTCTGCTCTATCCTGGATGTAATCATCCTAAATAAACCAAGAAAAACAATTTATATTATTAGCTGTTCTTCAGATAGAAAGAGGAAACACTTTATACATATATATGTATTAAGGATTTTTTTTTTTTTTTTTTTTTTTTTTTTTTTTTTTTTTTTTTTTAGAAAGCAGCAATATTTCTCTTAGATTAATACACTGTATTCAGGTAGGTAACTTGAATATTTTCCAGGTAAACTGGGAGAATTTTGTAAGATTTTGTCACAATGTCAAAAATATGTGCAAAATTTTGTATAGAATTGTACATGGGAATTTTTTTTTAACTAGAAAATTTTAACATACAAGTTGACAGGTTGAGAATATCTAGGAATTAAAAAAAAATCATTTCCTAGACATAAAAAAAAAGTTTTCAGCAAGGCAATATTTAGGTAGTTGATCAGGAAAGGGCAAAGAAACATTTTTTTAAAAGATGGCTTCACATTTTTATTAATTTTTAAAAATATATTTCACCTACCTGTTGATCTATCAGCTGCATCTGCTGCTGAAATCTATTTTTGTCCATTCCGTCCATATTGAGGACAACGTCACCCCCTCCTGTGGCGCCCTGGGAATTCATTTCATCTTGAAACAATACTGAACCTGTGCAGAGAAAAGAATTTAATCTTTATACTGAAAAAGAAGTCTGATGAAAATTTCAATAATTCACATTCACAATATACATTAAAGTATTAACCTGAGTTCTAAATCTCTTAGACTTTTTTAAGGCGTGTTGAAATATTACATACTTGTATTCATCAAACAAGGATAGTCAAAGACACAAGTACAAATCGAAACAAGTATGTATATTAAACAATATGATGAGTTTATATATGTCTTGTGTAACAATCAAAGTTCTATAATAAGAAGAGATTCCATCAGAAATCCTGGATTTACTTCCCTTGATGACTATCCTGTTGCAAATAAACCAATTTCCTGCACAAACCATGTGCATAAAATGTATGCAAGGCCCTCAAATTGAAAAACATTGCAATGTTTTTATGTATTTCCATCGCATGTTTAAAAAAATTCTTCTTTTTTTCACAAGAATTTTAAGCATTGCTGTACATTAAATCATGCTTATAACCAAGTGCCAGGGGTGGGCGATTTTTTTTGTTCATTATAAAAACTAGGTTCATAATATATTTTATAGACACAAGATATGATAATTGCTTCACTGTATGCATCAATTCATAAAAGTGTTTGCTATCAGTGTGTTTCACTGTATTTTTCAAAAAATAAAATCAAATAAATATATTACATACATTTTTCTTCAGAACTTACTGTGATTGCTGTACGTTGTGTTAGACATGGCGGGGGACTCGGAGAACTGATCTCGCCTTGTCTTCTGGTGCCTTAAATTCTGACAAAATAACAATTTTTTAAAAATTTTTAAATATAAGCATTATGGATTTAGTACAAAAAATTAACTAAAAACCTTTAAAGAAATACCGGTATTTCTTAACCATCATAGACAAAGTCAACAATAAATTTTCATGTGACAAAATTAACAATTAGTTAGTAAGTCATAGGGAAAGAAAACCTCAGGGTTTCAGATTGAAATAAGTAACTATAAGACATCTGGCATATTTACCAGAAAAGTTATAGGCCATTCTGTCCAAAACTTCCTAAAATTATAGGCCAATAGAAAAGTTAAACTTACTCAGATTTCTGTAAGACTTTTACAAAAAATCATTTAATTACATAAAATATTCATAAATATACAGTTAATTCTCGATAAACCGCCACCTTTTGTAATTTAGAAATCATGGCGGTATAACGAATTTGGCGATGAATTGAATTTCCCATCGTTTAGGAAACCAGAAGTAGAGTTACCGTTCTTAGAAATACAATTTAGCGTTTCTATTCTCATTATTACATGTACATGTACATATTAAAACATATTTCTAAGTTTTAAAATACTTCAAGTAATTTTTTATGCACAATTTGCTAAAACAAAATGTGCAGTTATGAAATAAAGACAAGCACATGTGGATGCATGTAAATCTTACGACTGATATTGAAAAAAAAATGCTGGGTCGATCGTCGTGATATATTGCCGATAAATTAAAATGAATTCTTGAATATTCATTGTTTAAGGTATCATTGTTAATAAAACGTTCACAATTTATACCGTATAATTATTTTTTAAGCAAATTTTGCATTGTTTAAAGCAGAGATCATCAAAATAATATCGTTATCTGTGTTCTTAAACAACGACCGCCTTTGTGGCAAAGCCGTCACTAAATGATTTTTATTAAACAGAAAACAAAATTATCATAACAGTTCATGTTAAAATCATTGTTTATTTAATTCTTATTTAATTATTTAATTGCATGTACCTTGCCTGGCTTTGCATGCTTTACAACAGGGATAGCGTCAACCAATTAGCCGTGCTTCACTGACCACATGCACCTGTGGCGGTATATCGAGATAATTGACACTTAGAAATGGACGTTTGTTGTGAAAACAGGGTGGCGGATGGCGGTATGCGAATTTGGCGTTATAAAGAGAATTTTATATAGCAGGAAAAACGTTCTTGGCAAATCATGGCGGTATAGCGAAAATGGTGATGAATCGAATGGCGATAATTCGAGAATTGACTGTATATTAATTTTCCTTTCAATAAAGTGTAAAATAATTTTTTGTTTCTTTTAAACAATATCAATATATTGAAACAGAATGGGATTTTTTTTTTTTTAATTCAATTCAATGGGTTTTGTCAAGATTTAATATACCCAAATGACATTGGCTGATTGAATCTGCAGTTGCAGAAAATAGTAAAAACAATTAGATCTAAACTGTACCATGTTTACGACTGGCCTTTACATCCAGAAGTTAATCAGCCATTCTGTCTGTTCAATGTCAAACTTATAGGCCATGTTGGCAGGTAAATTTAATTTTTTCCTGCCATATTGCATTTTTATCGGCAAATGGTCAATGGCCGACGCCAATCTGAAACCCTGAAACCTATAAATAAAATTAATTTCTTCAGCAAACATACCTCTGTTCTGACTTCTAAGACTTCTTTGAAATCATTTGACATGGTGGCAAGTTTTGACTGTTAAAAGAAGATAATGTTAATTAAATTAATTTTGTGCCATGTTTTTAAAAATTTGCAAACATATCTATTAGAGAAACAATCCCTGATCATTACTTATCATTAACCTATTTCATACATGTACACTGTACATGTATTTTAAAATTGACAGTGTTAACCATGTTTGAACCAATCAGATCGTGATTCTTAATTGTGCTTAACTTTAAATGAACTGCAGATGCCCTATAAATTGTAACAGAAAGTGAAAGTAGTAAGTAGCATAGTAACAAGTCCATTTTTTGGGTCAAGGTCACACAGCCTCTACTGACCTGTAGGGACACAACCACGGAGTTGGAGTGACTCTGTACGTGCCTGGCGTTGGGGTGTGACTTGGCCACCTGTTGTAGCTGTGCTATCTGCTTGTTCAGACTCTGTATGTCCTGATTAATTATGTACGTCAGCTCCTGGATCTCCACCGGCTTGTCATCAAAGAGGGACTTCTTCTTAGCCACTTTAAAAATACAGATTACAAATAAGTCATTGTTTTATGACTGTCATCATCATCATCGCAAAGCACAGTTTTGACTCCATAAGCTCCCTCAAATCAGATTATAGAGAGAGTCGAAGTGAGTCACACATGAATAACTGACGATAACGTATTGTTGATTTACAAAACACTTTGATGAAGAAAAAAATGAAAATTGACTTTGATATGGTACTTACACATGGTGAGTTTTTCAAGTTTTGCAAATGTGTTTGCCAAGTCACGGCCAATTTTTCTGAAGAGAAAAATATCCAATGGTTGAATGAAATACTTATAGATATTCATGTATATTTAATTTATGAATCAAAATCCTTTTTTTGATCAAAGTAATCTGATCACTTGGAGAGACAAAAACTCTCTTAGGCCCAAAAAAATTAATCAATTGTTTCTCAGGCACCGCCGCATCAGTTCAAAAACGGCCGCATTGATCAATTTTATTGATGTATTGAAAAGGGAAATAACTCAATTTTCTATTTTTCCAAGTTGAAAAAGAAAATCGAGTTATTCCCCTTTTACTAAATGATAAGATAGGCGTTTTTATTAGAAAAACAAGATATTTCTTCTAAATTTACAGTATTTTATGAATTAACTTTTAAATAAATATTTGGAATAACATTATTTAAAGTTAAAAACATGTCATAACTAATTTCAGAGAACAAACATTAAGAATCAGTAGATATTATCATTTTTTTGAACAAATGGTTGAAAAAAGGTGTAAAACCTGCTTCAAAAAAAAAAAAAAAAAGTCTGCCTGCCGCATTGAATTTTGAATTTTTTGGCCTGAGAAACTATTAATTAATTTTTTTTGGCCTTAATTGCATCAAATATTTAATTAAAACAAATTTCAACCAATTTTACTTCACTGGGATGATATGCAATATTTTCATCTTTCAATGTTTACATGCAATTTTTGGCAATTTAAGAAATGAAATAATGTGACCATTTAAATAATTTGAAATTACTTTGCAATTTGAGTAAATTCACTCCTTTGTCGTAATGCAGGGTTTCTCTTGTGAGCCAGTGTTCCATTTCCCTGCAGTGGATAAATAAATCATGTTACGATACACATTTTCTTAAACAACAAAAAGAAACCCTCAAATGGGGGAGAGTGTCATGCTCAATGCACCCCAGAGTTGGATTCATGTTTTGTTACTACTAATTAACAATTTATTTCAAACATGAAGCTAAAATCCCCTGCTAATCGCCTTTTGGTTTCAAGAAACTTGAAGAGAGGAATACAGTATGACTGTGATGATAGGCACATGAAATTTTCGGATATTCTCCCTTCCATCCCCCTGTGTGTGTGTGTTATTTTTTTTTTTTCGATACAGTAAGAAGTAAGAAAGTCAGCTCATAATCTAGATATAAATAATCCATCTTAAATATTTGTGAAATTTGCTTATAAAATGTACTATATATATCATACCTGTCTTGATTGTAATAATTTTGCTGCAGAAAGGAACTCATTGGTTCGATCTCTACAAGACATTTCTGTTTCTACTGGAATCTCTGAGACAATTGTCTGACTTGTTTGTGTGGATATTCCGCTTTGTTGTTTAGAATCAGATCCAGAGTTGGTACGGCGTCTTCTCGCTATCATTGATCTTGCTCTAAGATATCACCTAAAGTACATGTATACAATTTTAAAATTATTGACATTTCTCAAAAGAAATAAAGTTTTGATATGTTTATGGTTGTGTCCACCAAGAAATGTGAATCATACTGTGTGAAAAACTGTCATTTTTTTTTTATGTGACAGGGACCTGTGATCAATAATCTGTGTCTATTTTACTGATATTTTGAACAGGTGTTCTTTTTCTTAGCATTATATTTATTCCAATAATGGAAACTCACACATACAATCTAGTTAAGTCACTGTTAAGTGCAATATGAAAGAAAAAAAACTGGGTCATGGAGAAAAATGTGACTGAATATTGATGAATTTACGATGGCGTTGGACTGAATATTAATGAACTGGTAAATACAGAGATTATACATAGAAATGCCGTTTAACAGCAATAAGAATGAGAGCATTTGGGAGATTTTTAAACAAAACCTGTGTACATATAGTGATATACAGTGATGTATCTTCATGCTGTTATTCCATGTTATTTAAAATTCATTTTACGTATACAAATCAGCCAAATTTCGTTTGTCCTTTACCTACCCAAAACAAGACCGTCACACCGACTACCAAAACTCACGAACTTTTCACTTAATTTCTTAACTTTTACAGATAGTCATGGTCATATTTTCTGTTTTGACACAACAGCACAAACCTTCCACGAATCTATTACGTCACATCCGCCCGACACCGGAAGCAGTGCGCGCTGTTATAAAACGAAATCGCACACGAAGGGAATCATTTGGTCGCGAGACCGTGAACAGTGCAGATACAAAGAGCACGTCGTGCAGCTTGCAAAACGATTTGATTGATAAATTAAAGAAAATATCACAATGCCTCCAACGGTTTCTGATTCCAAATCTGTAGGGAATACAGGTTTGTATATTTTAAAAATACAAATATAATATTTTCCCGTACTTTGTTTAACAACAAAAAAGTTGTCGCCCTTTTTTTCAGACGACGCAAATCTTAATGTAAAGTGCTTGAGGGTGTCATACTTTCTGTTTTTAGATTAATGTGTGTTTCATATGTGTTCATATTCAAACAAGAGTTTCAGAGTTGCTAGTAAAAGAATTATTTGCTGACTGATTATTTATTTTCAAGTGATGGAAAAAATAGAGAAGACTCTAAAGGAGCGGATCATGATATTTGATGGTGGTATGGGAACGATGATTCAGATGCATCGCCTCGAGGAAGAAGACTTCAGAGGAGAAGAGTTCAAAGATCATCCTAAAAGTCTTAAGGGGAATAATGATATACTTGTTCTAACTCAGCCCAAAATTATATTGGATATTCATAAGGTTTATATTTATTTGTAACCATTTCTTGTATAATAGTAAGAAGCATTACATGAAGTTAATGTTTTAAAATCCTATAGGTAACCAATAGGAGGAAAACTGCAGTTGTTCAACATAACAAACACTCTAAGCTGCATCTGCCATGTAGAAAATAAAAAAAAAGAATTATTACATTTAAATAAAGTTCCTGTTCAAATGTTGTTGGATCAGTGTTATATCACTCTAGACTTGACTATTTATTCTTTAAATATCTTTATATTAATTCTTTAATATAAATTAAAAGATTTACCCCCCCCCCCCCACCACCACCACCATTTTTACTATTTACTCTTTTCCTCTTTAGGATTATTTAGAAGCTGGTGCAGATTTTGTGGAAACAAATACATTTAGTGGGACCAGGATTGCTCAGGCTGACTATGGAACAGAACACTTGGTATTATTTAATTATTAAGAAATGAAAAATTGTGTTTTTAACAACCTTTATTTTGCAAACTCCATATTTTGCTTTTTTCCAGACATACAGATTAAACTTTGAAGCTGCAAAAATTGCAAAGCAGGCAGCAGAAGAGGTTTCAAATAAAACAGGTCGGGATACACACCATAACCACCCCTCCTCATAACAAAAAATAAATGCAACGAAAAAAATCACATTATAATTATATGCTATATATATATATGAGACTTAAACCATGAATAAATATTTTATGTATATGTGTTTACCCACATAATTATTTCAGTAAATCATTTAAAATGTTGAAATTTTTGTTTGCACAGGCATTCCAAAATATGTAGCTGGTGCAATGGGTCCAACAAACAGAACACTGTCAATATCTCCCTCTGTGGAGAAACCAGAGTATAGGAACATCAGTAAGTGACCATCTCATTAATCGCCATAGCTACATTAACTTATAATAATTTTCTTCTCAGGCTTTATCATTTAAATTAAAATTTGTCAGTGATACATTAACTTATAATAATTTTCTTCTTAGGCTTTTATCATTTTAAATTTATCAGTGACAAATACTTTCACCTCAGAGCTCTCAATTTATCCATGTTATCCAATCATCTTGGAGTAAGATGAGAAATGTCATCTTCACTAGCCTTATTATAGGGATTAAAATCTGCTTCTCTTCTCTCTGTGTTCAAGAGGAGTGGAGCGGATCATAAACCCTTGGCTAGCGAAAATGGAGAAAGGTGAAACTTATCTTATTTGTGCAAGACTTATTTATTTTATTCCTATTCAAACCATTTCTTCGTCAGCTTTTGATGAACTGGTTGAAGCATACACAGAACAAGCCAAGGGACTGATAGAAGGAGGGGCTGATGTGTTACTGGTGGAGACAATTTTCGACACAGCAAATTCCAAGGCAGCACTGTTTGCCATTGAAGAACTGTTTCAGAAAGAGAACTTTGAGTGTCCCGTGTTTGTGTCTGGAACAATTGTAGACAAGAGTGGTAGAACTCTATCAGGCCAGACCACAGAGGCTTTCATTATCAGTGTGTCTCATGCAAATCCTATGTGGTATGTAGATTCAGTCCTCTACTGAAGAAAATATGCTGTGGACTCATGACCTTATTGACAATAATAAATTACATTAAATATATCATCTACTTGTTTGGAACCATGACTTATTTTGCTGAAAAATGATATATAAGTGGAAAGTCCTTTAAATATGATCTTTGATTTAGTTGATTTGACAAATATGTTTGAGCTTAATTGCTTGAATGTAGTCTGTCAATTTCTACAGTTGATATTTCCTATGACACTGTTCTTCTGTTTTCAGTATTGGATTAAATTGTGCGTTAGGTGCCAATGAGATGAGGCCTTTCATTGAGGCAGTCAGTAAAAATACAACAGCATACACAATATGCTATCCAAATGCAGGTTTGATTTCACATCATTATTTTTCAGTACTCTTTGCTAATCTGCTGTAATTTTCCAGAGATGTGGAAAAAGAAATTCCAAGAAACAAAACTTATATGATATTTTACATTTTACAGGATTACCAAATACATTTGGAGATTATGATGAAACCCCAGAGAGCATGAGTGAACAACTTTCAGTAAGGCTAATAACAGTGTACAATGGTTGCAGAGTGCAAAATTTTTTGCAGAGTCTTTGCATGCAAAGTCAAAAAAATTCATGGAAAGAAATATTGTACAAATATTAATACAGCTGATCTTCGGTAATTCTTATATTAATATGATCTAGATTATGATTTACATATGAAAGTCGGATGAAGCCCAATCCACTTTTAGTTTTTTTTATCTCCAATATCTTTAATCCTCTTGAATTCAATTATTTTTCTTGACCAATCCAATCAGAAATAATGAGGTTTGATTGTAGTTATATAGTTTTGTTATTTGAGTCTTGCTGTGTATTTTTCAGAGTTTTGCCCAGGCTGGCCTGCTGAACATTGTAGGTGGGTGTTGTGGGACCACACCCGAACACATTAGGTAAGTGAATTAGAATGTCAGTGGTTTCTCACTCTTTGCAGAGTTCTTAATTGTTTAATAGTTTGAATTTTTCTATATGCATTACAAGTGATTTAACTTGGATGTGATTTATGTACAGTAATTAAAGGCATATTATTTCTCCTATTGAGTACTCCAACATTTTAAAATACATGTTGTTTTGTACACATTGATCATCCATTAGTATGTTGCAGTTCTTTCCCTTTGATAGAATACATGTACATAGTATTTAATTTTTCTTTCAGAGCAATAGCAGAAGGGGTTTCTCAGTTCAAACCAAGAATTCCACCACAGGAGCTTAGAAAAGACTTCATGATGCTCTCAGGTAACATTAAATTTTGTAGGCTATTCAATTTCATACAAAACACAAAGAAAATACTTTCAGTCAGAATACGAAATACTTTTAAGCCTGTAGGCCTACATACAATTTTTTTTTAAATAATGAAGGAGGTACATGTATTTCATTGTAATATTTTGCATATGAAGTATTCAGAATAATTTTCTCTTGTTCCTCAGGTCTTGAGCCGACATATATAGGGCCATACACTAACTTTGTGAATATTGGGGAGAGATGTAATGTGGCAGGATCTCGAAAGTTTGCCAAACTTATTAAAAATGGAGAGTACGAGGTAAGAAAAAAATCCCAGGCTTCTGATAAAGATGTCTTCATGTTATCAAGGATTATTCATGCATAGACATTATAAATTGAACATGATTGTATTTCGATTAGCTTTTTAAAAACTTTTGCATTGTACAAACAGTACATTTGTATAAAGATGTACCATTGACATTTTGATTCCCTTATGTGTATTAACTTTATTTTTTGTAACACTTGTTTAAAAATATAAGATATATCCTAAATGTATATTTGTAATCTTGAGATACCTTAACCTAGAGCTGTTACTACTTTACAGGAAGCCTTAAGTATTGCAAAAACTCAGGTAGAAAATGGAGCCCAAGTCCTGGATATCAACATGGATGAAGGGATGTTAGATGGAGTGGCATGCATGTCCAAATTTACCAATCTCATTGCTTCAGAACCAGAAATCTCAAAGGTTTGTGACCCATCAAAAAAGTGTAAAATCATTTAATGGTCAATATCAGAACCTAAAATCTTTAAGGTGTGCAATTCATCAAATTTTCCAATCTCTCTGCTTCACATCCAAAAAGCTCAACAAAAGTATAAAATTCATTTAATGCTCAATATCAAAACCAGAAATCTTAAAGGTTTGCTGAAAACCTATTATTATGTAATGATCAGTATCCTGATAATTTTGATTTACATGTATCTGCAGGAAGGACAACATATTTTCTATATGAAGAATTGTTGAATATTTTATTGCATAATTTCGTGTGTGTTATTTCTTAACAGGTGCCCCTCTGTATAGATTCCTCAAACTTTGCTGTGATAGAAGCAGGACTGAAATGCACTCAGGGAAAATGCATTGTAAACAGTATTAGCTTGAAAGAAGGAGAGGAGGACTTTATAGAAAAGGCCAGGAAGATCAAACTTTATGGTGGTGCTGTTGTAATTATGGCATTTGATGAGCAAGGACAAGTGAGTACCATGAAAAGTATAATATCAAAAAATAAAATCCTGCATTTACTTGTGATTTTAGAAAAAAAAATCAAACAAAATATTTTTCTTCCACTGTAAAGGCAGCAGACAGGAAAAGGAAGTACGAAATTTGTGCGAGGTCCTACAGAATACTTGTGGACAAAGTGAAGTTTAACCCTAATGACATAATATTTGACCCAAATATCCTCACCATAGCAACAGGAATCGAAGAACACAACACATATGGAGTAGATTTCATCATGGCAACCAAAGACATCAAGGTTGTACTAAAATATGAGTATAAGGCCATACTTAAAAATTTGTTTGTTTGGAATTGCCGCCTGAAGGGTTTCAGACACAGGAGGGAGGGAGGGAAATTAATTTTTTTTTTTAATTGAAAACTAATTTTACATAGATCTGACACTATATTTCAATGTTTTGTATGGTGCATGTGATACAGGTAATGGGCCAAAAAAAATGATTAAATAAAAAAAAATCTTCCTACTTTTGGTCAATAAAATTTTTTCAGGAGGGGGCATTTCAATGAGGCGGGAGGCAATTCCAAACAAACAATAATTTTATATTGGCCCAAGTTGCTCACAAGTTATTTGAAATGAGCAGCTTTGCCAGGTGTTATGCTTAATTAAGTAAATCTGATAATTAATTTTCCTTTTCATTATTTTATAGCTGATTAACAAAATAACCTTGACCTTTTAAATAATTTAAGAGAATTCCTATTTTAGGAGAATTTACCAGGGGCCAGAGTTAGTGGAGGTGTGTCTAATTTCTCATTTTCCTTTCGTGGAATGGATGCTGTTCGAGAGGCCATGCATAGTGTGTTCCTTTATCATGCAATCAAGGTATTCAGAAGGTTCTTGGTAGCTAGCTGTAGTCAAGAAATTTTGGAATTTTAATGTTAGACTTCAAAAATAATTAAAAACAAATTGGAAGATTTTTATTAATTATTACTTGAGCCATATATATCAGTAAAGATCTTCAGCTCACAAGCTGTTTACGAACCATTTTGAAAGTTATATAACAGGGGAAAAACTCCTGTTGAACACAATTCTTTTAATTGTATATATGCTAAACACAGCCACAATTAATTACATTTATTCTAGTAGTAGAATGTTTCCGAGTCAAAATGGGCTATATACTGATAGAATATTTTTCATAATTAGACCAAATGATTTTCCTCTGAGAATATCAGAAAATCACTAATTAACAAAAAGTAATCGGTGATATTAGGTGAAGCCTCAGTTTTCATTTATTATCTGGCTCCTAATGGTACATGTGTATATTTAGAATGGAATGGACATGGGTATTGTGAATGCTGGATGTCTGCCCGTTTATGATGATATTGAGCCCAAGCTTCTGGAACTATCTGAAAATTTGCTGTGGAACAAAGATCCAGATGGGACAGAAAAACTGCTAGCATATGCTCAGGTGAAATTTTGTAATAATTCTTGGCTGAAAAGCATGTGTTAAGGGTAAAATCAATTTGTATCTTTTAGGTGAATTAGTGTAGTCAACATAATTTCAAAGTTTATAATACAGTATAAGTAGAATTTTTAGCGAGGATTTAATTTTGGCATTATTAGCGAGGGTGTCGAGATCGCTGAAATTGAATATCGCTAAAAATTAATTGCGTTTTATTTGTAATAGATTCTTTAATGTGCATTTTAAAATCACTAAAATAACATCTCGCTAAAAATAAAATACCAGTTTTGAAGGACAAATTGCTAAATTTGCGTCTCGCTAAATTTTCCACTTGTATGGTAATAATGAATTTTAGTCAACTTTTCTCTTTTGCAGTTTTGTGAACATTGTCAACTTTAATGTCTTCTTAAAAATTATTTTGAAAAATTATGAAATAAAATTATGATCTTAAATTGTACCTGCAGAGTATGGGAAAAGATGCCAAGAAGGCAGCAGTGAGTGATGAATGGAGGAACAAAAATGTAGAGGAAAGACTGGAGTTTTCTCTTGTTAAGGTGATAAGATATTGTGTATATGTTTAATAAGAACAATGATGAGTAGATATTAATTTTTGAGTTTGGCAATGAAACAAAGAATATTAATGCAACTGAATTTCTAATTCCCTGATTCAGTAAATTACACAGAAATAAAAATTTTGTTACATGTTGAGCACCACCGTATTTAAAATCCAGTATGTTCCTGTAGATCACTAAATTTTCGCGACACCTTATTTTCACAAGATAGTCTTTGACTCTTGATTAGCGAGACAATATTTTCACGAATTGTGGTTATTGTTCTATATAATCTTATGGAATACTATTACATGCGAGAATTAAATTTTCACGAGCACACTGTCTCGCGTAATTACCCGAAAAAGTTCTCGCGAATAAAAAGTGATTTAAGTATTTAAAGCCAGTGTTGATGCTTGTTTGTTTTAGCTTCAATTAAAATTATGATAGGGGTATATTTGTACTCATTAGTGAGTATTACTGTCAATAGGGAATAGACAAGTATGTGATAGATGACACAGAGGAGGCCCGTCAGAACCAGGAATTGTACCCACGACCTTTGAACGTCATTGAAGGACCGCTGATGAAGGGAATGAGTGTGGTGGGGGATCTATTTGGGGCAGGGAAAATGTTTTTACCCCAGGTGATCAAATCTGCCCGTGTCATGAAGAAAGCTGTGGGTCATTTGATTCCTTTCATGGAAAAGGAAAAAGAGGAGCGAATGAAAAAGACTGGAGCTGTGGTGAGTTTTTATGTCCCAGGAAAGTTGCAGTTAAACCTTGTTATTTCAAACATAGATATCTGAAATATAGATTTGTTGGAGTGAGTTAGAAGTAAACACCCTGTTTATGTATTGTAATCTCAATGAAACACATTATTGTTCCTGGATAATCTCTGACTACCTATAATTCACCCATAATAACACGTATATAAACACCTATTTCTATATTTTAAAATGTGTTGTTCATCATCAACTTAGGGTTCCAAACTTTGTATTCACAAGTTTTAAATGATGTGTTTTTTCCCTGTGAACTGCAACAGTAATGTATATTCTGGCATTTCATTGTTTTGAATAGGAAAGTGGATATTCTGGAGTTATTGTCCTGGCAACAGTAAAAGGAGATGTCCACGACATTGGCAAGAATATTGTGGGAGTTGTTTTGGCTTGTAACAATTTCAAGAAATATAAGAAAATTCTTTTGGTTTTGCATATAGCCATTATTACTTTAACTTATGTTAATTTGTCATTGGTGTGCATCAAAATTCATGTTTATATATAATTTTTCTCATCAAGAGTCATAGATCTGGGTGTAATGACACCATGTGAAAAGATTCTTCAGACAGCCATGGAGGAAAATGCTGACCAAATTTACATAGAAATATATAGGAAAATTCAAAAATCTTCTTTCAAGAATGACCAAGCCATAATTACATATTTATATGGAACCATCCTGATAGTGTAGATTGATTTTATGATAGGGCGGGGCCAAAATGGCTTCAAAGTTTTACATAGAAATATATAGGAAAATTCTTTAAAAATCTTCTTCTCAAGAATGACCAAGCCATAATTCATCATATTAATATGAAAGCATCCTCAGGTAGTGATATTGAGTTTGTTAAATCCAGGGCGGGGCCAAAAAAAAGTTTTACATAGAAATATATAGGAAAATTCTTTAAAAATCTTCTTCTCAAGAATGACCAAGCCATAATTCATCATATTTATATGGAAGCATCCTCAGGTAGTGTAGATTCAAGTTTGTTAAAGTCACCCCCGGGGGTAAAAAATGATCAAAGTTTTACATAGAAATATATAGGAAAATTCTTTAAAAATCTTCTTCTCAAGAATGACCAAGCCATAATTCATCATATTTATTGTGTCATTACTCAAGTTTGAAACAAGGATGACAACAAATTTACATAGAAATATATAGGAAAATTCTTTAAAAAGCAGGGATAGAAAAGAGGTGTTCATGGGCCTATCTTGGATTTTACCTTTTTAATAAACCAATTTTACAAATATATACAGTGCTATGGGTGTGTGCTGTTTTCTTAAACCCAGTGAATTACAGATAATGAGGTTTGACTGTGTATAATACTTGTTAATTATTTTGATAAAACCTGTTGGTTGTCTTTCTGACAAGTTATCATTAGAATTTGGTCACTCTCAAAACTTGTGTGTATGAACATAATTGTTCATTGACAATCTCAGATTGAGCACCTTTTATGCAGTAGCATGATTAGAGACTTTCCTTAGTTAAATAAGATGTGTTTTTCTACATGAATCCTGGCATATATGTTTTGAATAGGAAAGTGGATATTCTGGAGTCATCGTCTTGGCAACAGTAAAAGGAGATGTCCACGACATTGGCAAGAATATTGTGGGGGTTGTTTTGGCTTGTAACAATTTCAAGTAAGTCTTTTGGATTTGCATATAAATTAATTCCTAAGCATGATGCTAATTTAAAAAAAAGTGTCTTTGGTGTGTAGTAATTCATGTTGATATTTTATTTTTTCATCAAGAGTCATAGATCTGGGAGTAATGACACCATGTGAGAAGATTCTTCAGACAGCCATGGAGGAAAATGCAGGTGGGGATTATAAAAAGAATATTCAATAATAACGTTAAATTAATTAAATCAGTTGATTTCATGTTGATTATATTATTTTTATAAATATTTGATACATCTGTATTTATTTATTATACCCTGTGTTCACTTTTACATTTATCCTTAAAACAATAATTGTTTCTTGTACATGGAAATAATTTAAAAGTGGTTGTCAAGGTTTTTGAATTTTTTTTACATAACATTACCTTGACTTGTTTCAGACATCATTGGTTTGTCTGGACTCATCACCCCCTCCCTAGATGAAATGATTTACGTTGCCAAGGAGATGGAGAGGATTGGAATGAAGGTCCCCCTTCTGATTGGTGGAGCCACTACCTCAAAGTACGTATTGCCAATCACTTGAATAAATATTGTTTAATACCCTGTAAAGAATAACCAATGATAAAATAATCTTGCGAAGATTATTCACACAAATTTAGAGAAAAAAATTGGCATTAAAAAACTGAAGGTATGAAATTTTAAAAAGGCAATTTTATTGAAAATGTGCCTGTATGTTCTGTGGTCATATTATTTATAATCTGATCAATAATTGAAAATCTGTAGAAAAATTTTTTCTTTGTTTACTTTAGGACCCACACAGCAGTTAAGATAGCCCCAAGATACAAGTCACCCACCATTCATGTATTGGATGCCTCCAAAAGTGTGGTGGTGGTCATGTATTGGATGTTTTTTATCCCCTCCAAAAGTGTGGAATGTAATTTTCCTGTGGGGGTGTGAGTGAGTGTGAGCATAACAGAAGCTGCCCAAACAATTATATTTTTTTGGATTGAAGAAATAAAAATTTTATTTATATTGTGTATACTATTCATATAGTGTATTAAAGTGGACAAAAGATGGGAAAATCCATCTCTCATTTGTAATTAGATTCACTTTATGGATATTAGATCAAGAATTAGCAGATAAATTTCATATGCAAAATGTAAAATTAATCTTGTAAATGTTGAAAAAATAACCTTTAAGTGTTAAATGATGTCACTTTTTTATCAGTGTTCACAACTACTTGATGAGGAAAACAAAGATGACTATATAGATGAAGTGTCCGAGGATTATGAGGAAATCAGGACAGATCATTACAGTGGCCTTAAAGTAAAGTAAGAAAATACAAAATTGTATCAAAGAAATTATACAAGAAGAAAATCACAAATTACAAGACTATTTCAAAATTAAATGGAATGTAAATGTAAAAGCTTAATTTGGATTCTCTTATATTCAAATTGGATCATTGTTAAAATTGATTGATTGATTGTATATTGTTGGTCCCTCTCTAATTTTTTCATTACTTGCCTATAATATGTAACTCGGCACTGAGGGCCATTGAGCAGGTGGTCTTCTTTGAGCATTTCTCGGTTTAATGTTTATATGGATTCTCCCACAGTGGGATTCGAACCTGCAATGTAAGGATCAACTCCTTCCTTCGTGAATCTAGAGCAGACGCTCTTACCACTGCGCCACGCAGCCGACTTGTTAAAATTGATCTGGATAACAAAAAACAAGTCCATAGTTAAATTTTGTAGGTCATTCTGTTAAAAGAAATGGATTGTAATAGATATATAGATATAATATAGCATCGGAAGAAGAGGTTTAGAATTCTATGAAAGAACACTCCTAAGACATTTAATTATTTACAGCAATTATTGAATGCCATGTTTCTCATTTCAGGACAGAAAATATTTGTCAATTGAAAAGGCCAGAGAGAAGAAGCTCTCTATAGACTGGACCATATCTCCACCAGGTTTGTTTGTTTGTTAAGTTTGTTTGTTTATTTTGATTCTTTTTGCTTGTTGTTCAGTAACATTGTTTCAATAATGTTGGGAACAGCTAACTCAATTTTAACAAAAATTATTCAATAAATGCAATCCTGGCTCTGGGACCCTGAAATATAGACAAGTGCACTTTTGATGTCAGTCTCACTTTTCACTATTAATTCCTCATTAGACTTTGTTTGAAATAAGTTTAAGTTTATGGCCTCAGAGCCCTGTTTTAAAAAAAAAAACGATGTTCATACATGAAGTTTATTTTATTGTTTTCACAATATTTCTTGAAAACAATTGTCTAACAATTCTACAAATTAAAATGTGACCCAGGAAATTTGACTCTTGCTTACATGTACATTTAACTCTTAAGAAATGGATAATTAGTTTAGGTTGTATATAAAATTAGACTTTGATATTCTCCCTATTCAGCTCCACAACCCACTGTAATAGGCGTAAAAACATACGAGAATTACGACCTATCTCGCCTGATTCCATACATTGACTGGAAACCTTTCTTTGATGTATGGCAGCTCAGAGGGAAATACCCCAACAGAGGGTATCCCAAGATATTCAAGGACAAAACTGTGGGTAAGAGTTTATTGCACAGTTCAGTTCATTAAAAAAATGTAAGCTAATATTTTAAATGTATGCAATAGTTTGTACATGGATAAACTAATTATCAGTTGTAATATATTTAATAAGTTGATAAATCATTAGATAAAATATTCTGCCTTCTATAGGTCAGTATTTCATTCTTTCTGAAAAGATTATCATGCATAGTAAGCTTCATGATTGAAATGTGACATTTGATTTTGAAATGTCAGGTCCAGAGGCCAAGAGAGTTTACAATGATGCCCAGAACTTGCTGAAAACGATAACCACCACCAACAAGCTGCAGGCCCACGGTGTGGTGGCGTTCTACCCCGCCAATAGTGTGGGGGATGACATCGAGGTGTATAACAAGGACGGGGAGGTGATAGAGGTCCTTCATGGACTCAGGCAACAGGTATAAGAACAAATACATCTATTGGGAACTTTTTTTTCTCCAAAGGAAAGACATTTTTACTTTCGCATTTCTATGATTTTTATATTAATATGATCAGAGTTAACTTTTGGGACTTAAGTTAAACAGACATTGTTTCTATTTTGTTAATGTCATTTCCATGTGGAATCAAATTGTACAATTACCTTTTTAATAAAAAAAAATTTTGTTTGAATTTTCAGGCAGAGAAAGAAGCAATGGACAAATCTCCATATTTATGTTTATCAGACTTCATAGCTCCTAAGAGTTCTGGCAAGAAAGATCACATTGGCTTGTTTGCAGTGACTGCTGGTCATGGGGTGGATAAAATGTGCAAAATGTAATTATTAGAATAATTTTTATGCCCCTTAGAAGAAGGGAGGGCATATTGCTTTGCTGCTGTCTGTTGGTCCATTTAGTTTCCGTTCATTTTCTTCACAACCCTTGCACATACTGAAATGAAATTTGGTATACAGGCATATCAGATAAATATCTAGGCCAAGTTTTGTTTTGTCATTTCCATTTTTGGAGTTATTCCCCTTGAACATTGAAAAATTCCAGTTATTTTTTGTTAATTTTTTTTTGTTTGAAATTTTTACAGATTTATCAGGTAAATAAGCAATGGACAAATCTCCATTTTTATGTTTATCAGACTTAGAAAAATTCCAATTATTTGCAGTTTCCGTTCATTTTCTTAGCAACCATTGCACATACTGAAATGAAATTTGTATATAGATTTATCAGTAACTGCTGGTTCTGTTTTGGGGTGGCACCATTTTTAAAATGTCAGAAAAATGTAATTTAGGGGGTATAATTTTAAAAATGATATTTTTATTGTAAGAGTAGTTTAATAATTTTTTTATATGTTAGTTAACTTATGAGTTGTTGTCTTATTCCAGATATGAAGAGAAGTTTGATGACTATGGAATTATCATGGTCAAAGCTTTAGCTGACAGACTTGCAGAGGTAAGGTGCCATTGCATTGAGTCACAAATCATGAAAGATGTATATTTGATAGAGCAGAAATTGATGGCATATCAATTGTCTCAGCTACGTATTAATTCTTTTCATTCAGGCATTTGCTGAGGAGTTGCATGAGAGAGTGCGAAAAGAGATTTGGGGTTATGCATGTGAAGAGGTGTTAGAAGCCAACGATCTGCACAAAATTAAATATCAGGTATATTTTTTTTTGGCTTCAATTATCTATTGATATTGAAAATTCTGTTGAATTACATTATATGGTTACTAGAATTCTCTACTGTATTCTAGAAACATATTTGGAAAACAAAAGTTTTCCAATAAAATAAATAATGAATATGTTTATAGCATTCATACTCTAAAGCTGTTTTCAAAATGTTTTCCCATGACCTCATGTACATATACGTGCATATTTTATTTGAAATGATTAGCTTTAGTGTCGAGTGAAAATTATTTCTTAATGACAGGGTATAAGACCAGCACCTGGTTACCCTAGCCAGCCTGATCACACAGAAAAGGAAGTGATGTGGCGCCTCCTAAAGGCTGACAAAGTGGGGATAACTCTGACAGAATCCTTAGCAATGTTCCCTGCGGCTTCTGTGTCTGGATTATACTTTGCTCATCCAAAGTCAGAGTATTTTGCTACAGGAAAGTTGCAGAGGGACCAGGTGAGTTAATAAGTGGCCTCCTTATAAACCCTAGTACAAAAAAGTAAATTAAAAAAGTCATTGGTTGTAAAGCTAATCTTTTGGTTGCTGATATATACCTGTATTAAGTAACAGGAAATTATTACACAATATATTACAAAACTAAATATATCGTTTTTTTTCTTTCCAGATTGTTGAATATTCATCAAGAAAGTCAGTGGATGTAGCAGTGACTGAAAAGTGGCTAAGCTCAGTGTTGGCTTATGATCCAGAATAAAGAGGGTCCAAATTATTGATGCAGAATAAAGTTTTCTATGTGTATATATTTTACATATTGAAAATGTGGATCATAAACTTTGGTGATATCAATGTTTTCACACATGGTTCTCTACTCATGTGGCATAGTATTTCAGTCATAATCATTATTTAAATTTTTACAAATTTGAATTATCTATAAGTGCTGTCTTTAAAGACAGCAATAGTATGTATTAAACATATTTAAAACACATACATATATAAGTGTATTTTTGAGGGAAGAATGAAGCAGAGACAAGAATGCTTCAGGACTATCTATAATCTAAGATGGCATGTATATGTATTGTGAAATGAATTTTTGAATGAAAATTGTCACATCCTACTATGTAGGTATAACAAATAAATAATTATATTTTTAAGTGCAAAGAATGTGAATTAAGCAATTAAATTATTTAAAAACCAGCATGTTTCATGCTTCTTTATTTTTTTGAAATGGCAAGTGGATATGTATGTAATTAATCTAAAGCCATAAAAAAAATTTCTTGGATCTCATCTCTTCCAAGGGTGCCCCATTGACCCTTTTTATAACTAAATCAATAAATTAAAAATAGCAAATCACCTCCATCATCATTATTTGAGGTTTTGTACAATGTAAAAAGCTGCCTCATCATGTTTTAGGGGCAGTAAACAAATGCCTCTCTCTCTCGTTATATTTCTTGAAAAAAGGCCTGAGAACCAAGGAGTTAAAAACATTGCATGGCCTAGGGCTTGTATAGGGGATTCATTTAGGAAACCGAAGAAGTGTGAGTAGTTCAGGCCCAGGGAACATGAAACATCTTAATCCTAAGTGAAATTCTTTATACTGAACTAAAAATGTTGTAGAAGTTGAGCAAATCAAAAGTTAAATATTTTTCTAAATTGCTTCACAAAACTGCTATCTGCAAAATAAGGGATTAATTCAATTATTTTAAAATATTTTACAGGCAATAGATATTTTGACTTAAGCCTTAGGTTTGTTTCATGAACATTGGTCATAATGGTTGATAGTAGAATTCTTAGGTGCCAAATTATAACTAGTACTTTCACATGTAATGCTAGAACCAGAAGATTGAAGGCAAAAATAGTGATTTTATACCATTTTTTGAAGAAGAAGGTTGAACAAAAGACAAAACCTATGAAGATAAGATAATATTGAAGTACCTTCCTGCAATAAATATGGAGAATGAGTGTATATTTTTTTAAATTCTTCAGATCCTTACAAGTTTTGTCATTAAAGTAAATTATGGTTGTTTCAGATGACATACTGTTTTTATAAACACTTTTGTAGGTGTTGTTTTCCCCTCATTTTTACATTGAAAGTAGGATAATATTTCAAATAAATCACATTGAATTTCTTCACTGACCTCCAACCCCACTTCCAGTATGACACTGGCATTCTTGCATAATTAATATAAACTCATTATTTATACTGTAAAACAATGTAATTTTCTCAATATCCAAATAAAATATTTTGCAATATTGAGTAAAATTGGAATTTTTCTCGTTATTTCCATGTTTTATTTTAAAAAAAAAAAAGTTTATAAAAGGATATTCCTTTTTGCACTACTATAATCATATGTACTGTCATAATTTAGAGTATTCACAAAGAAGGATCACTTCTAAAGGACCTGTTATGGCCCTGTGAATTTCTGGAAAAAAAAACAAAACTGATCAGTTATAGTTGAAAATTATGCACTTTTAAATATCTCTTGGGCTTTGAGTGACTGCATATCTTCAAATTTAGAGAATACTGCAATTTTTATAAAGTAAGGTTTTCAATTCCTGGACTCGGAGGAATTTTTTTTTTATAGGGGAAGAAAGCACCTAGTGCTTTCTGGCCACTACAATGACAAATTATGAATAATGATTCCAGTAAAGATCCCAGTGAAATGTGGCTGAAGTGTTGCTGACATGTGTTAAGCGATAAACAGTAGATAAATGAAGTAAAGATCACAGAAATTGTTGAAAATATTTCTATTTCCAACAAGCCAAAGTCCCTATATCACAGTTGACATGGTACAATAATCGTCACTCCATTTTTTTAATAGAAAAAGTCAAGAAGTTCCCACTAAATGATTAATATCATTGGTATGTTGTTACTTTAATAAGTTTCATCTTAAACCAGGCCTCTTTCTTTACTCCTCACTAAGATAATAACGGTTGTGAAGAAGACTTCAAGAAGGAAACTTCAAGAGTAATGTGCAACAATATATTCAAGAAGTGGTGTAAATCAGATGTGGATACTTAAAAATTCCAAGGAACTTTTGGACAATTTAAAACACAAGATTTTACCAAAAAATCAACAGCTTAAAAACTTACGACTTTTCAACTTTATACACAACCATTCCCCACGATAAATTAAAGTCCAGGTTTTTTGATTTGAAAGCTGCTTTTTCAATAAAAAATGGAACTCGTAAATCTACTTACCTTGTCATTGGTCATTTGCAAAGTTATTTTGTTTAAAAATCATCCTGATTGTACACAAAAGTAATTTGAAGTTGACATCAAAAAGATGCTTGAGTTTCTGATTGACATTGTCTATGTGGTTTTGGAGACCAGGTCTTCCAATAATCTACTGGAATTCCCATGGGTACCAACTGCGCCCTGTTACAATGTAGAACTTACGAAATGATGACTTTAAACGAGACTGCTGATATTTTTGTTTCATCAACTTGTTTGTCAATGATTTACTTCGTTTTGAAAATTGTTCATACGTAAAGCATGTTCTTGCGTATCGAATCAACTGAGATATATTAACTCCGTATGCAAGTTTTGAAGCTATATTGCTTGCTGCATAAGTAGGGGAAGTCGGCGATTGAAGAGTTTTAGAGCTTGGTTGTTAAATTACAATTAAAGTCTTTTTTCAAGTAAAATATCCAATTATGAAACAGATGTGTCATACTCTGTGGTATCTTTTATCTTAAGCTCACCGGGATATATCGACAATGGAAATTACCATTGTTTATTTACAATACGCCGTCGGTATATCTAAATGTCGATTTGAAGGCGACAGCAATTGTTTTCTTTTCGCACAAAAGATTTTGGACAAATTCTGCTTCATATGAATACAGAATATATATGCTAATACATGTATATCTGAAATATATCGATGAGACAATTGTGGTAAAGTTTGAAAAAATCTACAGGAAATTTAAAAAGAATTATAACTATCCAAATAAAAAAGTTTCAATCAACGAAAAAGGTATTCTTTTATATCCTTATGAAGGAAGTAAGCAAAATTTAAAATTATTTTTGAAAAAAGTCATTTTTGGTTTTAAAAAAAGAGAAGAACGAAATAAAACACCATTTGAAACATTTACATAGAAACCAAAAAAAATATTTCAATCCTTTCTACAAGTTTAGAGCTACAAAGTAAAATTGCAAACGCAAGTTGTATAACATTGCGACTTTTTATATAACAGCTTGTTGAATTTCATGTTGATATTCATCAGAAAAAGGATGTTGTACATTTATTCGCCTTATTGTACTCACACAGTGAGTGTTACCCTATCTGTAACAACTAAGCCTCCAGCTGTGTTGCCATTGTGCCATGGAGTGCGTTAAGAAGTTATTTGACTATTGTACCACAATGGAAGATGAAATTTGCCAGTACGTATGTTGATTAACCCTTTGTCCAAAACAGAACGTGGAGAAAACTCGGGAGACGCCATCACCTGCGTGAATGTACGAAAAAAGGGGGGAAATGATCAATACGAATTCCTCTATATAAGAAAAACAAGAATATAATTGTATCCCACCAGTTATGGAAGGCAGGCGTTTCTTGCCCTATGTATTGGGTATTGTGGTCGTAGGTTTACTAGAATTCACCAGCAGTGCCCGTGAGTACTATTTATATAGGTACAAGGTGATCCTTAAGAATATTGGGAAAAGATCGAACCATTAAAGGCATTTTTGCGTCCCTACCTAAATTCGCCCATTTAGATTAATGTCAAATTAATCATGAATCATTCAACAAATATAGCTATTTTAAGCGTTTAAACCTTCAATTTCAAAACAACATTTTTGGCATTAAAAAAGTCTGAATCTGTCAGAACAAAAAACAAACTGAACCACAAGGGGAAAGAGATATACTGAAAATGTAATTTACTTCCACGTAAAACTTCACAGACAAGTATTTTCTGTTTTTTTTTTCTATTCATATAATGTTTATTCCCCCTTTTTACATTGTTTACGAGATTCTCTGTGAAATTTAAGATAAAATAAAAGTTTCCTCCTATTAAGGATGAAATACCACTATGGAGATTAGCGTTTTTATCTAAAGAATAAGCTGGTCAATCATTTGCTTATTCATTTCTTATAGCTAAACCTTTATTTTGAAATTTGGAAAGTGCGACAGTATGAAGATACATTATGTCTTTCTCAGGCAAATTACAAAAACGTATAAATGCTCTAGTGAAAATATTTATCACTTTTTATATAGTTACAGATGTTTTGGGAAAAACCCCTAAAAGATTTCAGAAGATTTCATCTGTCTTTATTTTTAAAAATTAGACAATACTGCCTTTTACAGATGAGTGCAAAATTGAAGAAAAAACGCTCTCTTGTATGAGCAGGAGACTGCAGTCCAGTAGTGGTCAAGAAAAAGAGATTAGAAAGTTTTGCAGACTGGATATCCCAAAAGAAATAAAAAATATAAAAATCAAACTTGTGAAGCAGGATAGCGTTTCTAAACCATGCATATATCAAAAGTCGTTCCGTCTAGTCAAGAAGAAGGGTATAAGACATTTGGAAGTTCGCAATGGATGTCGAGGAAAATTCAAGATCCGATATCGCAGGAAAAGTATGATATCTACATGTTCTTTCACCCGTCCTCATTTATGAAGGCTAATTTTCTCAAATAGTTCAATATTAATTTCTTGACATTATTGGATTGAGCTCCATTTACTCAAAAGAATTTTGTAAAATTCCTTGCAACATAGATTGCTCCAGAAAATGCGGCCCAAATGCTATTTGGAAGAAAAGACGAAGAAGCAGAAGCGGCAAATGTCAATGCAAGAGAGGATATCGTGGAAATCCGAAGAAGGGAGGATGTATTGGTAAGGTGATTTTTCCAATTCATGAAAATTATCACACTCTCAAAACACTTTATGAAAAACACGAATAAAAGATATTACAAATATAAAATAAGCTAAAGGCTGATAAATTCAAAAAGGATACAAATGCACTTTTTTTCTGCCTGCAATTTAAAAAAAATTACTATATCTATCAGAAACATATCGAAAACCTCTTCTGTGCAAAAAATTCTAAGTTTGTAGAAATAAGTTGACAATATTTTGGACAACTTGACAAAATAAAAAGATGGATAACTATGGCAAAAATTCCCTTCTTTCTCCCCAAACCTTTTCAGCTTCTTGCACAGCCTCAGCTTTTGGAGACCTTCACTATTCAGTATTCAAATTAATAATTAATACATTTGTGGAGAATTAAAATTACATTGTGTTGACAACTTGTAAATATATAGGATACCAATGACTATTTTTCAAACCCATCTTTCTGTCTTACTCTCTTTCAGCTTCTTGCGTATGCCGAGCTTCTGGAGACCCACACTATTCAACATATGATGGACAGAAAATCCACTTCATGGGCACTTGCAAGTACACGCTGACAAGAACATTGGAAAAACAACCCTGCGCCTTTAACATCATGGTGTACAACGAGAGACGAAACAACAAGAAAACAGTGTCCTATACCAAACAAGTGGATGTGGAAATCGGCACAAACAGGGTTTCACTATTCAAAGGCAAGATATCCCAGGTAGGAACCTTCATGCACATCATTCCTCTTGTGTGCGGTGTCGCCATGGTTAAATACTACTATGTCTTGAAAAGAGTTTCATGCATGGGTACTTTTTGGTTTGAGAGATTTTCAGCTGAGGTCGAATGGAAGTTGATGGTATCTGTTGCATTTGTAGGTGAATGGAAGAAATGTAAACATCAGAGAAATGCCCTTTGAAAAAGATGGCATTTTGTTGACGACTGTAGGGCGCCGTTTCGTCAAACTTCAATCCCCGTCTTGCGGATTGACCGTGCTTTGGGATGGCAAGCATTCTGTGGAAGTGTCTGCCGACAAGGGTAAGTACGGCGGCAAAATGACTGGAATCTGTGGGGACTGCAATGGAAAGAGAGACGACTTCCGCTTGGCCAATGGAACAAATGTATCACAAATGCCAGCAAAGGAAAAGTACAGGGAAATCGGAGATAGTTATCGCGTGACGGATGCAAAGAGTCCTATATCTGCGTGAGTACGACTTTCTTTATACTTTGTCCGACAGTCAAGTTTTGTTCCTTGTAGCGTTTGCACGTGCTATGATATATCGATGAAAACTGTAAGAATGGTTGATAATTTAGATGTGGTCCTACACCGGCATTTTCAAGTTGCAATCCGGAACAGACAAAGAGACTCAGTTCCAATGCAGTATGTGGATTGATGGAGAGTACATCCGACGAAAATCCATTCAAAGCATGCGTCAATTGGATGAAACAGACTAAAGATGCGGACGGAAACAGTCCATTTTCTTCTTGTCTTATTGATGCTTGCAACAACGACGGAGCTACATTGAAGACAGTGACCTGCCCCGCCTTAGAGGAATTCGAAGAAGTATGTGTAGAGAGTGGTTATGCCCCACCAGAGGTTAATAACTGGCGAAACATCACTTCCTGTCGTGAGCATTTGTATTTCATACATATACTTCTCATTGCATTTATCTCTATTCTATCAATTGCTTTGTAATAAGGGACTGACAGAACAATTAAGCATTATTTTTTGGGTTCATTTTAATAGCTCCAAAAATGATATCATGTACATACTTTTAAAGCATTGACAGAGGTTGAAAAATGCAGAGAAAATGAGGAGTACGTAGAAGATGGAAGTGGATGTCCCAACACTTGCCTGTCCCCAAAATCAGAAGAAAGCTGTTCTGATCCTGATGTTGCAGGGTGCCAGTGTAAGAAAGGTTTTGTGAGAGATGGAGATATCTGCATACCTGTCAGTCAATGTGGATGCATTATACTGAAGAAACGCGTCCCTGTACGACATTTCACTATCCTTTTCTTAAGAGATAAAACATTTAAAAAACATTTAATTGGAGACCATAAAAAAAGTCTATGTTCATTTTAACAAAAAATCTCTTCCCTCTTGGATATCGAAAGTATTTTTAAGAAATGATTCGAAAACGGTAAATTGAAAAGGTCAAAGATACATCAAAGATTTTTAATATTTAGAATAATCTGATTCTATCTGCAAATTTATAACATTAGACGCTCTCGATTTTGTAGGTAAACTCAAGCATACTTTCAATAGACTGCAAACAGAGAATTTCCTGCACTCTGAGGAGTGGTGTGCCCGAACTGAAAGAGGAACCAGCAAAGTGTAGTGCTGACGAAATATGTATGAATCTAAAAGGAAGAGGGGAATGTAGAAAAGGTAATCCATTTTGAACGATTTTTTTTTCAGTTAAGTCTAAGTTATTAATAATTTCATTATAGATGATTAAGAAAACGAGTGATATATATAAGACCTTTTAATTAAAGACACAAAAGGTTCCAAAATCCCCAAAATTCAAGGATAATTAGAATGCCAAACAATAAGCAGAAAACCTGGTGAATTACAATCGTATTATTGTAAATCTGAATTTTTCAGCCCCAGCCATCGCCGCTGAAGCACCCATTTCACCTCCTAAATCTAGCTCACCTGAAACTGCACGTAAGCCATTTTATTTTGTCAAAAAATTGATAGAGATCACTTTTACATGAAATGTTATGAACCCGCTTACGTTTAAATTAACTTGTTACCAGTAACCTTCTAAAATATATGAATGCATTCGATCAAATGACTGTTTGTAGGGATATCGGTGTGATTGGATTGGGTAGGGTAGGGATGAGGTTTGGGGGCGGGAAGAGAGGCTACTTTAATACTTTAAAAACATCGAGTGAATAATAATACATATTTCGATGCAGGTAAATGTAAAGAAGAGAAAAAGAATGTGAGGTGTGCTAGCCGTAGATTACAACTCAGTAGTGGTCGACAGAAGGAGATCAAAAAGCTTTGTAGACTGGGGAGCACCAGACAAATAGAAGACGTCAGAGTCCAACTAGTCAAGCAAGATAAAGTGTCTAAACCTTGCATCAACAAGAAGTCGTTTCGCTTACTCAAGAGGAAAGGGAGATGGCATTTGGAGGTTCGCAATGGATGCCGAGGGAAATTCAAGATCCGATATCGCAAGAAAAGTAAGATTTATTTCTCATTCTCAGAGAAAGGGGTTTTCCTACATTAGTTCTCATCAAAAATGTACGCTGTTAAGCTGTTGATGAGATGCTTGATCTTTTTACGACGTAGATTGTTCCAGAAAATGCGGTCCCAATGCTGTTTGGAAGAAGACACGAAGAAGAAGAAGAGGCAAATGTCAATGCAAGAGAGGTTATCGTGGAAATCCGAAGAAGGGAGGATGTACCGGTAGGTGATTTGCGGATCTTAAAACTTACAGCATGATGGAAACAGTGTATGAAAAAGATATGATCAAAACAAGAACGCAGATGAAACTGACAAAGGAAATATTTCACGTGGAGATAAAAATTGACTTGGTGTTGACAACTTGTCAAGATTAAATAATGTATCTAGAATACCGATGACTATGTTCCAAACCCATCTCTCTGTCTTACTCTCCTTCAGCTTCTTGCGTATGCCGAGCTTCTGGAGACCCACACTATTCAACATATGATGGACAGAAAATCCACTTCATGGGCACTTGCAAGTACACGCTGACAAGAACATTGGAAAAACAACCCTGCGCCTTTAACATCATGGTGTACAACGAGAGACGAAACAACAAGAAAACAGTGTCCTATACCAAACAAGTGGATGTGGAAATCGGCACAAACAGGGTTTCACTATTCAAAGGCAAGATATCCCAGGTAGGAACCTTCATGCACATCATTCCTCTTGTGTGCGGTGTCGCCATGGTTAAATACTACTATGTCTTGAAAAGAGTTTCATGCATGGGTACTTTTTGGTTTGAGAGATTTTCAGCTGAGGTCGAATGGAAGTTGATGGTATCTGTTGCATTTGTAGGTGAATGAAAGAAATGTAAACATCAGAGAAATGCCCTTTGAAAAAGATGGCATTTTGTTGACGACTGTAGGGCGCCGTTTCGTCAAACTTCAATCCCCGTCTTGCGGATTGACCGTGCTTTGGGATGGCAAGCATTCTGTGGAAGTGTCTGCCGACAAGGGTAAGTACGGCGGCAAAATGACTGGAATCTGTGGGGACTGCAATGGAAAGAGAGACGACTTCCGCTTGGCCAATGGAACAAATGTATCACAAATGCCAGCAAAGGAAAAGTACAGGGAAATCGGAGATAGTTATCGCGTGACGGATGCAAAGAGTCCTATATCTGCGTGAGTACGACTTTCTTTATACTTTGTCCGACAGTCAAGTTTTGTTCCTTGTAGCGTTTGCACGTGCTATGATATATCGATGAAAACTGTAAGAATGGTTGATAATTTAGATGTGGTCCTACACCGGCATTTTCAAGTTGCAATCCGGAACAGACAAAGAGACTCAGTTCCAATGCAGTATGTGGATTGATGGAGAGTACATCCGACGAAAATCCATTCAAAGCATGCGTCAATTGGATGAAACAGACTAAAGATGCGGACGGAAACAGTCCATTTTCTTCTTGTCTTATTGATGCTTGCAACAACGACGGAGCTACATTGAAGACAGTGACCTGCCCCGCCTTAGAGGAATTCGAAGAAGTATGTGTAGAGAGTGGTTATGCCCCACCAGAGGTTAATAACTGGCGAAACATCACTTCCTGTCGTGAGCATTTGTATTTCATACATATACTTCTCATTGCATTTATCTCTATTCTATCAATTGCTTTGTAATAAGGGACTGACAGAACAATTAAGCATTATTTTTTGGGTTCATTTTAATAGCTCCAAAAATGATATCATGTACATACTTTTAAAGCATTGACAGAGGTTGAAAAATGCAGAGAAAATGAGGAGTACGTAGAAGATGGAAGTGGATGTCCCAACACTTGCCTGTCCCCAAAATCAGAAGAAAGCTGTTCTGATCCTGATGTTGCAGGGTGCCAGTGTAAGAAAGGTTTTGTGAGAGATGGAGATATCTGCATACCTGTCAGTCAATGTGGATGCATTATACTGAAGAAACGCGTCCCTGTACGACATTTCACTATCCTTTTCTTAAGAGATAAAACATTTAAAAAACATTTAATTGGAGACCATAAAAAAGTCTATGTTCATTTTAACAAAAAATCTCTTCCCTCTTGGATATCGAAAGTATTTTTGAGAAATGATTCGAAAACGGTAAATTGAAAAGGTCAAAGATACATCAAAGATTTTTAATATTTAGAATAATCTGATTCTATCTGCAAATTTATAACATTAGACGCTCTCGATTTTGTAGGTAAACTCAAGCATACTTTCAATAGACTGCAAACAGAGAATTTCCTGCACTCTGAGGAGTGGTGTGCCCGAACTGAAAGAGGAACCAGCAAAGTGTAGTGCTGACGAAATATGTATGAATCTAAAAGGAAGAGGGGAATGTAGAAAAGGTAATCCATTTTGAACGATTTTTTTTTCAGTTAAGTCTAAGTTATTAATAATTTCATTATAGATGATTAAGAAAACGAGTGATATATATAAGACCTTTTAACTAAAGACACAAAAGGTTCCAAAATCCCCAAAATTCAAAGATAATTAGAATGCCAAACAATAAGCAGAAAACCTGGTGAATTACAATCGTATTATTGTAAATCTGAATTTTTCAGCCCCAGCCATCGCCGCTGAAGCACCCATTTCACCTCCTAAATCTAGCTCACCTGAAACTGCACGTAAGCCATTTTATTTTGTCAAAAAATTGATAGAGATCACTTTTACATGAAATGTTATGAACCCGCTTACGTTTAAATTAACTTGTTACCAGTAACCTTCTAAAATATATGAATGCATTCGATCAAATGACTGTTTGTAGGGATATCGGTGTGATTGGATTGGGTAGGGTAGGGATGAGGTTTGGGGGGCGGGAAGAGAGGCTACTTTAATACTTTAAAAACATCGAGTGAATAATAATACATATTTCGATGCAGGTAAATGTAAAGAAGAGAAAAAGAATGTGAGGTGTGCTAGCCGTAGATTACAACTCAGTAGTGGTCGACAGAAGGAGATCAAAAAGCTTTGTAGACTGGGGAGCACCAGACAAATAGAAGACGTCAGAGTCCAACTAGTCAAGCAAGATAAAGTGTCTAAACCTTGCATCAACAAGAAGTCGTTTCGCTTACTCAAGAGGAAAGGGAGATGGCATTTGGAGGTTCGCAATGGATGCCGAGGGAAATTCAAGATCCGATATCGCAAGAAAAGTAAGATTTATTTCTCATTCTCAGAGAAAGGGGTTTTCCTACATTAGTTCTCATCAAAAATGTACGCTGTTAAGCTGTTGATGAGATGCTTGATCTTTTTACGACGTAGATTGTTCCAGAAAATGCGGTCCCAATGCTGTTTGGAAGAAGACACGAAGAAGAAGAAGAGGCAAATGTCAATGCAAGAGAGGTTATCGTGGAAATCCGAAGAAGGGAGGATGTACCGGTAGGTGATTTGCGGATCTTAAAACTTACAGCATGATGGAAACAGTGTATGAAAAAGATATGATCAAAACAAGAACGCAGATGAAACTGACAAAGGAAATATTTCACGTGGAGATAAAAATTGACTTGGTGTTGACAACTTGTCAAGATTAAATAATGTATCTAGAATACCGATGACTATGTTCCAAACCCATCTCTCTGTCTTACTCTCCTTCAGCTTCTTGCGTATGCCGAGCTTCTGGAGACCCACACTATTCAACATATGATGGACAGAAAATCCACTTCATGGGCACTTGCAAGTACACGCTGACAAGAACATTGGAAAAACAACCCTGCGCCTTTAACATCATGGTGTACAACGAGAGACGAAACAACAAGAAAACAGTGTCCTATACCAAACAAGTGGATGTGGAAATCGGCACAAACAGGGTTTCACTATTCAAAGGCAAGATATCCCAGGTAGGAACCTTCATGCACATCATTCCTCTTGTGTGCGGTGTCGCCATGGTTAAATACTACTATGTCTTGAAAAGAGTTTCATGCATGGGTACTTTTTGGTTTGAGAGATTTTCAGCTGAGGTCGAATGGAAGTTGATGGTATCTGTTGCATTTGTAGGTGAATGAAAGAAATGTAAACATCAGAGAAATGCCCTTTGAAAAAGATGGCATTTTGTTGACGACTGTAGGGCGCCGTTTCGTCAAACTTCAATCCCCGTCTTGCGGATTGACCGTGCTTTGGGATGGCAAGCATTCTGTGGAAGTGTCTGCCGACAAGGGTAAGTACGGCGGCAAAATGACTGGAATCTGTGGGGACTGCAATGGAAAGAGAGACGACTTCCGCTTGGCCAATGGAACAAATGTATCACAAATGCCAGCAAAGGAAAAGTACAGGGAAATCGGAGATAGTTATCGCGTGACGGATGCAAAGAGTCCTATATCTGCGTGAGTACGACTTTCTTTATACTTTGTCCGACAGTCAAGTTTTGTTCCTTGTAGCGTTTGCACGTGCTATGATATATCGATGAAAACTGTAAGAATGGTTGATAATTTAGATGTGGTCCTACACCGGCATTTTCAAGTTGCAATCCGGAACAGACAAAGAGACTCAGTTCCAATGCAGTATGTGGATTGATGGAGAGTACATCCGACGAAAATCCATTCAAAGCATGCGTCAATTGGATGAAACAGACTAAAGATGCAGACGGAAACAGTCCATTTTCTTCTTGTCTTATTGATGCTTGCAACAACGACGGAGCTACATTGAAGACAGTGACCTGCCCCGCCTTAGAGGAATTCGAAGAAGTATGTGTAGAGAGTGGTTATGCCCCACCAGAGGTTAATAACTGGCGAAACATCACTTCCTGTCGTGAGCATTTGTATTTCATACATATACTTCTCATTGCATTTATCTCTATTCTATCAATTGCTTTGTAATAAGGGACTGACAGAACAATTAAGCATTATTTTTTGGGTTCATTTTAATAGCTCCAAAAATGATATCATGTACATACTTTTAAAGCATTGACAGAGGTTGAAAAATGCAGAGAAAATGAGGAGTACGTAGAAGATGGAAGTGGATGTCCCAACACTTGCCTGTCCCCAAAATCAGAAGAAAGCTGTTCTGATCCTGATGTTGCAGGGTGCCAGTGTAAGAAAGGTTTTGTGAGAGATGGAGATATCTGCATGCCTGTCAGTCAATGTGGATGTTTCCTGTTTAATGAACGCTTTTTGGTACGTTTACCTTATAACACTATTTTAAACAAACTAACTTTATTAGAATGTTTTTAGAAGAATGTATTGCATCTGAAAAATTTTTTAACATGTGTAACATTCTTTACTCGGAAAAAAAAGCGTGATGGAATTCAAATATTTTTTTGTTTAACAAAAAATAAATATAACTCCGTCTCTTGTATTACTTTACAGCGGAAGTGACCAATTGGTGTCCCTCTGTATATTTTAAATATATAAGTGAAGAAAAGCTCAAATATTTTTGTTTATGTCCTTATAGGTGAACGCAAGCACTCTCTCAAAAAATTGCAAGGAAAGAATGGTATGCACACTGAAGGATGATGTCCCACAGATTATAAAGGAACCAGCAGCTTGTGGTGATGATGAAATGTGTGTCGATATCAAAGGAAAGGGAGAGTGTAGAAAAGGTATTGATAACGTATTTTTTTTAATTTTTAAAATTTTAATTAACATACCTGTATTTCAAAAAAAAAATTTTAAATACTAAATGTTAAATAAAGTAAATGAAAAATAGATTTATTGTCATATTGTTTTTGTTTTTCGATAGATGAATTAATTGATTATATGTTGTTTTACATCCAATTCGACAATTTTTCAAACATATAGAGGTGTAAGAATAGTCATATGTAATTCGCTTAAATGCCGAAATAAAGGTTCTTTTGTATTAAAATATCATGGAAAGTTATTTTTGTAATTTGACAGCTCAATGCCCAAACGGAGAATTAGTAATCAAGTGATATGAAAAAAAATATATCAGAAATAAAAAAAGGATATCTAGTTAAATATTTACAGAAAATTTTTGGTTCTACGTTTTATGTTTAAAGTCTTGTCATTAAAGATTCCATATGTCTATAGAGAATATACATTGAAATATTAAGATGGATCATTGCTATTTGACAAGTATGTGTTTTTTCTAAGTACATTAGACTGTTGACATCTCTTATGATATTTAATTGATTTATATTAACATATACCAATTAAATGACAAATTACAACTGCTTAAACATGTTTAAAACCAGATAGCTAGATTTGAAAATTGCATATTTCTTTACATTAAATATTGTTAATTTTGTGCTGGACTTGAATGAATGATAGATACAACGGAATATGATATGATATGATGGACTTGAATGAATGATAGATACAAAGGAATACGATATCATTCTTTACAATTATATTATCTGTATATCATATTTTATGTATCAGCATAAAGATTCTTATTTCTGTTATATTCTTTATAAAGTTATATCGTTTTGGAAATTATAAAATGAGTACAAGAATTGGTTACTTATTAATTTCTATATAAGTACATGTTTGTAATTATACTACATAAGTACATGTTTGTAATTAAATTATAGTCCCTTCTACCACCCTGAGATCTCCAATTCCACCGACAAAAGCTTACTCACCACCAACTGGAAGTAAGTTGTACCATATATTTTTATGTTATACTTAATTACGCTGGAAGTATAGCTAAAAACTTAAAAACTAAAAACTTCCCACGAGTTTGCTGAATTGTATATTTATAAAAATATGGGAAGGAAACCAAATAATTTTTGAAGATTAAGTCAAATAAATACATGTTTTGATAATATTTCAGTCAAATGTGGTAAAAAGCACTGTGCAGCAAATGCAAAATGTGTTGACAATAGTGTGTGTGTATGCGAAGATGGATTTTATGGCATTGGTGATATAAGATGTTCAAGTGAGATTACTTTGATGTTTCAAAAACACATTACACGTTTATAAAATTTATCTATGATTAAATTCATTATGATAGAATGTAATAAATAATGGACTTTATTATAAAGCACACGTATCTTTCTACTCTTTAATTTAAAAAAAATTACCTTTGAATTACATTTGATTTGTGCTGTGTTTTCATTTCAGTTTGCCAAAAAATATTCAGATCCTTTTTTCGGTCAATTTGTCTAGTAAATTTCTTCTAATTTCTAGAAATGTGTACATGTGGAAGCGGTGGTCCCAACCTATTTGAAACGTATGATGGCAAGATTCTTCACTTCTCTGGAAAGTGTCAATATCAGATGTCATCCTACACAGATCCTCTGGGTTCCTGTTCTTTTTCGGTGGACTTAGTAAACAAACGAAAGGAGGAAACTCATCTCATCGTCAAAATTCTAGGAATAAACATCAAGTTGCTCCAAAGCCAACAGATACAAGTATGTTATCCATCCATATGCTTTTTATCTACATGTTTTATTGGTTTTGTAGTTTTTATATCGTTTCTCTGTTCAAATTATATAATCTAGGTTTTTTTTCCCAGATAAATGGACAGGATCGTTCCCTTCCTGCTGGTAATTCCAAGTTTATAATCTACAAAGCTGGTTTTGCTATTAGGCTGTTTGTTCCGAGCTGTGGTTTCTTAGTCAGTTGGGATGGTGACACCAACATGTTAATTTCTGTCCCAGTTGCGTATTCTACTGGACTTGATGGTATCTGTGGCAATTGTAATCAAAACAAAAAAGATGACCCGACCACTGCTGATGTGTTTTCAAAGTACACAGTGACAGCATTGTCCAGATCAACGTATGTGCATTATTTTTCTCTTAATGCAAAGTTTACAATATATAATGTGTGTATATGTATGTCAGGAAGATATGTCATAAATTTTTATAAGGAAAATACTAAGTAAAAAAAATAAAAAGTTTTGGTATCTCAAGTTTACAGCTTCAAAACTTAAATGTTAAGAAGAATTTTCTGAAAATACTAGTAACAATGATTAAACATTTATATGCAGGTGTGAAAATGCATTCTCCATCAAACGTTGCAACAGACGATCTAACTTGATGATGAAGATGCGAGTTTGTAAATACCAGGATCGAGCGATCAAACGAAAATGTAATCAGTCGTCCCAAGAAAGTAAAACGTTAATGAAGGCCTGTATTGACAGTGGTTGTGACTCCATGGCTAGAAGAAAGAATAAAGTTGCAATAGAGACTGGATGTCAGACGTTAGACTTGTTCTCTGGAATCTGTAGGGCCAAAGGTCATGATGTCAATTGGAGAATATTCCCGCTTAACGATTGCAGACGTAAGTCTTTTTATCATCACTCATTCAAATAACTGATTAAATATCACATATATTGCTCTTAATCAGCTCAAATACATTTCTAATGGTCTTACTTTACAATTCGAGTTCACCCAAATCTATGTTATAAATTCATCTACGAATGGTTAGAAGATGCAGTTAAAGAAAATGTTTCGAGACAAACTTAGTATATGTAATATTTGAATTGTAATCAAATGTTTTCAATCAAAATTCAGGACCAAGATGTAAGTCAAGTGCAAACATGGAGACAAACTTTGGTAAAGGGATATCGGGTTGTCCACAGACTTGTGGATTTGCTTTTGAGGGAAACTGTACTTTGCCCTTGGCTGAAGGCTGCAAGTGCAAAGAAGGCTTTGTTTGGGATGGAGACAACTGTGTGAGACCTAGCAAATGTGGCTGCACAACGCCTGAAGGGGATTATATAAGTGTAAGCGTATGCATTAGGTTTACGTCATCACGATGAACAACTTCAAATTTAAAATCATTTTAAGCCCCACCCTCTCCTTTCCTTCCACATGCACTAGACGAGGTATACAGTGTTGACCCTTTCTGTTATTTCTCTTACTTAGTTTTCCAGACTTTTTGCTATGCTTGTTGATAGCAATCTGTTTTTGGTTGTTTGTGTCTCTTTGTTTGTGTATTAAAAAAGTTTAATATTTCAGTTTGGAAAGTCTCTGATCAGCGAAGACTGTTCACATGTATACAAGTGTGTCAGGAAAAACGGAAAAGCAACACTGCGGGAACAGCCTGGACCATGTGTGAATAAAAATTGTATTGTTGTTAATGGCGAGCCAAAATGTACAACGTGTAAGGAAGGGTTTGAAAAGACACCTAACGGATGCATTCCAAGTACGTTTGATTGTATTTAGTTCAAAAGTGAACTACAAAATATTCATTGATAAATGTATTGGTCTAATCATTTTTTAACATATTCTTTAATTACAAAAAGTGAACTACAAAATATTCATTGATATTTGTTTTTGGTCTTGTAATTTTTTAACATATTCTTTAATGACAGAGTTTACCACAACAACAGCAATCCAAACACCTGCTTCTATGCCACCCCAAGGTATTTAATATGCAATCTTTACCCTGTTCAGAAGATAATGCTTGTTTTAATAACGATAATGCATATTTACTTATATCTGTACATGTTACACGATTCCTGTTTGTGTGTTTTATCACTATTACTGTCAAAATATGGTGCTATAAAAATGAATAAAACATCGACTTTTAACTTTTTTCATTCAATATTCCATGACTTTCATATTGGGTTAACTTTGAAATTCGATCAAGTTGATCTTGATAGAAGGAACAAGCTGAATATGAGCTTTCAAGTGAATCAATTAACAGAAACATTTTTAGGGTACCGGTATTATGGAGCAGATGGTCATGATAGAAACCCTTAGTTTTTACATAATTTTACCGGTACATGAAATTAATAATACCTGGGTATACTATATTCTGTAGATTTAAACACTCCACCAAACTTCAACTACCACTCCAGCATTATGTTTACTGTTTTAAAAATAGCTCACGAAGACAAAATGAAGCATTAGAAGGAAACACCTGTAAAAACTCTTTACAATGTATATTTGAGTATATATAACTTATTGGGCAATTATGTTAGACGTGCTAGGTCAAAAAGGTTATTTCTGCATTGGGATACTCAAACTGATGCATTGCATTGTTCATCTAATATACAGTTATTTTGTAGGAGCGCCTCCAGTGGCCTTTTCCCAACCAACTCGTTCTCCTGTCTTATCGCCTTCAACAGGTAATTTTGAATTCATATAAAACAGTCAAGTTATCAAACTGCTATTTTACTAGTAATTTACGAAAATGTATACGAACTGAAAGCATATCTTCAAATATACATGTAAAAAGCATCTTCAACCAACTGCTTGTCATAGCAAACAATGCTTAAACAGCAATACTTTAGATCTGAATTAGGGATACAAGATAATTTTTTTTAAGGTTTGATCTCATTGAAAAGCACAGAACGGCTACACTTAGAACACAGAAAACTACCGTTCAAATTATAAGCATTGAATAAATTGGGTCACAATGCAGGTTTTAATTTTTAAATCTAAGTAATTATGGAATATCTTCTTTACTCAGATTCAAGTACACCGCCAAACACACCGGCGACTTCTACATCGGCTTTTATCTCTACAGAAGGTAATCTTAATAAACCAGAGAGTTGATTACTTACTTATGATATTAATTAATTTTTTTTAACATAATTTTAAAAAATATTCTTAGTTACATTCTTGTGTTGAAAAAAGATATGTAGTCTGTTGAAATTGATAAAATCATTATTCTTAATTTCAGGAACGACTCCTTTAACTTCAGTGGCTGTGGCTCCACCGACTCAGCCTACCGTTTTATCGCCATCTATAGGTTACTAGTAATCTGAATTCATTCATAATTTTTTTTTCAAATGGTATATAGGAAATAATGTATCATTTTTAGCCATCTGACTGGATATAAATACGGATTGGTTATGAGATCAAATTCCATAAAGCCCGAAAGAATAAAATGCAATGCATTTACTAAGTACAGCTAACACAATTCTTAAAGGTTCAAAAGAGATTTTCTAATTTTATTTTGCTTTTTTGGTCAGAAATGTATTATCGATGCTTACTCTTTTCCGTATTTTTTCTGCCTAACTACGTATTTATTCCTATCAAAAGTTTTAACATAAAAACATCATTTTCAGGAAAATGTATTGATAGTGAGTGTCCTGCAAATGCTGAGTGTTTAGAAAACAAATGTACCTGTAAATCTGGCTTCATTGACGTTATGGGGGTTTGTGAAAGTGAGTATTACAGTGAAATAGATACAAATTTTAAAATGAATCATCAGTTAAAGGATCTTCGTTTCGGTGATTTTGTAAAGGTCAAAATGCTAAGTTTTGATGAAGTAATCGTAGTATTGGTGTTACCTTATCAATTTTTATCATCATACGAAATTAGTGGCAAGAAAAAAAAGAGAAATCACAATTGATACATGTAGTAAGAGCAATTATAAAATTACGAGATATTTTTTTGTTTCAGAAAAATGTGTCGATGGTGACTGCCCTCCAAATGCTGAATGTTCCGACAATAAGTGTACCTGTAAAACTGGGTTCATAGACGTTATGGGGACTTGTGAAAGTAAGTATTACAGAATTACTTGTTAAATACAAAGAGAGTTACACCTTTGATGTAGCAAAGATTGTGTTTTTAACGTGTTATGACCTCGTTTCAATTGTTTAATAAATGTGAATATATAATTTTTGATTAATTTTAATAAATCTCTCTTCTAAAATGTATTATAATATTTTTGGTCAGAATATTTGACAGAGATATCCCCTGTTGGATTAAAGGGAATTTTCTATAATTAAAACTTTTTAAAAATTCTTTTAGAAAAATGTATCGATAGTGACTGCCCTACAAATGCTGAGTGTTCCAACAACAAATGTACCTGTAAAACCGGCTTCATTGACGTTATGGGGGTTTGTGAAAGTAAGTATTACAGTGAAATGAATACAAATAAAGCATCGATTTAAAGAATATTTGCTTTTAAAAATGGTTTTATTAAAGTCAAGATGTGAAGTGATGATGAAGTAGTTTTCATATTAATAAATATTATAAAAATACGAGAGTTTGTTTTCTTTCTGAAGAAAAATGTATTGATAGTGACTGTCCTACAAATGCTGAGTGTTCAAACAATAAGTGCACCTGTAAAACCGGCTTCATTGATATTATGGGGAATTGTGAGAGTGAGTACAATGTCTGTGAATTTTTGTATTTAATACAATTCTATTCAAAAAGTTTTACCAACTGAAAAGTTTGTATTTATTGCAGTGCTACGACTCTGTTAATATAAAGATATGAATTTTAATTTTGTATGCATCTTTTTTTAACAAAAATATGATAGGTATTTTTTGTTCAGATTTTACACAAAAATAAGCGTAATAATAATGAATGAAATTTTTAGATAGTGAGTGCCCTACAAATTCTTGTTAATAATAAATTTTTATTGACGTTATGGGGATTTTCATTAAAGAAAAGGAATACTGTAAATATTGTCGCAGTTTTATTTTGTTGCTGCATGGTCTGTAATCGTGACATGAATTTTTAAATTAATTTTTATGTTCTCTGTGAAGAGAGTCAAATTATTTTCTTTGATTATTTTATTGTAACATTTCTGAATATTTTTATTGGTTTTTTTTTCACCTATCTTTTAATATTTTTACTCCGAAAAATATATACAGCAAATTTATTTTGAGACTTGTACATTTCAAAACGACCAAGTTTTGCAGATTAAAAGCCATATGTCAGCAAGAAGTGGTCGAAATTATCCAATTTTACCCTATAAATGAATTCAAAAGGAACTACAAAAAGCAGTTTTAATAGTTTTGCTATATAATACATTTCTGATTCTTAAAAAATCTTTTTACGGAAAGAATGCTTGTTCTTAAATATTTTTTGTTTAAGTAATAATACTTCTTTGCCGTTCAGAAGGAGTGTTCATCTTTGATAGAAGTCTTGGTAGAAATCAAAGAATTCATCGGGGGAGGGGGAGAATAAAGTTAATGATTATTTTTTTTCCAGAAAAATGCATCGATAGTGAGTGCCCTACAAATTCTGAGTGTTCAAATAATAAATGTACCTGTAAAACTGGCTTTATTGACGTTATGGGGGTTTGTGAGAGTGAGTATTACATATATAAATTTATCCTATACAACAAGTTTCTTTCATGTGTGTTGCATCATAGACTGTAATCAATGAAGTTTTGATTCATGTAGAACATGTCCTCTCCTTCTAGTTTGAGTTAATTTTAAGATAAGCACCTTTGATAATGTTATTGTAGGAATAAAGAACTTATCTGATATTGAGATTATGTATACAATGTTACTGATCAGAGAAAAACAAAAAACAAAACGTCTTGTTGGACTATACCGGTCTGTTTAAATGTAAACTAGTGAATTGCGTTCAATGTAAAGTTTTGTTTACATTTAAAACTCTAAAGGTTATTTTCAATTATATTCAGTTTTCCTTACAACAAATATGAAGAAATCTATATATAAAAATATTTCCTTCTCTTTCAGTGAAATGTGAAGATAAAAATTGCCAGTCTAATGCACTTTGCAAAAAGAACAAGTGTGTCTGTGTGGATGGATACCTAGACAAAGGTGGAATTTGTGAAGGTAAAGAATATTTACAGGTGTATATCTCTACCCCTGGGCATCGGTAGTATGGTATCAGTACAGTATAATGCAATGGAAGACTTAAATACATGTAGCCTGTCTTGTATTTCGTAGAAATCTCTTTGTGGATTATAATTTATGTGTTACAAATCTTACAGTTAAATGTGTGAATAGTGCATGTCCCTCAAATTCAGCATGTGTAGACAACAAATGCAAATGTCATTCCGGATATGTAAAAATCAATGGCGAATGTGAAGGTAAGTTTTCCTCTTTTTTAATATATTTCTCCATCTAATACATTCTGCTCTCTTTCAGATTACATTTTAGTTTCAAGGATAAATGGATTCAGTTCTTATTTATTTTTGTATTATTATAATAGTGAAATGTGTGGACAGTGATTGTAAAGCTAATGCAGTTTGTCGTCACAATAAGTGTACCTGTAAGGTGGGCTTCATTGAAAGGAGTGGTAGCTGTGAAGGTAAGACTACAAGAACTTTTTTAAAGAACTTAAGCTATAATAAACTCGATTTAGTACATATTTTATATGATTGACTTATTTTCACAGAAAAATAACCTTCCCCAGATCAATGAATTTTGTCATATTTTGTCATTTACATCGTGTATAGATTTTACTAGTGCTTGTGGTAATCTTTTTTGTTTCAGAACTTTGCCACTCCTTTAACTGTCCACGATTTGCTTCATGCGTCGACAACAGATGCACGTGTAACAGAGGATACGTAATGATCGGGAACAAATGTGAAGGTATGAGGAATTTAGTGAAGGATTATCAAGAACCCTAATTAAGCTGTCATAAAAATACGTTCGTAATACATGTATTATTTATTTTATTTCTGGTTGAAATTTCTATTTGTAGTAAAATGCGTTGCTTCGAAATGCGCGCGATATGCCGAGTGTCGATCCAATAAATGCCAATGTAAGAGAGGTTATATTGGAGATGGTGCTACGAAGTGTCAAGGTAAGAACATGATTTCATTTCACAGTATGAATGATATCCAAAACGATGGAAAGTAAACTTTTGGATATTTAAATAGCAAGATAATTCTACGGTATTACTTTTGTTTGTAATACTTACTTGAAAACCAGAAAGCTGTGGAGGAAGAGTTTGTGGAAAGAATGCTCGATGTTCACGATATGGACGAAGAAAGAAGTGTAAATGTGTTAGTGGCCTCTATGGCGACGGTTTCACTTGTACAGGTATAGGTGTCATACTACATTTCAACAAGATTTTTTAAAAACACTCATTCATACAAAACATTAATTGCTTCATCATACGAAAACGATTTCTTGAGGATTTGAGTGGTATATCCTTCACTATTATTAAATTGTTTAGTACCTTGAAAAAAAAAATCAAAATGCATAGTAAATGCATATATTCTTTGTTTTGCAGATACCTGTGGGGGGAAGAAATGCCATATGTATGCAAAATGTAAACATAACAAATGCGTCTGTTCTAGGGGTACTTACGGATCAGGCGAAACTTGCAAGAGTATGTATAGTTTATACTTTTAAGACAATAATTGGAGCTTTCCACATAAACGCACACATTTTACACTACAAAGCCTCAAAGAACTTTACATTACTATCGAATAAATTTCTAATGGCTTTAACGATAGTTTCGTGTTAATTTCAAATGGTTTTTAGGATCGTATTTCTTCGATTAACATTTTAGGGACATTATTATGTGTTGAAGTAATACCTTTAGTAAAAGTAGAATACATAAACTGGGGTTTGATTTGTTAATAATTGAATGCTATTGTCAGGACTGTGTGGGTGGAGGCGAGTTCGATGTGGTGACAATGCCAGCTGCTATAGAGGAAAGTGTAAATGTGATGGAGGATTCGAAGGGGACGGTATGGTCTGCAAAAGTAAGTAGTTAATCAATTGGGGTGGGAGAGGTCCACTTTTCAACGAGATTCTAAAAACGCTTAATTATAGAATGTCGTATAGCAAGGGTTTGATGCATGATTTTGTAAAATAAGATGTAATGTATAAAATATAATTTGATTCGTTTATATTTCCAGAACTTTGCACATGTGCAATAACGAGTGACATGTGGTATAATCTATACGATGGGAACTTTGTGAGGTTTGCTGGAACTTGTAAATACACTTTGTCTCAATACAGTAATACCAGTTCACCTTGTCAATACAAGACGGAGATAAAATACAAAAAGACAGACTCTCAGAGAAGGGGAACGACATTAGAGTACATCGAAATCTCTGCGGCAGGAAGGAAGATACACATGGGTAGAAATTTAGAAGTCATGGTAAGACTGGCCTCGCCCAAATTAAATTTGTAGAAAGATCTATCAAAGCATTATAAGGAAAAAAAGTATATTTTTTCTTTAAAAAACTGGCTAAAGTTTAATTAAAGTTACACTTACATTTTAATGATTATGGCAGGTAAAATTTTTTGGGAAAATTTTTTCCATGCTTATCAATATTGTTTGGTAAAACGTTTTTTGGAAGAAAAAAAATGGGTACAACTAGATGCATTGTCTTTATAGGGATGCAAAAAGAACCTTTCTATTTCATATAACTTCATTCTCAGGTGGACGACCTTCAGATTTACCTACCTTACACATCCGCAGCCGTAACAATCCACTACAGCGGAATAGGTGTGGTCGTCCTCTTTAATGGCTGTAGTATTCGATTGTTCTGGAATGGCAGAGGAATGGTGGCACTGTCTGTTCCGTTAGACTTCGGTGGTTCTTTGACTGGAATCTGTGGAAACTGTAACAAAAAGAGAGACGATTTGAGAACTAAGGGTGGTGAAGATGTGTCGAGTTATGGACAGAAGGCTGGGTCATATATTGGAAACAGCTATTTAGTGAAAGAAATGGATAATAACCAAACGTAAATGTCAAGATTATTCCTAACTTGTATATTAGGGTGTTATTATTCAAAATCCTAAAAGATAGTTAGTAACGGAAATCAATTTAAATCATTTTGAATTTTGATCAATTACAAATTGTAAATAGCTGTTGATATTTATAATGATTATCCATCGAACTATATAATCTTCGAAATTTTAGATGCGAGGCCCTTGGGTCTACCGTAACATGCTGGAACCGTGCGGGCTCTTACTCGTTCAGGAAATGTGGGATGCTTAACAAGAAATACAAATACTCACCATTTAAACGTTGTATGAAAGCTTTCCCAGAGCTTGCCGACAGGATGTATAAAGCCTGTAGGCAGGATTATTGTGCCAATCGCCAGGAAGCTGAATCCATTCTCTGTAGACATCTAGAAGGATTCGCCACTCTGTGCGCCAAACGTGGTCAGCTCGTTTATTGGAGGTACCGTGTTCCCACATGCAAACGAAGTGAGTTAATATTTCTTGTAAATTGTAATTATCATGAAGAAATCGAAATTGATTATGCACTTTGTTTTTTTCATGGTTTGTTTTTGTTCAAAATAAGTATACGATCAATTTTCTGAGAAAATAAATTTTACAAGTACTAGTATTTAAATACAATACCATTGTAGAACTCAAGTGTGGAAAGAGAAAGTTTTACTGGTGGTTCGCCTCTGCGTGTCCCAACACTTGTATGGATCCAAATGCAGAAAAGAAATGCATTCTGCCAAAGACTGAAAGTTGTCGCTGTGCTCATGGTTTTGTTTTAAGTGGAGATAAATGTGTCAGGGCAAAAGATTGTGGGTGTTCAAGAGGACCCTATTATTTCCCAGTACAGTTTCATGATTATTTATTAATTATTATCGCATTGCGTACCAATTGGGTTTACAAATAAATAACTTCATCTTTAAAAAAAAAAAAAGACTTGCAACTTATGTCTCTTTTGTTGTAGTTGAAAGCAGTCTACTCGAAGCCCGATTGCTCTGGAGTCGACACGTGTCGTAAGTTACCAGGCAAAAAGCGCCCTCAGTTAGTCAAGGGCAAAAAACAAACTTGTCACACTGAGGCTACTTGTGACGTTGTACACGGTGTACCTCAGTGCACATGCCAGATTGGATTTACAGGGGATGGTGTCAAAACATGTAAACGTAAGTTAAAATTTAAACTTTTTAAAAATATATCCGTTTATTTTACTATACACAGATATTACATAGAAAAAAAGGCCTACATAATTATATGATCGCATCAAAATACTGACGTATATTACGCTGGATCCGCATAATTTCCATAATCATTTGCTTATTTTTCTCTTATATAGCGGCAACGTCCTGTTCTGTGTCAGAAAACGTCCGAAATTGCAGCGCTACTATTGAGTTAGCGGGAGAATGTTTCTACAAATCCAGACATACGCAGGCGTGTAGATACACCACGCTCAGCGTCACAGACGGCAATAAACACCGTTCTTACGTCAAATTTAAGGGTCAGACTAAAAGCCGGTCTCTACCCCGTGGTCACACATCTTTAGGATGTGCAGACTTTACCTTCTCAGGGGACCGAGTGATTATAGAGGAAAAAATATGTGATTGTCCTGGACAGCATTAGAATTCAATACATGAACAAAATGTCTCAATATTTCTTGTAATTTATTGAAATAAACTATCTTTAAAAGACCCCTGTATCACCATGTTCAATGTACATAATGGAAGATTAAATGTGGAGAATAGAAAGCTTGCAAATAACACATAAACTATGGAGTATTGTTGACAAAAGGACAGGAAAGCCAAAAATTCAGATTGGCCTATTTACAGGAATACTATACAGATTTTTAAAAAATAATTTTTGTGGACAATCATTGTTTCTTAACGTCCATGCATTTACAAATTTACTTTTCCTTCAGTGTAAAATATACGATGTTTCCACAGAATTTAATTTCTTTTCCTGTAACAGCAGGTAAACAAGGAGGTTAATCTTTCTTTGAATGTTTTTCTCTTTCGCTACAAATGTAAAAAATACGTATATAGACTAATATCCAAAATGAGTACATATGTAAACATCGACAATTCAATTTGTTAAAAAAGAAAATTAATTCCAGAATAATGCTAGAGAAACTTGTTTCCCCATGGATGAAATTCTACAGAAATAAACCTTTTTGGTTTAATGATGTTACCGCTGTGATTTTTATGACTAACAAATGTTTTCATAGCCTTTAAATCGAAACAATTCAATAGTTGTTCACAATTGGATACTATAAGTGTTGAGACGTTACTCTTCATTTGTATTTAGCACTTTATCAAAATGAGTTCCCCTGCTTATGAGTGGTAGCGATAGAGTACTTGTTCCAAAATATATATAGAAAATTTTTAAAAAATGAATTCAAAGCAATAAGAAATAAAATAACACAAAGAGCACAATGAATTACTTACATTCTGGTGTTTCTTTGATAATCCCGATTTACCACCAACAGCACTCTCATTTTTTATCTGTTCTATAGCGCCCCCGATTATGTGCTCAACGTATAACTATAAATATTTATACATAATAAAATTAAATTATTCTGCTAAAAAAGCATTTAAAATTTTATTTATATATAGTATAAAAACATTTCTACTTCATTCAGCTATTTGTACTTACCACAACTTCCTCAGGATCTGGTTCTACATCCACTTTAACGTTATTGTTTTTATTCGACGCCATGGTTTGGTGTACATCTAAAGAAACTAACGGCATTAAAATTCCTGAAAAAAAAATCAAAATGAAAGAAAATATTATATAAATGTTGTCTTGAGTAAGATTTAAGATAAACTGACAAAGCGACATTATCAAACTCATAACTTCCTCCAGAGAAGATTCGCCGAACAAAAAGATAGTGTGAATAAATAGAAGCATGCATGGTTAATATCAGATGCATCAAGAGAAACAAAAAAACAACAACTTACCAGCATCATTTTCTATCACACTATCAAAAGCTATTGTGACGTCACTGATTATTTTCCTTCGCAATGTAGCGATTGTGACGTCATCCATTGTTCTCGGGATGGAAGAACAGACGAACTCGTACAACTTGTGGGCAGAGCATAATTACCATAAAAAGCAAACGAAATAAAATTGTTCATGCAATATAAAGTTGATGGTTGAGCAATGCCCATATGTTACTTCTCTATTACATTGAAAAAAAAAACGTATCATTAACGCTGTTTTGATTTTAAATTTTCTCCTTGGCGCTCCTTGCTTGCAAAGCAACATGACTAAAAAAAATAATTGGGAATATTGAGGCGAAATAAATGTTGTTGTTTTTTTATGGACAGGTTTTTCTTTAAAATTTCCATTGAAATGTTAATAAACTTCGGAATAGCTACAATATAATTAATATCAGATTTGTGATAGGTTCCAATAGATAGCTTCACGTACAAACCTAAGAAATAAACTTGCTAGTTGCAAGCAATGCATGTATTTTATTGTAGAACGATAATGTGTTCAAATAATGAAAAAAAAATCATATTTGGAATCAATTATGACTTAATCCATTTCCTTTTGATTATTTTACAATAATGCATTTATTACTAATCGAATTATTAGTCCACGGGTATGTTTTTTTTTTTATTACAAACGTAAATTCTGTTATTTATTTTTATTTATTTATTTTTTTTTTAGATTTTTCAAATTAAATACTTTATTTTAAGAAAAGACATAAGAAATATTTCTTGGCCCGGGATTCATATAAAAGGGGGTGGGGGTTGTCCACATGAACGCCAACGGGTATGTAACGAAGTACTAACGAAGTTATTCCGGGGAAAGATTCTGTCATCTTTGACTTTTGATTTTAAATGATTTTCAAACACTTTGAAGATACAGACTATTCATTTATTCTACATTTCCTCTGCAAAAGTGATCGTTATTATGTCATCAAAAAAGCTGATAAATTCGGTAGAAAGATGCGTTGACGAGGCATTAGAAGGTTTGGTACTGATAAACCCAGGTCTACAGATTTTACAGGGACACCGAGTCGTGGTCCGAAGTGACGTAGAAGATGTCATCAAAGCTGGAAAAGTTACTCTCCTCTGCGGGGGAGGGTCTGGGCATGAACCGGCGCATGCAGGTTAATATTTAAAATATAGCATGTTTCTTTTTTTTTCACTACTTTAATACTGAGATATTAGTTATTTTTTTCAAGATTTGATTTATGTTTTAGAAGATATTGGGCATAAACTCAAAGCTGAGACATGTTACATCTGTTACATGTATCTCACTATCTGTTTCTTCTCATAGCGTAGGCTTAGTGTTTGTTTTATCGTAACTTCCATTTTCAAGTGTAGCATTTACACAATTTTTTATCGTTATATGTATTATGTCATCCATGAAGTTTGCATTTCTACTGCATGAACGTGGTTTATCTGGACAGCTACAAAATTGATAAAGATGAAAACACTTCAGAATAAGATTATAGATAAGATAACCCTGCATTATTAACTTGCCTATGCATCAACTGTAAAAGGTTATAAATAAATACCAATTTACAATTATTTTGAAAAAACAAATCATTGTGAATTTAATACAAGGTCAAAAGAGGGGGAAATGCATGTCAAGTTAAATTTTTTAAAATTATTCTTAGGATCGATTTAACAAATGAATTCAATACAAATAAATTTTTATATTTCATTAAAAATGTAACCATAGTAAGTTCGTTCAGTTCTGCATATTTTTCTCTTATTATAATAGGTATGAAAGTTAGTGATTTCATTTTTTAAGAAAGGTTTATTAAGTTTAAAATTTTACACCACAGGTTACATTGGCTCTGGAATGCTGTCAGCAGCTGTAGCCGGGGCAGTGTTTACCTCCCCTCCCCCCAGCAGTATACTAGCAGCCCTAAGGAGCATCACTAAGGCAGGGGCAGGTAAATAATACATGTATATACTTAAAAATGCAGTTTTTAGGAAATAAAAAATCATTGTAGGCATTATTAGGACCATCACTAAGGCAGGGGAAGGTAAGTAATACATGTGCATGTATTTAATTAGTATATAAATATAGCAAGTTGTCAGGAAATAAAAATTAATGTAGGCATTATTATGCTTATGATCAAACAAATGATATTATTCCTTTTCGTTATGCATATGTCACACCTGTTTTAGTATCAGCGGTCTTACCTACTAAAGACTCAGTCCTTTAATTGTTTTCAAAACATAGCGCAATTCGTAAAAATAACACGGATGTATCCCCCATAATTAACATTGATATTAATCATCTAATTAACTATAGTTCAAACACTTAGTAATTCAAAAAATCATTAGAATCAAATCAAAAATTAATTTAGACTAAATAAACATTGCTCTATGTATCTGAATTTGAGAAAAAAATTCCAAGTTCGTAAGGGAAATAAATAGAAAAAAATGATATACTCGTATGTTAATTTTTAATTCATATACATACAAGTATATATAAGTATATATTGGGCGAACCACATATAGGGCGAACAAGATATTGCGCAAAAAATATTTTGGGCGAACGGACTCTGCGCGAACGGACTCCTGCGAACAGGTATATCGGGCGAACGAACCCGTTACCTATTTAATTAGTATATAAATATAGCAAGTTGTCAGGAAATAAAAATTAATGTAGGCATTATTACTTATGATCAAACAAATGATATAATTCCTTTTCTCCCCCAAAGAAGTCCAACATAATAGAAGAAAATTTGTTACAGTAGATAGTACTTAAAAGAAATGGTTATGTTTTGAAAACTTCGTGTATATACATCTTATCTGAGTTTCCAATTTTCCTTTTGGGTAGCTGGTTCTCTGATCATTGTGAAGAATTACACTGGGGACAGACTGAACTTTGGCCTGGCAGCTGAAAGGGCAAAGGCTGAGGGGTTAAAGGTCAACATGGTTGTTGTTGGAGAAGATTGTGCTCTCACATCGGCTGACAAAACTGCAGGAAGACGAGGACTCTGTGGAACAGTTTTTATTCATAAGGTGTGGTACGCATATTCTTAAAGAGAATGGCAAAATGAAATCAAAATATATAGAATGTCAATGAATGTTAGTTATGTTTCCAGAGAGACTTTGCTCAAGTTTATATATTCAGGGCAAAAAAAACTTAAGGGAATTTGTTCCTCTTATTTATCAATAGGAGCTGGTTTCATTTTAACTTATTTTTATACATTTTAGATCTGTGGTGCTTTAGCAGAGGAAGGAAAAAGCTTGGAAGAAATCCATCAGGTGGCTAGTAATGCTGCCAGAAATATGGGTCAGTTTACAGAAAACTCAAAAAAAACTATATCATGAATTATTATCATAATTGTATCTTAAAGTGGCAAATAAGAATGAAATTTGTCTGTGTGTTACATGTACATGCATGTAAGTTCTTGCTCTACTAATAATGTGCTTTATTTATAAGGCACCATTGGTGTGAGTTTGACTCCCTGCAGTCTACCAGGAGCAGGGCCATCATTTGAACTAAAGAGTGATGAAATGGAGTTAGGGTTAGGTAAGCTTTTCCTTAGTCATCTGCCAGAGATTCATACATATATGTTTTTAAGCACTATTTGTAAATTCATTTTTGAAATGCTGTTATATTTTATATTCCACACTTTCATGACAGGGGACTCAATGTGAAAAACAATGCCTGTATATAATTGTACTTGGTCAATGAATGAAAATGGAAATATTGAAATACTAGTATGTAACTCTGAATGATTCACACAGCATATGCATACATGTATTTATAGAGTTTGTTTTCTTTCACAGGTATACATGGAGAGGCTGGTGTCAAAAGAACAAAAGTAAGGCCTATAATCTTCCATTTTACTTTATTTATGATTTTTTGTAATGCAAGGACTTCAACATAAGTATATAAAAGAAGATTTTATTTTGAGACTATTAAAGTGGCATGTATTTTCACATGGGGGGAAGGGGGTTGTATTGAAATATTGAAAATTGGCTGAAGGCTAAACAATGTAAGTAGTTCTGAGATGTAGGAAAGACATTTTCTAGATTTTTTTCTTTTAAACAGCTTGTGTCAGCCAAAGAAGTTGTTACAATGATGCTGGATCACATGACAAACCCCAAAACATCAACTCACATTAACCTCAAAAAAGGTAAGGGAATTATTATGTCCAGCTTATGTTTATATAGATCCCAAATTGGAGTTTCCTGTAGATTTTGTTTGCCTTTAGAAACTTATCAAATGCTAATTCTTTTACAGGTGACAAAGTGGCATGTATGATTAATAATCTCGGTGGGACTTCAGTTTTAGAAATGAGCATCATTGCCAGAGAGGCAATTCAGCAGTTAGGTAGGCATTTTAAATTTTTGTATATGAAAGAACGGTTTCGTATAAATGAAAAATATGACCTAAACATACAAATTCCACATTGAAAATTATATTTCTGTTCCCATTCTCTCACTCTAAAGTCAAGGGGAGAAATTTGCCTTCATAGACTTCATAGAAGAAAATGAGTTTATATAAATCAATTTAGGAACAAATGTAAGTTGTGAAGAAAGATTCTCTAAGATTGATTGAAATAGTCAGACTTGATCACAACATAGCCTTACATGTATCAGTTGAGATTGAATTGTTCTACAGAGAGTAGAGGAGTAGCAGTGGAGAGGGCCTATTGTGGATCCTTGATGACATCACTAGAAATGGCAGGGGTCTCCATCACACTGTTACATCTGGATGACACCATCAGACACTGCTTGGGTACTACAATAAATACTGTCAACCAACTATTATTTGTGTCATCTTTTATTCACAATTTGGTAGATTGATATCCATCCGCCACAACTGATTTTCATGATGAAAGAAACATTCTCTACAAATGCAAAGTAATATTAATGGTTTGTGGCAATAATTGTTCGCAAGTAATGGTAGGTCATGAAACACGCATGTATTTCTCACATGCGAATAAAATTAAGTTTACAGTACTTCATTTTAAAATGGAAATCTTTATTTCTGAATTCCTCATTATAAACTAGTTTTTCTTTGCAATTCAATGGAGGCCTCTTTTAAACAGATGCCAAAACCACTGCTCCTGGCTGGCCTGCCCCAATGTTGCCAGTGGGAAAGGCCACACGTGAGAATCCTGAAGTCATGCCTTACAACCAGAAGGATGAGGCTGTGAAGTCCAGTAATGCCATCAGTGTACCCAAAGGTGGGGCCTCTAGCAGATACCATTCAGTATTTCAAACTGTGTTTTGTATGAACTATTATTTATGAATGAAAATAGTCTGAATGTTGCATTTTCAGAGACAGCTGAGATGCTGTATGACATGATAAAGCTGTCCATGGAGAAACTGATCTCATCAGAGGAGGATCTCAATAACCTGGACAAGGAGAGTGGGGACGGGGACTGTGGGTCAACACTGGCCAGAGGGGCCAAAGGTCAGACATTTGTTAAAAGATTAGGGGTGGAGGAGGAATGGTAAATGATGACTTATGGGTCAGACGTAAAACGTACAAAAAAAGAAGTAATAAGGATTCAAATCAATTAGAATAGGAGTAGTTTTTGTGGAAAATGAGTAACCATTGAAATGTAGACTAGACAATAGATATTGAAGTTGAATCTGGAACTGATGATGTTGTTAGGATCATTGATTCATTTCTGATGTATACATGAATATATATGGTGTTTGAACTATAAGTGTTAAAGAAAAGTAAATCAATGTTTAGAACATTTTGTTTTCAGGTATTCTACAAAATCTGGGACCAAAGAACAATCCAGGTCTTCCCGTTCAGATCCCAGCAGACCTTGCCTTGTCTCTGGCAAAGATTGTGGAAAACTCCATGGGTGGATCCTCAGGAGCGGTATAGAGTTGTTTTAAGTTTTAACATTAATATGCCAGAAAAAATGCTTGTAATTTTTTTCTTCAATCTGCATTTAATATTTTTACAGCTTTACAGTTTATTCTTGACCTCTGCTTCCCTCTGTCTCCAGTCTTCTGTAACCCCTAAGGACTGGGTCAGTGCTTTAACTAACGGGAACAGCACAATCATGAAGTAGGTATATTGAAAGCATTGTACTGTTAATGCTTGCTAACACAGTAAGATACATGTACTCCTATTTTGCACTGCAGGAAGATAAACACAGTGTACAAAGATGAAAATGGAGGAAAGCAGTTTTGTACTCTTGGTCAGTGTGATCATTTTTAGCTCTACTGGTCAGAGACCAGAAGAGCTTATGCGATAGTAATGCGTCTGTCGTCCGTCCGTCTGTCTGTCCGTCTGTAAACAATTTTTCAAAATGCTACTCCTCCTACAGTTTTGGTCTGATTTCAATATAACTTGGACACAAGTAGACTACACTAAGATACATCATTCTGTTCATCGGTTTTTGATTATGATGAATGGTGTTGCCGTGGTTACTAAAAATAGAATTTTCTGTGAAATTCTTTCAAAATGCTACTCCTCCTACAGTTTTGGTCTGATTTCAATATAACTTGGCACACAAGTAGACTACACTAAGATACATAATTCTGTATATCGATTTTTTATTTCGATGAGCGGTGTTGCTGTGGTTACTAAAAATATAAATTTCTGTGAAATTCTTTCAAAATGCTACTCCTCCTACAGTTTTGGTCTGATTTCAATATAACTTGGCATAAAAATACATTAAGATACATAATTCTTTGTATCTGATGAACAATGTTGCCGTGGTTACTAAAATTAGAAATTTCTGTGAAATTCTTTCAAAATGCTACTCCTCTTATAGTTTTGGTCTCATTTCAATATAACTTGGCACACAAGTAGACTATACTAAGATACATAATTCTGAGCATCAGTTTTTGATTTTGATGAATGTTGTTGCCGTGGTTACTAAAAATAGAAATTTTCTGTGAAATTCTTTCAAAATGCAACTCCTCCTACAGTTTTAGTCTGATTTCAATATAACTTGGCACACAAATAGACAACACACATAACTATGTCAGAGAATGGTGTTGCCGTGGTTACTAAAAATAGAAATTTCTGTGAAATTCTTTCAAAATGCTACTCCTCCTACAGTTTTGGTCTGATTTCAATATAACTTGGCACACAAGTAGACTACACTAAGATACACAATTCTGTTTATCAGTTTTTGACTTTGATGAACATTATTGCTTTGGTTACTTAAAATATAAATTTCTGTTAAATACTCTCAAAATGCTACTCCAAATACAGTTTAAGTCTGATTATAATATAATGTGGCATGCAAGTATACTACACTAAGAACATAAAGAGACTTAATCAAGGATCATTATTCTTTTTATTGCTGTGGTAAAGTTTCAATTCCCAACTGCTTAAGAACTTTTCTCTTCCTTTGCTATAAGTACAAACCAGTAGAGCTTCAGTCTCGACAGAGACTTCTGGTTATACAATGTAATCTTAATTATTAATTAATTTTAATTACAGGTATGGTGGAGCAGAGCCAGGAGATAGAACAATGGTGAGGAGACAACAGAGTTAATTGATTAAAAAAATATTTACATCTGTGATCTTTTTTATTCAACATCTTAGGTTTATCAGTTGATAACATTTATTCCAAGGTGGATTCACTGGTAGCTGCTGGCACCACACTGTCAGAGAAAATTTTATTGTCTACACCTGTTCAAGCTTTAGAGGCAGCAGTACTGGTAAGCTGAATTTACAGACCTGTATACCTAACTGCTAACCTGAGGATAAGTTTTCTAGATTAATAAGAAATGGTTGATTAGGCCTGCTGTATAAGGGAATTTCTCTGGAAAAATATGACACGGGATTGATGCAAGTTTTATTTGCTCTTCCTAAACTGACTACAATGAACAGTTTAGTACAATTTTATAAAAGGGACATCCACAGCATGTGATTATTACCCCCCCCCTTTTTTTCCAACATAAACCCCTAGCTGTACTAGTACATATATGCATTTAATAAGAATAATTTGATGATGTAAAGAACTCTTTTTCAATATATTTTCCATCAAATACTAACTGCATTTTGTTTATGATGCTACAGGCAGCAGAAAAAGCAGCCCAGGACACTGCTCAAATGAAAGCCAAGGCTGGACGGGCAAGCTATGTGAGTGCAGAAAGGTTAAAGAGTCCCGACCCAGGGGCAGTTTCCGTGACTTACTGGATGAGAGCAGTGCTAGAGGTCCTCAAAGCAGCTTAAAAACAGAGGATATGACTCAAAATCCTTGTGTACAAAACTACTAAAGCATTGATTTTAACATGAAAGAATATTAGGGCTCTGCACAAGATGCAGGAATCCAGTAGTCAGTTTTGAATTACTAGTATTTTGACTATTATTCTTTGTGTTTCAATGAAAGGGGTCATTGAAATCCATATTTATATTAACAATTAAGTTTACGAAAACGAAAGGTTTAATTGTTAATTTAATTTTTTTAAGGTGCATGAGAAATTTTTATTAGAAAATTTTGTTAATCACCAAATTTTTTTTTAATAAAAAAGGTGCATGGGTAATATTAATTTTGGTAAATTATACAAATATCTAGAATTTATATGATTATGTGATTTCTACTTAAGGGCATTTGATTTACTTAATTTATTAAGTCTCGTACTTATGATAAATCATTGAAATTCAATGTACAAATTATTGATTTATGTTGATTATTATTTTAAATATGTCTATGTTTTAAGCCTCCATGGTGCAGCAGTACAGTTTTATACAAGTATGATGTAAAGGGAAAACCCAGTGATATTTTTATGATGAGAAATCATTAAATCTATATATTTATAACTTAAATCATTTGTTGTTTTTCTTAATATAAATACAAGGTATTTGTTTGCAACAGAAATAAAAGAACTTAATTCTAGTAGGGAACTCTAGAAACCAAGTAATAGTTGAAGTAATTATTGGTTGGAAATATTTTTTGAAAGTTTTGCTTCTTTTTCCCAAGATTTCATGTTCATATCAGAAACAGACCATAAGATAATCTTTTGTGCTTTTCATGTATCCAGAAGTCTTCACAAAATTTGAAGAGAAAAAAGTCGGATGACGAAAAATTGCCTGGCTGAAAAAAATTATCAACAAATCTGTTTATTTCTATTTTGTCTCCCCAAAATAAAATTTTGATTTCATTAATTTTTATTTATAACATTTTTTTTTCAAGCAGAAATTTGGACACAATAGAATTTGATAAACATATGAAAAATTTAGAAATGCTCGTGTTAGCAAAACTAGACCAGAGAGTTGTTTTTCTTTGAATTTATATACAAAGATGGACAGACTGAGAGTACATTTCTTCTGACTGACAAGTCTGTGCACGCATTGTAAAAGCTTTTATTTCCACAAGTCGAAAAAACCATACATCTACCCCCCCCCCCCCCCCTTCCTTCCCATCGGAAACCCATAATCATTAAATCAAAGTCCTGAGAATATAAACGTACTATAAAAGTGCTTTATCCCCTTAAAATTAATGTAAACGCTACAAAGGAGATCACAAATTTTCCCAGGGTACTTGAAGTAAATTTTAGGCATATACTAGTATACATGTATAGAGACAATCTAAGGAACCTGCATAATTCTCCCCGTGGATTGAACAGAAACTGTGATTCCGCCGCATGACCCCATGGATCGAAAGAGTACTTATACAGAATTTCAATGAATGATTACATTATCTGTATCAGATAAAAGCAACATTTGTAAGATGATTTCAGCATCTACGACTACATGCATTTAACTTAAAAATATGACCTTCACTTAAGACTATAAACGTCTGTACTCCGTGGGCTACAACAGAATAAAATTTTTCAAGGTTTTTCGATAAATCTTGATCGTTGTGTTTTTTTTTATGATCTTCTTTGTTTCAAAATCATACTGAAGGTTCCATTGGGCCCCAAGACCATCAACTGAGAACAGACAAGTCACAATTTTGCTAATGAAACAACAAGGGAAAAATTCTCGAGAGAGACGTTAAGCAACAAACACACAAACAAACCAACGAAACAAAAAATTAACAGCTTATCCATCCACAAAAATTATTTCTGTTGAGATCCACGCATAATATTTACATGTATACGTAATGTGTGAGAATTGGAAGGAAGTGAGATTTGTACAGGTGTATATAGAAAAATTACTGGAAAAGGATAATTCATGTAGTTATAGATATCAAATCAGATAAATCGTTTTTTTTTATTTTATTTTTGACAAATTGCAAAGGCGGATCTAGTTTCGGATCCCCACTCCCTTGTTTTGATTTTTTTTTTGTAAAGCAAGTTTACTTTCAGTTTATTCATAAAAGTCCTCTTATTTGCAAGCTTCAGGGGGAACCAGACTCTCCCCAGGGCTTTGCCCTGGAGCCACTTGGGCCTTTAATGCAGCCCTATATCCCCTGCTTTCTACCCCCCCCCCCTTTCACGGTCCGCTATGAAATTTCTGGATCCGCCACTGAATTGAAGATTTTATGTATTTATCGGCTATCGTACAGCTTTAATCAGAATACAGTACTATGCAGAGATGACCACCAAAAAGTTGATAAACTCAGTGGACGGTTGTGTGGACGATGCTCTCCGAGGACTGGTCAGCGTCCATTCCTCCCTCCGTATTTTGCAAGGACACAAGATCGTTGTCAGGGAGGATGTGGAGGAGGTGAAAAAGGCGGGAAAAGTCACTCTGCTGTGTGGCGGAGGGTCGGGGCACGAACCAGCGCAGGCAGGTAAATATGGAGGGCCACTCTGATAAACGTTAAAGCTTTCTGATAACGAATAAATATATACGTGACTTGATTTTTAATTTTGTCATGCAACAAGCCTCTTTTTATGCTTTCATTCATATTGTTTTGTATTTAAAATGCTTGTGAAATTTTCGTTATATATATACTTTTTTTTTACACCAGAATAATTAGTTGTTTGTACTTACTAGGTTATGTCGGACATGGTATGTTGACTGTAGCCGTTGCTGGGGCAGTTTTCGCTTCTCCTCCACCAAGCAGCATCCTGACAGCCCTCAGATACGTCACCAAACTCGATTCTGGTGAGTCCCACTTCAAGTTACAGAGTCGTGGATTAATTATTACTTTTAAAAAGTGTACTAATATCTATATCTGCATTAGACAAACCTTTGTCAATAAGTAACAATAGCCACGCCAGTTAAATCATTGTAATAACCATGTTTTACTGCATACGTCTCTCGTGACGTCCGCATTATTTCATATCAAAAGTCACGTGCTTTTATGAGGATTATCATCCGATACACATCAATACCAAAAAGACTATCATTCCATAAATATACAAAGAAAGAACAATATCTTTTTTAGCCGGTTGTGTTGTTGTAATCACTAACTATACCGGGGATCGTCTAAACTTTGGATTGGCGATAGAACGCGCAAAGAGAGAGGGACTAAAAGTAGACTCAATAACCATTGGCGAGGACTGTGCTCTGACGTCATCAGATAGGTCAGCAGGGCGAAGAGGATTGGCGGGAACTGTTCTCCTAAATAAGGTTAACTGTTAGTCTTATTACTTATTGGTTAAACAATATTGAACAAAACATAAAAGTATCTTGATTTCTATTGTAGATATGTGGTGCTTTAGCGGAGGAAGGGAAAAGTTTAGAAGAAATCGTTAAAATTGGAAGGCATGTCACGGAAAACATGGGTAAATCATTAAAAATTCGATGTTATTACTCGGCAAAAAGTGAAAATTCCCAGCTTATTTTCCTTGATTTACAATAATGTTAAAACTAGTGACACTTAGCTGCTTTCCTCTTATTGTTTTCAAGGAACAATGGGAGTAAGTCTGACACCATGCAGTGTCCCCGGCTCTGGACCAACTTTTAGTCTTGGCGAGGATGAAATGGAACTTGGTTTAGGTATATCAATTTAGTAAAAAGAAGCATTAAAAAATAATGAACAAGAAAACATCTTTTGATTCCTTAAAGCAATAAAATTCTATTTGTTTAATATACCGTTTATTTCGTACCTCAGGTTTACACGGTGAAGCAGGTGTTAAACGAACAAAGGTAAGAACGTTGATGTCATTCAATGGATTTAGTTTAGACAAAACTTTTTAAGAATAAAATGCCGAACGAAAGAATCACGCGGACAAAGGCTTCTGCTTGCTAATTTTGCGTCGTACATCCATCACAGTACATTAAAACCAAAACAATGGGAAAAAACATATTTATGAAGATGAAAGCATGAAGGAATATTGCATTAAATGAATGAATTGAAATTTTAGATTAAGCCAGCTAATGAAGTTGTAAAGATGATTCTTGACCACATGACCAACACCAGTACTTCAACACATATTAAGCTTAAAGCAGGTATACTTTAGATAATATTATCAGTGGAGAATGATTTTGGATATCATTTAATTAATGGTAGAATTTTACGCGAATAAATGTTCACTTAGCTCTGTCATAATCATGTTTGCTTATTTTTGGAATATGATAGGTGACAAGGTGGCCTGTATGGTAAATAACTTGGGAGGGATGTCGTTGTTGGAAATGAACATTATAGTTGGAGAAGTCATCAAACAATTAGGTACATGTGCATATGCTGACTTTAATTAAAAATTCAATTAAAGTATCAAAGTATCTAAATTTTTGAAAATCTTGGTTAAAATCAATTGATTTGTTTCCCACCTCTTTTTGTTTCCATGCAGAAGAGAGAGATGTGGTTGTAGAGAGAGCTTATTGCGGTTCGTTTATGACGTCATTAGAAATGGCCGGACTGTCTGTCACTATTCTTCATCTGGATGAAACAATCAAACGCTGTCTAGGTATATCCACGTACTCAGTAAACAGGAATTGTTTATCTTGTTTTCCCATGAAAGTTTCTGGCTGCAGAACTGTAGCGTAATAATTTTATAATTTAGCCTTTGACCATAACAAATATATGAAACCATAACGTTTTTAAGTTCTACATTTAGAAAGTTCTCATTTATATTCATTAACAATTAAGTGAGTAAAGGGTAATTATGGAAAAAACTTTTTTCATAATTTTTTCGTTTAAAAAGAGGGTTGTTATTTTTTATCGTGTACCATTGCTGTATAAAGATTCAGTATAATTTTCCTAAGTTGAAAAGTTCAGGAAAATTTCGATTGCTCAAATAATTTTTAAAGATGCCAAAGCAACTGTTCCGGCCTGGTCCAGCCCCATTTTATCACGTGACAGTTCCGTGAGAAGCACACCACTATATATACCGATTCAAGAAGAAGAAGAACATGTCAAAAGTGGCAATTCTGTCCGTATACCCAAAGGTATAATATTTTTACAACACTGAAATATTTACGCAAGTATATTTTATATCCAGGATATGAACAAGCAATAGTTACCAGCTATTAGATTATATTAATAGAGAAGAAATTAACCCGTGTATTAAAAAAAATTAAAAAGCGGTTGCACATATGTAAACCTTTCTTATAGTTTTTGGATCAAGTTTTATTGCTTAAAAATTGCTCATCTGAGTCATTTCTATGACTGAATAAAGAGAGTATATATTCATTGTACTGTCATAATTTTTAGAGAATAAATTTGATTTTTTAAAATTTATCAGTTAGCAAATATACTTCTATTTAAAAATTACCAAATTTGTGTATTTTTTCACGAACGTGCTTCACTTTCCTCCGTCATTTTCAGAGACAGCTGACATGCTGTATGACATGGTAAAGCTGTCTATGGAGACACTGATCTCATCAGAGGAGGATCTCAACAACCTGGACAAGGAGAGTGGGGACGGGGACTGTGGGTCAACACTGGCCAGGGGGGCCAAAGGTCAGACATTATTTGAGAGGTGAAGGGGGCAATTCGCAAAGGTCAGCATTGTTTAAGATTTGGGAGGGACATGTAAGTTCAGATCAGAAGCCAAAGGTCAGAGGAAGTGGAGAACATTTTATGCAGCATTAGAAGTCAAATAAAAAAGTTTATAATCACTAATTTAATTAAACTTTAAATTTTTAATAGCAATATTAAAAGAACTGGGACAGAAGGAGAAACCTTACCTACCGGTAGACACACCAGCAGCCTTAGCTCTGTCACTGGCAAGGATTGTAGAGAATTCAATGGGCGGATCATCAGGGGCGGTAGTACAATTATAATTTTTCAAAATAAGTATTGACAGAAATATCATTAATTTTTTTGTAAAACTTATATCTAAAACATTTTGTGATTTATTTTTGAAAATAAGCTGTATAGTCTATTCTTCACATCGGCTTCGCATTCTCTACAAAAAGACGTAACAATGACGGGATGGAAGGAAGCCCTTAGTAATGGAACCTCCACAATAATGAGGTAAAAAAACTTAGATTTCTAAAGCATGTTTAAATGATGCCTCATTTGAATGTGAATAATTTTTATATCCCCTGTTTTATTTAGATATGGAGGTGCGCAGCCCGGCGATAGAACCATGGTATGTATTCTGAGGTAACTTCGTGCTCAATATTTATTTACACAAGTCAAGGAATATTTTCAAATAAAATCCTTATCTGAATCAAAATAAAATTTGATAGCGTCCAAGATAATGATAATGGCGAAGATCTGTACAGATTTATTTAACATATATATGTGATATAAATGTTATTTCCTCCTACTCTTATATATACATGCATATAAACAGTTAAAGATTTAGAACGGTATTTTTTTTCAACGCGTATGTCTTGATATCAAAATAAAACAAAAAAGTCAAGCTATATGGGTAAAAGTTCTCTAATTTTCGAGTTGGCATTTACGTAAACTTAAAGAATTTATTGTTTTGTTTTTCGTTTGAAAAAGCGAATGTGTGCAATTTAACATACAGGTTCCGAAAATACAGTTGTAAATTTCACAGCAAACAGTTTAAGTACTTTAATAAAGTTTAACAGTTTTCCTAGATCGATGGCATTCCAAAGGTCCTTCAAAAAAGTTAAAAACATTAAAATTCTTCAGGTTGATGCACTATTTGCTGCCAATTCAGCTCTGAAAACTTCGGGATCGTTATCTAGTCCCGTCCAAATTTTGGAGACAGTCGTGCAAGTAAGTTTATCCAAACACTCTTGAAAATAGCTTTGATATAGAAAAAGAATTTTAAAAAATATAACTTAAAGATCGAACTCCAACATCTCAAGATCTGTTTTAATAACAGGCGACAGAATCCGCCGCCCAGGCCACGGCTTCTATGAAAGCCCAGGCCGGGAGGGCGAGTTATGTCAGTGCAGACAGGCTGAAGAACCCCGACCCCGGGGCAGTAGCCGTGACAGTATGGTTCAAAGCAATACTTGACATCTTCAAGAATACACAAGAGTAACCGAAGGTCACTGATGGAATCGTGTTTCAGTATTCAAAGATGAAAAATAAAATAAAGTTGTCATTATTTAGAAATACATGTATGTTTATATGATTTCAATTTGCTGTTTGCGTATAATTGGAAATAAAGAAAGAAAGAAATCTAATACAATTGTTTTTTTTTTCATTTTTGTCATTATTATTCTGACATGTAATTTTACAAATATTATACAAATAAACTAATATATATAAATACAATCTGGCATGCGTAGATCAAAATTCAATATCAAAATGGTAACAACTAGCACATACATGTAGAACCACATTTTATTTTTAGAGCTATGTCCTCTTTTTAATTAAAGAGATCCTTTTCACTCTTTCAATTTCTGGACATTTCTGATGTTCCATCTCCGGCATCTGAGAAAAAAGAACTGTCAAAGGAGTTATTGCTGGATTCGTCATAGCTTTTGGGGTCTCTTTCTATACACTCTAACAGTTTTGCACTATGTTGTTGAGCTTTAGCACGTAGAGCCGCGATGCTTTCCGAACGAATTTCCTCTTTCACTCGATTGTTCATGTCACCTCCGTCATTTCCCTCTTCTTCACGCATTTTCTTCGACGCCTCCAGCGACTTCTTGTGCATCCCTGTAAGAAAAGAAACAAATATTTTTTGAAGTTATTAAAGAATATATTTCTTTTTTGAAATATGCACGATGTTTCTACAATAAAAAATATCTTCATCTTCTTATATTTACCTAAAAGCCATGGTGCAGACGACTTATCGATGCCTTTATCGGCACTTTGTACGATGCATTCCGGAAGTGGAAGTGCATGTCGCACCATTGCTCCGTAAAGTCCATACTCCGCCATTATGCTGCTCTTGCCCCAAGTTTTCTCAGTCTTTCTCCATTTTGCTCGACGATTTTGAAACCAAACCTATTTGCAAAGATATGTTGAAGTAAAGTGTCATTATTTATCAAAGTTAAGACTTGCATTGCATTAGTCCATTGTGCTAAATGGTGAAAGATATCCAACATATGTTTGGAATAAAATGACATCAATCTGGATACTTCAATTCAAAATATATTTCTTACACATTTTTTACATTTAGAATTTGAAGTACGTACATATATTTGTCTTGTGACCTTCTGCATATAGTTTGTGCCAATTAATACATGTATATTGTGTATTTGTATGCGCAAGTTTTAGTTAAAAATTGAGAAAAATTTCAACTTGGCTTCGAAAGGTATTATACATGTGATGGGTTCATTGCATACCTGTATGCTCTAATTCATGGAAGGAGAATGGAGGTATTTCTAAAAACATACACATTTCATTAATTTTGGAATTTTTCCATCTTGTCTGTCTGGGAATGAGAGCCATGCAATGTTAAACAAGTCACTTCTTGTGAGCAGTCGATACAAAAATATGAAATAATTTTTTTTTAAAAATATCTGTTGGACTTTACAACTAGATATAAGATAGTGTTTTCAAAACACTATCTTGAAGTCTTTCCTTTTGAAGTGAACGTATTTATCGCACTTCGCTGGTTCGTCGTACACGACATTGGGTGTTCAATCGTACATTGGACCTTTTTTTACAAGGCATGTAAATTTAGTAAGTTTTCTGAGAAAATATAGATAATTAAAATGTTATTAGTTTAACCCTAGATTTTTTGAAACATTTTCTTAACCTTGATGTCTACATTTAGACCCATGTGGAAATTTCTTTTGAAGTTGAATTTTTTAGTTGAATCTGTAAGATGTTTCTGAAATCGCTGATAAAACAGTATCTAGTTCCTGCGTCAACAAAAACATATGTATGCTTTCTTAATTAATTTGAATATCAATTTGTAGAAGCATGTTCCGTTTTCCGTTATCAACATCTTGGATAAACTTTAGACAGAACTTTTCAGTACATCGCTTGCCAAATCTCGGGGAAATCTCGCCATGATACAGCAACTTATGGAAGACTTCGAGAGCTAAAAAATATTTACAACTGAGATATAAATCTTGCGCGAATCTGTCCAGCCCCGCGTATGTTGAGATATTGGAGCCAATTAGAAATCATGAACCGTCTCCTGCGGGACTAGCAAATTCCTAGAGCTGATAATTGGTTTTCTGTTGCAATATATCAGAGTTGCTTAACGCTTGCTTAGTTTAAGACGTTTTACTAGTTTTATATAAATAAAATTTTGTCCTGGTTTAAAGTTACGTAAAAATATTTAGTTCGAGTTGATTAAGTTCAGTCTTATTTAAACAACATATATAGGTGCCTTTAGAAGAAGAGGTTCTATTCTTCTTATTACTTACAGCTAGCTTATAGGCTAAACCTGTATTCCATCAAATAATAGAATAAAATTTTATACAACTATTTGAATTTTGACCATAAACAGCAAGAAGTACGGTTGTCTTAAAGACAAAGTATATAATTGTGCAAGAATACATGTATATATTGTACCTGAATTCTGTCTTCCGGAAGGTCAATCTTTAACGCCAAGACTTCTCGGGCATACAGATCAGGATAATGTGCCTCTTTAAACGTTTTCTCGAGTTCGTCCACTTGGTAGCTTGTAAATATGGTCCTGAAAGTAGAATATTTGCCAAATACAGTCAATGTTTATTGTTTAATAAATAAAGCAATGTTTTTTGTGCAATGATGTCTAAAAAAAAATATAAGAATTTAACGCACAGAAGATGAGGAAATGGTTTTGGCTTGAAATGAGGTCATTAAGCAGATGTGGATGCATTTAGTTACCCTTTTTTATAAAGAGAAAGTAATTAGTGTGCTTTGCAAAAAGACAAAAATAAAACGGAGACTTTTTAAAGTTGTTCTAATAGGATTGAAGTTTCCATCAATTTATTTTATTTAATTGGACGAGAACATGCATCCTTATGTCTAATAACGATCCAATTTGTAAACACCGACTCCTTACTGCGTAGAGTACAAGATGTGAGTGATTGGGCCAAATAATTGGAAATTAAAAAGACTAATAGTAGCTTGCTTTTTCTTATTGGGGATGTTTATCTCTTAATAGGACAAGAAATCGATAGCAGACGACAGCTCTTCCTTTATCGTGGTACTTCGGGTAACGAGATGGAGTAATTGTTAATCGGAGTGATGAATCTTGCCACGCGCAATGACGTTGTTTCGAGTTGACATAACAAATAGTTCTTGCTCTTCGTGTGACGTTTTTAACTAATCGAACGTTCCCCTACCTATCTAGGGGATTCTCGTTAACGAACTAATTGACAGGAACTTGTTTTCGCTTTGTTTCTTTGACACTTATTAGTAAGTAGATTAATGTTATCAAATAAAGGAAATCTAAAATCAGTCACGTGATCGATACATCAGTCACGTGGTAAATGAACATACATGTACTTTATCAAAGTTGAACTTCAGTTTAAAAGATAATTTAAAAATTTGGATACATTATTTTCAATTAATATGAGGTGGCTCTTTTATAGGGAGAAACTATCCAATGTACAAGGATTTATAATTGGCGTTTCCATATGAGTGAAAAAATCTCTCGAGATTGACGTTAAACAACAAACAAAGAAAAACAAGGATTCAATTTATTTCTTAATTAATAATTCCTACATGTATATACAGTTGTAAAATAAGAAAAGGAAATGGTTCAATATTTTTTAAACTTCTTAATTATGAAAAAGTTGTAAGAGGCTTGCTGATAGAAATGTCAAACTTAATACAAAACCTTAAAAATTCTTATTACAGATGGATATCGAATTATGTGCGGTTTAACAATGTGTTATAATTAATGTTTTTTTTTTTTTTTTTTTAGTTTTTTTTTTTAAGAAAAAAGCCTCTTAAAATTGAAAATACATGTACATATGCATTATAAAATTTGTATTAGTTGAGCCAGCAGTTAAATGACTGGGTACACATAATTTTGCATGCAAGTAAACGTTTTTATGATTCATATTTGAAAAGTAAAAATATACTCAATTTTATAGAGCATTGTGATTTTGTTTCAATCATCGAGGAAGGAGGGGGAAATGCGTACCTGTGTCGTCGGCGTTTCTTCTGTTTCTTACAGATGTTCATGTTGTCTGGCGTTTTCTCTTGGTGGGCACACTCTGGGCGGATTGGAGCTAAAATATAGATTTAAAGTTGTATTTTCCTGTTGTAATTTTTTGGGTCATCAGTATATAAAAATTGAAATGATAATTTTTACTTTTAGAAACAAAGTGTATTTGGAAAACGTGAACATACAAATTAATGGGTTCCTTTACACATTGACACATTGTACTCAATAATACTTTGAAAAAAAAATAACGAAAAACTAAAAATGCATGGGATCTAAACGCAATCTGCTCATTTTTTAAAAAGATTTAATGTTGGGATTTTTTAGTGTAGTTCATGATTGTTTTTTTTTTTTTGGAGGAATATGGGGCTGTCTCCCCGTCCCTCCCTCCCCATTTGCTTTACATTACGGTCCGGCAACATAAACATTGATTTCGAATTGATGCTTTGATAAATTAAGATCAATATGCATCTGCAAGAGTTAAAAATAAGCAATAATTGTAAAACCGTTTCTACCTCTATTTAATGGAAGAACTTCCATTTATGTGGATCTCATTAAGCTTTGTATTTGCGGGGATTTTTATAGTTCATTTTGAGTGCATCGCGTAGACTTCTTTTTATGTTTTCTACCGAAAATGTTATGTTTGATTATATTTTTAGACCTATCGAGCTCGTTCTTGATGATGTCTCAAGATAAAAGTTAGTTGTCATTTTAGGATCAAACTTGGAAATTATAATCACGAATTGGATAAAAATACCAGAAACCTAAAAAAAATGAATTGAATTCCTTTTCAGGCAGAACAGTATCTGGCTTAAAATTATATATATAAATTTGAATTAAAGAATTGTTATTATTGATAAAACAAATTTAATTTAAACATGTATGCTTGTACTGTATATATACTTAAAGTTTGATAAATAAGGCAGAAAATCCACATCAATAAATGTATTGTTATAATTTCAAAACATATATGCATGTAGTGATGAGGGTAACTGTTGCAAACCAAAATTTTCACCCATTAAAGTCCAACATTTCATCGAAAACCATTGTCAACAGAAGCGCAGTAAAACAATGTTGACATATAGATTTCTAGGGGGAAAAATTTTTAAAGGTATAACAGCATGGAATGATATATAATTTATGTGTAGTATACTGAACTAATACTGAATGTTGTATACAAAAACATGTAACACTGAGGTGCGCGCATAAATTCTGCGCAGTCAATATATATTTTTGGGGGAATATCACCCGTCGTCAAGCACTGATAAATGTTGCTATGCTGTAGGGAGGGTTTAATAACTATTCAATAAAATAAAATTATATTTATACTGATGGAAGTTGGATTGAATACCAATATGACCTTACTACTCTTTTTCAACTTAATGTGCTTGCTCTTTTAGGATGGGTAAAAAAAACTAAATTAAAATGAATGTTTGTGGGTTAAAGCATAAATACAATTTAAGAACATTCAAATATTAAGCATTTGTAACCAGGAAGCACGATAAAAAAGGACTCCGGGAAAACTAAGAAACCTTTCGCTCCTCCGTGTCAACTTTCTCTTTGCCACAAGTCATTAATAGAAATGTCATTTTTCACCCTTTCACGTGAGAAGTTTTATCAAATTCGCCACTTGTGGACTACACTGTATGCCCATTACGGTGTCACCGCGCCCGTCTGTTCCCCTTTCTTACGTGTCTGTCGGCGCAGTAAGTGGCGCAGAACACGAAACCTGGCGCCCACTGGTCAAACGCAAGACTCGCGGTCCTTCTAGCCCAAGCCAAGATTCCCCCAAACTTAACTGTAAAACTGAATTCTACCTGTTTGTTTTCTTAATTGTCATTCTCCAAAAGACACTCCATTTCTAACTTTAACGGGTATTTGAGTCATTAAGTATATTGAACTAGAGCAAAGACAAGCCGTTATAAGTGGATAAGGAAAAGCACTAAGTGGGTCTACGGTTGACAGAATGTTGCTTTGCAAATAGTCAATACGGGAACTCGTAGTTAGCAACGTTGCAATGTTAATGCTTTGACAAAATCAAAATAATTCGATTTGAAGAGCTATTTATGTTTTAAGATGTTTGATGACAAATAACAATGATCAAGTGTGTATTATTTGTTGAGATACTCCGATACGCCATTACAAGGGAGCGGTTACTCTAATTTTTTGTGGAAAGTTTAAAAGTTAAGAAAGAAATGCTTGCAAAGAAAAAAATGGTTCATAATCTGCTTTTGCAGAGAGATAGTGTTTTTTCCCTTTTTTATCGAAATATGGATGCAAGCTCTTCTTCTTTAGAGGTATCATCTTTCATTCATGAGGACTTGGAAGTCAGTATCATGCAGTTAATCAATTATCAAGTAATTCATTTAATCAATTTATTAACAAATAATCGTAGTTTAAAAAATTAAAATCCTTAAAAATTGATATTTTTTTAATTAATCAATTTGGTTCATTAGTAAACATTTTGAACTTCGACATAATTTTACAATGAATCAAATAAATTTCCTTAAGTTAACTTTAGATACTCTCAAGCACTGGCATATTAACACTGTCTCCATTTTCTTTTTAATCCAGTTATATCTTCTTTTATTTTGGCGTTATGTGTTATGTGTTTTAGCATGCCGGTAAAAAATAAAGTTTGGCTGGATTCAGTATTTGTCGCAGAGCATTGGTGGCTCTCTCGATCACACTTACTCGGGTCATTAATTGGTTTGCTAATTATGTATGACGAGTTGACCAAAGCAACAGTTGTCGAACCTGGGAGGTGGAAACACTCTCGCCTCCACTGATGCCCCCGCTGGGAAGATCAAAATCGCTAACAAAACACTTTATATGGTCAATTGAGCCTATTTAGTCCTGAAAAGCAGCAATTTAACAATAGATGGCTAATGTCAATATCTGACGGGGGTTGACTGGTTATTAGGTTGTCCCCAAGTCGGATCGCCTTAAAGCAGTTCACTGTCAGTTTTGAACATCAAGAAAAGTTTGGTTCCAAATTGTATTTTGTATAAAATGTGTGACTACATATCATTGATAAAATATTATCTAACCTCTTCAAAACTTCCATAAATATATAAGTGTTTATAAGAAACAATGATTGATAAACTCTCTAGAAACAAAGAAACAATATGAAATTCTCTCATCATATCTATCAAGTTGAAACTATGTACGCTATTTTACACCAGGAAATTAGCTTGAGAAGTTTGTAAAGCAAGGATTTGAGCAGGAGTGCTTTAAGATAAATACCAGAGAATGTTACAATCCAAAAATCACCCGTCAAACGTAATCTGATTTGTGGGATAAAGCAAATAATATGGACAAAGCTGGGAGAAAATTAGCCCAATGTTGACATGTATTTTTGGGGCGACTGATCCACCCTATCGCTATTCCGAACGGATGGGGGGACTCGTCATGTATGCTGAGTCAAGTGACGAGGGGTGAAGTATGCTCTTTAATCCCTCCCAAACCTTATGCCACGAGACACTCGGTGTATACCAAGATGATTCATGCCCTATAGGATGAGACATGCAATCGACGAAGTATTTCAAAAATTGACCAGACTCGTTTTCTAAGATATTTGACAGGTTTCAGGGTAATAGGAATCATTGAAAGCAAAATTGTGCACGCCCACCTAGCGTTCTAAAGTAGATTTTTACTCTACATTTTTTAAAAAATAATTTTAAAAGTTTTTATTGATATTGTTATAATATTTCAAATTGTATCTCCAGTTATGAGCTTGAAGATGGAAATATAACTGAATTAAAAATATACATGATACATTATAGAAACAAAAAGCATATGCTTTCTTGTGAAAACTAAATGTCCCTTTTTTAATCCACATGCATTACATGTAGTTATTAACTTTTTATTCAGTTTGCCTTGAATCCTTGTCCACATTCAAGAATTAACTTAAATTAATTTTGATTTAAACTTATAATGTACATGTCACAGTTACTTCAATTAATGTATATCAAGACAAGTAATTAAAAATACAATCTCAAAATTCCACAGGATATACTTTGAAATTGTTAATGCCAAAAATTCCAATAAGATAGATACATAAATTACAGTTCGAAAACTGTCTTGGGGTGTGATATTTTTTATTCATTTTTCATGTACAGATCACCAAACAAATAAATAAAATTAAAAGCTGTTACAAACAAAATTGGAAGTTTTCTCTTTATTTTTTTCTTTCTTAAAAAGGAAAGTTTTCCCGCAAAAATAAATAAATACATGAATTAACGTAATCTGTTTTACAATTCATGTAAAATCGATAGTCTATACGTTTCATACATGTGCAATATTTTAGGAAATTAATTCCGATCTTTGATTAGATGGTACACGTTTTTTTTTTAAATCCAATTTTATATCAATTCAAAAGAAAAACGCATTAAAATAGGAAATTCTTAAATATTAAATAAATAACATAGTGTTTTCTTATCAATTTAACAGAATATTGCCTTTATCTTTGGAATTTTAAAGTAAGAATTATACAACTCAAAATATTCATAAATTGTCTCTACTGATGTTCGATGTTATTTTTCCTTTATTTCATCATTTTTGATGGATTTACGATTTTATTAAGGTTTAAAAGTTTTAAAGTTTTTTCCCAATAATTTTCTAAATTTATTTTCATTCATTATGTTAAAAAAGAAACTATTTTCAAGCTTTTACTGGTTTTCTTTACATAAAATCATTTTTGTGACATTTCAAATTCTTTCAATTTTAGACTTGTTTAAAATAAATTGCATGTATTTCAATGCTATATTAAAAACACGTTTATTAATATCGGAAGTTTCCCCAGTGAAATATGTACAGAAAAATTAAAAGTTGAAAACCAAGATATATTTAGGACTCCTGACTAGGATTTTGTACATGTATCGAACGCTATTTTTTTTAGTCTTCAATTTCTATATCTATTAAATTAATATTCTTTTCTGATAAATAGTCAATTACAAATAAGATGTTTTCAATTTATATTTATTTTGAAAAATATATGACAGAAATTAAAGTCAAATAAATGGAAAGAAAATAAGAAAAGGAAAGAAAAGTTTTCATTTAATTTCTTATCGACTTTTGATAATATAAATTATCTTTACAAGCGTGGGATTGGAACCCGGAATTTTTACTCCATGTGTAATACTGGTACATGTGTTTTTGGGAAAGAAAAAACAAACCAAGCTGGGGGAAACTTTTCCCTTAATTTTACTCCTGGGAATTATTTCATTTCAGGTGTCTGTTTAATTCTACATTTACAATATAAACAACTGTGGAGAACTTTGTGACCTTGAATATCTAAGAATTTATTTACTCTGTGGCACACGAAATCTGTGTACTTGTAGCCATATTATCACTGCTAATGAAGGAAATATGCAAAACAGCGGGGGTTCCCAAAAATACAGCAACTTAGAAATTTATTAGATTATTTTTGACATCCTAATATTTGTTTCTTTGGGTGCTATACCGAATATTGTCGTCTGAATCAACAGTTGTGCATAGACTAGTACCCAGACGCGACCGCGAGATTTTTTCCGGAGATAATGTCATCTTAAATTTCCCCACAACATCTTACTTACTTGTATTTCTGATTTTCTGCGAATTTATTTATTACCCATTTGCAAGATGACATAGTTGCAACATTTCATTGACATGCAATTGATGTCATTGTTTAAGTATCAATAGTTTTGGCAAATGTTACCTGATTGTTCTTACCATAACTATAAGGACTTTTGTCAGGATTCTGCATGCAATAGTTTCTATTTTGTTGATTTATATATATAAAATTACTTTAAAGGAGAAAAAAATGAAATATATTTTGATATCTAAATCCATGTCAATGAGAAAATAATTAAATATTGGAGAAAATATTGATATGATACATGTATATATATTTTTGAAACGCATGCATTGAGCATATGCATACAATTTAATTGACATTGTCATTATACATGTATTCTTGTATGACTTACTTTCCTCAATTGGAGCCTTGAGCCCGTAGCTGACGCTCTCTTGACATCTGGTGACATTACTGGGTGCTGGAGGAACACAGTTTGGAGTTGCTTGATTGATGGAGTCGAATCTCCAGGGACAAAAAGTACTGTTCTGGGACTGCGGAGCCTCCCGGAAGTAGTTTGGATGTTGTGGTTCCGCGGCATACGCCGGGTTCATTCCAACGCCATTTACTCCGGATGCATACATGGAGTTTGCCGGACAAATCCCCAAATTCTCCAAAATGTCCGGACTCGGATTTTGTCGACAAGGGGGCGAGTTAAGTCCAAGAATTTCATGTATTGCAAATGACGACCTTTGTGCGGAGTTCGGAAGAACGTTCATTTGCGAGTAGTTTCCAGTATTCATGTTTCCGTAATGGTGTTGGAATCCCATCATTGCTTGCGAATTATTGCCCAGAAGGGGATTCATTGTCAATGCTTAAAGTGGTATCCTCCAAAATGTCTTCAAAAGAAAGTCTCTGAATGCAGACAGTGCAAATAATTTGTTAAACAGGGTGTACACAAAACGATGTTCATCTGTGCTTTCAAACGACCAATTTTACACTCAAAGAGTGCTCCAAACTTGCACCAACTAATTGGAGATTCCCGCTACGATTTATCGCAAATTCTTATTTAAAATTTGAAGAATACACTACCAATTCAACAAAATCTCGGTAATTTAATAATCAATCAGAAATTCGTCAACTTTTTTTATACAAATGTTATCAGTTTAAAGATGTTTGCAAATGCGCGAGATTTCACGGGATTTTGATTGACTGCTAAAGACGTGTAATTGGCGATTGTTTTCCGGTCTGTACCTCCCACCTGTTTGAATTTGAAATCCCTAACCAAATAGAGACGGCCAAGTGTTTGTCAATCATATAAATTTTTGACGGCTTTCTAACGATTTACCGGGTCAAATGAAAGAAATAAACACGTATTCTCACTTCTAAGAACATCCCGCTGAGCCGATTTTACAGTTTGGTTTATAAAGTATTCAGTTTGGAGCTCTTGGCATAGGTATACCCGGTAACTCTGTGTAATATGAAAAAGAAATTTATGAAAAATGTTTTTAAATATTTTTCTTTTAAATTTTAGTTTCGAAAATATAGCATGAAAAGAAATTCTTAGTACCAGTTATGATGCAATGTAATTGGCACTTGCTGCGGACCTGTAGATAGTGTTTTGACGAGAGGGGCTGAAATTTGGTAATTGTCCCTGCTGTCCGATTTCCCGGTGCGGGAAGAGGTCCAATTATCAGCTGTCTACAATAGAGGGACAAGACTTCCCGCGTGGCCATGCGGAAACGGGTATCGACTAACGTCTTGACAACTGAAGAAATGTCTACGGCGTGTTGCCCGCCATCAACATTGCCGTCAATGTCCATGCGTGTCAGGTGATAAGTTCGCCGCTCTTTTTCTCTGAATATGACACGTAAAATATTTAAACCAACAAATTATGTGGTCAATTTTCCATCTTCTGACACTTAACAATATTTCTATCAAAGGTATAGGAATGTTCGAACGTATTTCTTTGTCCGCTAAACGTACTTGTCAGGTTAATATATATTTTTTTTTGACAGTCATATGCATCATCTATGAATTATTTATTTTGACAGTCATCATCTTTAAATTATTTACTTTATTAAGTTACGCTCAGTCCTTAATTTACATATTGAATTCTTTTTTTACCAAAATAAAAAAAAATGTCTCCAAATCCCTGGGTCAATAAATTATTTTAAATTATATCATAACTAAATAAATATTTATCATTTATGAAAATTAGTAGATAATTACATTTACAGGACAAATAACAAACTTTCTCAGTAATCATCTATATTTTCTCGTAGATTAATATTCATGCAAATGCATGTAGGTAGCCTGAATGATATTTTTAGGAGAAATTTGTAAAATTTTGTCACAATGTCAAAGAGATGTGAAATAAATTATTTCAAATTATATAGAAACCGATATAAAGTCGCATATCTTATAGAAGAAATATTTATCATATTTTTGGATTGATTATTCATGTCATTTCAAAATCAGTCAAAAATATGTATTAATGTGTTATGTACCCTTAACTGCTTACATGTAAAGCTTTAGCAAAGCATGGGCACGAGAAAAAGGGGAAGAAAATGTTAGTATGTTTCTCCAAACAATTAGGTACGATTTATTATACGATATTTTCCGGTTGATCCATGCTGTGATCCGATTGGTCGGTTTCCTTTCATCTAGATAATACAAGCTAATGAGCAAACCGCTAGTTCTTACAAGTTTAACATAGAAAGTTGGATCATCAGAAAATCAAACAAATCAAGACTATCTGATCTGTTATTAACAGTAAGAACAACTTTTGCTCGTCTTTGTAAATATATGGATAGCAAGTTTTGTTGTAAATATCTCAATTTTGTTTTTGGAAAACTGTATTTAGGATAATCTTTTGCTGATTCCTTATATTTTAAAATTGCAGATATAGGCTTTTAGGATTTAAATCACATGATTTCCATGCCACGGGAATTTCAAGTCCTTGACACAATTAATAGAAGATGCCAACAATAGTCCTTCAAACACAAAGGCAGCCGCCCGAGATTTACATGCAAGAGGGGCTACCCATATACTACTGTATATCGTGAATGTTATAGTAGTAATTATGATAATTTACAATAATTTTTTTTCTTTCCAAAATATTTACAAGTTAAATACTGTATATAATAGAAAGTGGATAAAGCTGAATCAACAATGTTTAATAAATCTACATGCTATTTTTCAAGGAATTTCAAAATAAAAAAGTTTGCATACATTATAGATCATTTCTTAAGTTTGAACTGAAAATGCAAATTAAGCATCCTTACACTGAAACATGTACACGGTACAAATGTAAGAGGAGTATTTTACTTGAATTACTATATCTTTAAAATTATATTTGATCCCGATTATCTAAAGATGGATTAGCGCGTAAGATAAACAGTGATCATGGTGATTCATTTTGTTTGGATATCCAATCGCAAACCCTCGCCACAAGAGTCTTAAAATGCAAAGTAAACAACAACACATGTAGAGTCTGGGGATTTTGTACCGTGCAAAAGACGGCGTGCTGGGTTTTGATGTCTCTTTCTGGGTAAAATGTCGAGGGGATGTTGGATTCAGAACTTATAATGCACTTGGCTAAAATATCCGTAGTTAAATTTTCAATAATTAACCAAGGAAAGTACATGTATGTTAAATGGGTGCAATTGCGTTACATACTATTTTAAAAATCATTATTCTATCCTAAATCAAACAAATAAATTTAGCAAAAAGTCAACCAGAGAGAGAGAGAGAGAGAGAGCAATATACCATCCACATCTTTACAAGTAATTTAGATTGCACTTTACTTAATCAGTGCAGTTTTAACAATAGAAATTGTCTCGTGCAAAGTGGCAAAAATTCTATGACATTCAAGCCCGTTTTACTTTCTTCTAAGACGAAATTCTTAAGCTGATCGTAAAATTTTTCAAAATTTATTATCCTAATCAGAATTATTTGCATAAAAGTATCTGTGATATTCTTTTTAAAAGTATTAGAAGTTTGAAAATAATGTTCAGTAGAAAGTATTAAGTGGAATAACAGTACTGTATATGTTGGTCTTAGTTGTTTGTTCTTTTGTAAAACGGGCCCCGTCTTTTAGCTTCTTGCATATTGTTTTTGTATATTTTGTACAAATAACCTCTTTCATGTATCTGGTTTGAGTGAATAAATTGAACTTGAACTTGGTATAATGTGTACAGATTATAATTAATTTTGTGTTTTTGTGATAAAAATTTATTCAAATCAACAACAACAAAAATAAATAAATAAATAAATAAATAATAAGTTGATAGTTTCTACGGATGAGATGGAGGGTGGGGGTGGGAGTGGATATGTAAATCTTTTTAATGATTTTATTCAATTAGTAAATAAATAGACAATAAACATGAATCTTGCAATTTGCTACAAAACGTTTTACTGCATTCTAAATCTGATGAGAGTATTTATGTATTTATAGGTAAACATTTATTTTAGCATTACAGTACACTAAAAATACCATGAAAATTCAAAAACCTTTCTGTTTTAATGAGTTTATCCTCATTAAATAAAATTGATTTTTTTTACCAAGAAAAAAAAAACCATCTAAGTTTTTCTCAATTACTAGTATTTCATCCATTTATTCCTGTAAATTGTTGGTAAATATGTATTTTGTGAGAAGTCTTAAAAATAAACAATAAAGATATCGATTGTTAAACACAATCTGCCAAACATTTCTATATTTTATATATGATAACTACAATACATTAAGTTGAGAGCATATTTTATACATGTATATATATTTACAACGTATATTATTGATTTTATATAATAGATCAAACAACTTCAATTTCTTCATTTCCAAGTGTTTTGTCTGTTTCAGAACAAGGCTCCTCAAATCTGCTGTGATAAGGACTCGAACTCCCGTCCTCACTGTCCGAATCAGATTTGTTACAATGTTCTGTTCCAATTTTTGCGTTGTGCTCTTGTGCTCGAGCACGTAGAGTAGCGATGCTTTCCGATCGTCGTTCGTCTCTGTCACGCATGTCCGGAGATGACGTGTCTGAACGGGTCTCATCGGCATTTTTTAATTTTTCTGCAGCTTCTATGGACTTTTTGTGCATACCTATAGTGGCAAAAAGGGATGAAATTGCTTTTTATTCGCACATGGCAAAATACAAATTTTATTTATATTTAATATGAAACAAATGTATCAGAAATTGATATTATAAAAACGAAAAAGTCCGCATAGAATGAGAATGTATTGAATTGCTGTACTGGTAAGCTTATGTTTAACACATTTTATTTAAGGAATGACTCTAATTCTTGGCCAAATTATCGAGTATAATATGGTTTGGGTCAGTTTACGCTTTATAATCCGCGAAGCGGATTATAAAAAAATGACCCAAACTATATTATACTCGACAATCTGGCCAAGAATTAGAGTCATTCCTTATAATTTAATTTTAAAATAATTAAACAACTGGGGATGTAAAATTGTGTTGTTTTTATTAGTTCAAATTTACGGCGCAATAATACAACCGTAGTAACGGAAGTGATGGGAAGCAAGGGGAGGTAAAACTGATACATAGATCTAGCAGCCATGATGCTTGTTTACATGAGGTAAGATCGAGCAACTGTTTGAAGTTTAAGGTACATTCATTAAATCTGGAATTCTTCATGAATCCAAAGGACTGGAAATGAGGGGATTGATGGATACAGATGATTCAGCTGGTTGTCAAGGGGGTGTGTCCCCATACCAAACCAGATTATACAAAATGTTATGCGTTCCTTTTTGGAAATCAACCAATGAGAGACAAGAATACAAACAGAATTAAATTATTAAATAAGCAATAGGATCGGACACAAAATTAAGATATTATGCCTT